CAAATTCAAGGTTCTAAAGGATCATTTCAGTGAATTTTCTAGCTACAACAAGTCACGAAGTCGGCATTTATAAAAGGAGGGGCAAACTATAATAAGAGAATATTATTGAAAGAAAGGAGGGGTGAAATGATTAAAGGTGTCTTTAAATTTTCTCTCGACCAAGGTTCAAGTCGCAGAGTTGTAAAGAGAGTTTTCCCTGTGAAATTCATCCATATCTTTTTTTAAATATACACAATTTTGTCCTTATATTTTGCGTCTTTTTTTTGTTAAGTTAATAAAAAAAACACAGACGTCAAAAGAGAGATATTAAAATAATATATTAAAAAAATTATAGTATGATCTTTATAATTTAAAAAATATAATTAATCAATCTCTGTGTTTTTAAAAATAAAATTAACTGTATACGATTGTCTTTCATATCTTTATAATTGGATTAGTGATCATGTTATTAGAGCAGCAAATTCTAGACTCTATTTATAAGGTTCTGAAACCTTCTTTTATGTCAAAAAGGAAACCTTTGTATCTATACTATCTTCAATTTCTATCATTGAGGAGTTTTCTTCCACGTCATTCTTTTCCTTTTATTATTGAATATAATATTTTATTTTTATACTTCAAAGTTCTATAATGCAACAATATTTTTTTGTTATGTAATTTGTGTTACGTTTCAAAATTTATACAGAATTGAAAAATAATAGAGATGGTAACCCAAATTGTAATAGCAATAAATATAATCATTTAATTCTCACAAATATAATCATTTAATGTTTATATTAGATATTAGTGTTGGAATATTAAAATTACAGACAAAAACATTTCTTTCTTGTCATAAATCTTTCAAATTCTAGTACCCAATAAAATATAACCTATTATATATACATAGAATTTCATTATTTTTTGAAAATAATTTTAAATTTTAAATTATCGAATATAAGCCTTAAAGATAATCTTAATAATTTCTTTTATCTAAAACTGTTAGATTGTGATGATATCAGCCGAAGGGAGGGGGGAATTAGGAAAAAAATTGTTTAGGAGTGCGAAATAAAAGTTTTTAAAACTTTAGCGGCATAAAAATATAATTTTTATATTTTCAAGGATTAAAAACGTAATTTTTGTAAGGATTTTTTTTGGGTGTTGTGCCCTGGCCTCCACCTAATTTTATCTTTCTTTTTTTTTTTCAATTTTGCTTATATATTAGAAGAATGCTCGGTCTGAAAATTAATTATTTTCATAGCTGAATAATACCAGTTACTAAAAATAATTGTTTTAATAGCTTATATAATAACGATTAGCTATCGTACTATCTGTCAGTCTGATTTATTTGTGTTTTATCTGATGAATTTTATAATCAGCAATCCAAAACTCCTTTATATTAGTATAACCTACACCATCAAATACTGTTTTGCACAACGTAAGAATTGTGCAATATGCCGGTTCTTTTTAATATTTTATTATTTTTAATAATTTTTATACTATATTTAGATGAGAGAAAAATGCTAGAGGATAGAAAATAATTGAAGAAAATATTGGAGAAATTTTCTCTTATTTGAAAATAGAGAGGAAAATATTAATGGAAAAAGAACATGTAAGAAATCCTCTTGGGCTCATAATTTCAATTTCCCCAAATTGGAAAGTAAATAGACATGTTGGCAAAATGACATTATTTTATATAAAGCTTCTAATAATATACATTCATATTTTAGGTCTAAAATATATAAGAATATGGTTAAAATTGTAAAACTACAACTTAAAAAACAAGGGAAGTATTAATATTTTTTTTTTCCATCCAAATAACAAGAGAGAGAAATAATAAAGGAAATAGATTGTATTTTTTTACTATTTTCCTTTTTATTTTCTTTTTTCTCTTATTTTTTTTTCTCCCTTGTCCAAACAAATGGTAATTTTGTTTAGGATAATTTATAAAACAATTTTCATTCAGATTTTAATTATTGGCTATGAACAATATAAATATAATGCATATAATCAATTTAGAAAAAAATAAAATAAATATCTGATGCTGGTAAATATCATAAAAAATATATATTTTTGAAAAAAAAAAAGGTATTAAATCAAGTGCGTGGGGCCGTGCGAACGTAAGAGTTGCAGAGAAACCTCGAACGTTGAATTTGAGCTTCCAAAAAGGAACGCAAGTTTAAGCAAAATTTACAGCCAATCCCAAGATCCCAACAAGTAGGCAAGTTGTTGGTGTCTTGGAGATCGAAGAACAACTGAAAAAGCAACTGCCGATTCTGACCCGCCAAACATTTTACGGAGAGAAAAAAAAAAAAAAAAAAAATAACATCAATTTAGAAAAATAATACCCTAATATTTTTACAAATTCTCGCGTTTAAAAAAATGCTTTTCGCTAAAATATTATCAAACAAGTAAATAAATCACATACTCTCTCTAATGAAAAAAGACCATTAAAGGTAGAGTGATATACGAAATTAATGTGTCAGGCTTAAGGGGACCGGGGTTGCGAATCTTCGTACAGAAGATTGCAGAGAATTATTCGCTTTTTTCGAATTCGTGACCATTTTTGTGAGGCTTATACCCAAACAGCAGAAACCGGCACCAGCTAATGGCCAAAGTCTCTCACAGCCAATCCTCAAAGATTCACAATCAAGTAGGATCAGAGGTGTGGTTTTTCAGTTTTTTTCCTTGGAGATTCGATAGAGAACAAACATGTTAAGCAGAAACTGCCGATTACGCGTGACCCGTACCATTTTAAAAATTTTTTACTCTGATCGTAGATCCCTTTTACCCGCAAAAAAAAAAAGATAAACAAAGAGATGAGCCAATTTGATATATATCTTTTTGAAGGAATTCTTTTATACAGAGATCCATTTCTATCTTCCAAAAAGGCAGACTCCGGCTACGCAAAAGTGGCGTTTCGAAAGAGATAATATTCAAGCTGTGTCTAGAATTTAAAATTTTAATTACAACCCAATTCATAAAGGCTAGGCAGTGCTCGCCCCTAAATCTCCTACTTATCTGAGAATAGTGAATTTGGCTATGATATTACCCTTAGCAATTTAATTCTCACTTGTGGGTGGGCACGTGATTTTCTTTCAAAAATCATTCTCCTTATTTATTTGTAGTACTTTGTTCCGCTCTCTCTCTTTTGAAAATTCATGAGCTGGAACGTGTGAAGTTGCTATATAAACACCGTGATCGCGGAAGATAAATGATCATTCTCTCGAAGGAAGGAGACGCATCTCGCATTCTTATTAATCGGACCCTAGGCTTTTTATAAAAAAGATAGTCGGTTTGGCTGGAGTTCTCGGGTGACCTGCCATTATTAACCCAATTAATGGGGTGTATCGAGTGTATATCCTGAAGTTTAACAACCTATTGCCGAGGCACCATCAGTTTTCGTCACAGACCAAACAGGCCCTGGACCGAAGCTAATCTTGAGAAAGCATTAATGTACTTGGAGTAGATTGGAACTTCTCTCTCAGGCTAAAATTTCTCTATACTCTTTCTCTGCTTTTTTTTTTTTTTTTTTTTTTTTTTTTTTTTCTTTGAATCTGCTGCGCGGCCTAGAAAAGGGTTAATCCCAAGGGTTATAAAGTATACCCTGAATAAACCAAAACTATGTTTTTGTACTGGTGGTGAAAGAGAAAGTGCAATTTTAATGGAACATATTAGTTGCATCTCTTCAATCTTGGTGAAACACCAACAACCTCATTACTCTGCCCTATACTCCTCCTATCTACTGTGGGAGTAGACGGCAGTTTGGGTGTGCTTTTAGTGTCCTAGCTCTAGAGAACTTCAAGTTTCCCAGAAACTTGTACTTAAGAAATTGAGGAAAGAATCGCTCTCTATTCAAGTTAGAAATTCGGTTTTTTATCATGCCTTTAGTTCCTTAATGCCTTTTGGTCTGATTGGTTTCTGATTCTTTGCAGTTCTTTTTCCCAACGTCAGGTTAATTGGAGCAGGCGGTTATGTGGTGGTTGTTGTCTTTACTTCTTGTATTTTCTCATTTGTGCGCATCCTCTCCTAGTTTTCTTTGACCTCATGTCCAACCTTATTTATTTATATGAGAGGCTAGTTTTTTTTTTCCGTCTATATAGTGGATTTGTAAATTTTAGAAATGAGTTAACTGTATATACTCTCCGCAGGTTATTCAAATATGATGGGTCCCTCTTTTACGTAGGGTACATTTAATAAGTGATCTGAAGTTTGGTCTGGTATGCAGGGCAGGGTACTTCTCACTCAGAGTTTTCTTTATGTGTAGTAAAGATCAGTGTTGTTTATACTGATCTTGAATTCTTGTGAAAAAATGTGATTAGGAAGAGTCCGGGCATTGAATAACCCTCTTCTTTCCATCCTACCAGCGTCTTCTATGGTTGTGTGTTTCGTCAAATGAATACATCATTTTTCTTTCGCATTTATCTTTTGGACTCTAATTATGGAATCCGCAGTTAAATCCCTATTCCTTTTAATGTTTGCCTTCCAGAAAATATGAGTGTATTTTTGATTACCACCTTTTAGTCTCTCTTTTCCAGATATAGTTTAGTATATACACAAGATATTTTTCCTTTTTTGGACGGAGAATCCTTTTTCCATAGACGAAGATTATATATCCTCTTAATGATGCAATTATTGTTTGGACGGATTCCTTTTGTAATCCACCGTATGTGAAGATATTTTTTTTGCTTGAATAAAATGTCTAGTTTAGAATATTCTGTTGATTTTCGGCTTAATTTGAAAGTATCGTGTTATATGTTCTCCCTGCTTAGGTTATAATATATTAATAAATTCTAACTCAGAAAGATTTATTGTGAACCGGTGCTGATAAGTTTTTTTTTTTTTTTTTTTTTTTTTTTTTGCCGCACATTTGATTTTTCTTTTGGAAACTTGCACGATTCTTTGTTTTACAGAAGTTAGACGGTTTTCCTCGCTGCTTACAAAAGTAACTGGCTGATTAACTCCGGGCCAATCTAATGTCAAGCAGTGCCTTATGTAGGTCTGGGGCTATGCTGGGACCATTTATGGTCTATGCTGGGACCATTATGGTCCCTCTGGGGTGGGTATTTGGTGTAGTTGGTTTGATAGTAGCTGCTGCAATATCATTGTATGCAAATTCTCTTGTTGCCAAGCTCCATGAATTTGGGGGGAAGAGACATATCAGATACAGAGATCTTGCAGGATATATATATGGTATAAGCAAAAAGGAAATTGAAAAATTATGCTCATTTATGTCTATTTTGATTAAATTAGTGATTATGTAACTGTTGTTTGATTACGTTCATCAAACCTTTTTACTGCAGGCAAGAAAGCTTATTCTCTCATATGGGGATTGCAATATATTAATCTATTCATGATTAACATTGGATACATTATTTTGGCTGGTGAGGCACTTAAGGTAAGAGCAAGTTGTTAAATTTTGCCCTATGTGAATAATTTTACAAGGGGCAAGTCAAGTACTATATTTTACTTTCGGTTATGTTTCTTCAAACAGAAACTTAGTCTAATCCATTGTACATAAAAATTTTCACAATTTTGTTGAGGTGGGTGAGTCCTATAAATGCTTCTTTTTGCTATATTTTTTTTATCTATCATTTTATACTTCATACTAGTTAATAAACTAATTAATTAAGAACTCAGTGGAAGTCATTATTTATAACAGGAATATGTTTCATCAATTATAATCTATTCGGAACAAGGTCCTTTTATATCACAAATGCTATTTTCAGTCATTTTCGCTTCTTCGTTGATTCTATGTTTTTGTTTTGCAGGCTGTTTATGTTCTTTTTAGTGATGACAATGAAATGAAGCTTCCGTACTTCATCGCTATTGCTGGGATTGTATGTGCTTTGTTTGCCATTGCAACTCCTCATTTGTCAGCCTTGCGAATTTGGCTTGGTGTATCAACAGTCCTCACCCTGATATATATCATTGTAGCAATCGTTCTCTCAATTAATGATGGTAAGTCAACAAGCTGTGAACTATTGCGCAGGAGTAGTACATTAATCGAAATTCCTTTGTACTATGCTAGCTTAATATGCCTGTTTGACATTTTATGATGTATTACTTTCTCAAAATGAAGAATCAGATGATTGTTATTTTATTATGCTAATATTCAAAAAACTTTTATTGGAGTCTGCAATATTGCTTTTGGACTAAAATCAAGATGACATACAATGAAGAGCTAATGGTAATTCATTCAATGAACCCTGTATGCCCGTGTCTAGTTTTTGTGATCAACCCCGCATCTGGATTCTAGTTGCCAGTCCAAGAAATTTGCGAATACTTGGATAATCATTTGTTTTTGCTGGTGTAGTTCTTCCCTCTGATACAAAAAAAATCTTATGATTAACGTTTTCCTTTAATCATGTGCAAATTAAGAAACATGTACCATATGTGAATTTCCAGCATTTTTCTGTGAAAATTACTTTGAGTCCTCGATGTTCTTTTTCTTCTGTCTGAACAGCCAATCGGTTCTTGCATACTTGTATTCGGAGTATGTTATAGAAAGAATCAGTCTCACAAGCAATGCGTAGTATGACATGAAGTTAGAAAGAATCCTTCAAATACTTCAAAAGTGGCCCGTGATTATGTGCTTCTGTAGTTTAATTACTCTTTCCTTGCTAGATGCCATCTCTAGACTGTCAACAAAGAAAACACTGAAGGTTCTCAATGTCGAGGAGTTTCTTCCGTCAGCAACTGTCTGATTTTCATTTATGTCAAATATTCTTTCTCTCTCTCTTTCTCATGCACACATATTGAATTTACTTGTCATTTGATTGTTCATATCATAATTTCTTGTTTATTGTTTATATCATAATTTCTACTTTTACTAAATGGTCAAATTCAAAGTAGTTATGCTGAACTCAAAGTAGCAACTCTGTTGTAGGCCTGAAAGCACCACCAAGGGATTACAGCATCCAAGGAACACCAACGAGTAAAATCTTTACATCAATAGGGGCAGCTGCTAATCTGGTTTTTGCATACAACACAGGAATGCTTCCAGAGATACAGGTGTGATAGGAATTGAAATCTATTTTGTTTTAATTGAATTTGGGCATGGTTTCTCATGTCATGTAAATATAATTATCATGGAATTATTTGCAAAAACTATTGAATAGTTGCACATCCAGGTTGCTCTTCACTTCATTGATTCAAGATTCACTAATATTCCGCCCTTTTGTTTCTGGTCTTTGAGACATACACTTTTTGGCTATCACGAATGACCAAAGGGGACCTGAACAGTCATAACCATTAGTTTTCAAATGTTTCATTAGTGACCCATCCATCCAGTTCTTTAGCCAGGTCAATGTCCAGACCAGTTTTAATAACATTGCTTCACACAACAATATAATGCACCATCATATCTTCTAGTATTGCATTTTTGTTTCTTCCTTCAACTTATACATCTGTTGCTGAATCTACAACAGGCAACAATAAAGCAACCCGTTGTAAGTAACATGATGAAGGCACTGTACTTTCAGTTCACATTTGGAAGTTTGTTATTGTTTGCTGTTACTTGGATTGGTTACTGGGCTTATGGAAATTCGACATCAACATATCTGCTTAGCAGCGTTAGTGGTCCTGTTTGGGTGAAGACACTGGCCAATATTGCAGCGTTCTTCCAATCAGTCATTGCTTTGCATCAACCAGCACATAAGCAACCGCTTGTAAGTAAACGATGAATGAAAGGCAACTGTAAATCTTTCAAGTTTCACATTGTTGGAAGTTTGTTGATTGTTTTTGCTGTTACTTGGAGTTGGTTACTACTGGGACTATGGAAATTCCATCATCAACATATCTGGCCCTTAGCAGCGTTCAAGTGGTCCTGTTTTGGGTGAAGACACTGGCCGAAATATTGCAGGCGCGTTTTCTTCTTGCCAATCTGTTACTTGGATTGGTTACTGGGCTTATGGAAATTCGACATCAACATATCTGCTTAGCAGCGTTAGTGGTCCTGTTTGGGTGAAGACACTGGCCAATATTGCAGCGTTCTTCCAATCAGTCATTGCTTTGCATGTACTTCACACCATCATTGATACTTTTTGAGTATCTTTTTATCATTTTCTTTATTGACTTGGTTTTCAAGATTTGTTCATGTTCTGCACTAATGCACTCGTGTTCCCGCAGATTTTTGCAAGTCCAATGTATGAGTTCTTGGATACGAGGTATGGGATTAAAGGCAGTCCATTGGCGATCCGGAACTTGTCATTTAGGTTAGGTGTAAGAGGTGGCTACCTGTTTGTTACCACACTGGTATCAGCTCTTCTGCCCTTTTTAGGTGATTTTGAAAGCTTGACCGGTGCTATTAGTACATTTCCTCTCACATTTATTCTAGCTAATCACATGTACCTGATTGCAAAGAAGAATAAATTGAATAATTTGCAAAAGCTATGGCATTGGTCCAATGTTTGCTTTTTCAGCTGTATGTCTCTTGCAGCAGCAGTTGCAGCTTTGAGACTTATCTCTGTAGATTCCAAGACATACCATCTTTTTGCCGATTTGTGATGATTTTGGAAGGGAGGTTTAATTAAATCTTCCCTTGGAAATGTGTTCCAAAATTGATACAATATCTAGATTTCTTCGTGTATTTGGCTTTAGTTTGTAGCTTTAAGCATAGAATAAAGTAGTTTATTTGCCAATCAATTGGCTTCCATTCTGCATTTCATTTTAACTTCCATAATGTGTAGATTGAAGTTTCTATTACAGCAAATTTAATTAACATTTTTATTATATAATATAATAAATAAAAAATTAATATATATTTGATAACTTATGAAAATAATCATACCTTATAGTCACTTTTCATTTCAATAACTGCCATTAGTGCTATGAGCTACAACTAACCGAACAAGCCCTTAAGTTTGTCTGGACACCTGGAGATAACAAATTACTTATCATGATACTTCCAATCTGTAAATTTAATCGCGAAGGTAATAGTAGACAGTTCTAACACAATTCATATTTGTGCGGCAAATAAGGGGGTGTAAATGAGCGGAGCCAGCTTGCGAGCTGCTTAAGCTCGGCTCGAAAAAAGTTCGAATAAGTTCGCTTGAATGGATCTCGAGCTTGAGTGAGCTCATTAGTAAACAAGCCGAACTCGAGCCTAATGATGTTCAGTTCAAAAATTTGTCGCGTCTTATCGAGCTCTATAGAACTTTTATATACACATTTTTAACCTATTTAAACATCAAGTTCGAGCTTACATTGTGCTGAGTTTGCCAAACATTTTACGGAGGGAGAACAAAAAAAGAGGAAAAAAAAAAAAAAAAAAAAAAGAGGAAAAAAAAAAAAAAAAAAAAAAAAAAAGCCAGATTCTATATTTAAAGGCAACTCCATAAATAACTTTCGAATAGATTTCGCTGTCTAGAATTTCATTTTTATCATCAAAAGGCAACTTCCTATATACCCTTTGAATAGATTTGGCTATCTAGAATTTTACTGGGTCCGATTCAATTTCAATATATTTCTTTATTAGACTTTCCGTTTTTTTAATTCTAGAGTATGAGTGCTATATAAACACTGGCTGAGAGACATATAATCATTGAGGAAGAGAGCATCTCGCTCTTGATCGGAGAAGAGAGGGACCATCACTGTGTACAAAGTTTATTAGCTGTCACCTAATGTCACTACTGTCATTTTAGCTTTGTGTTAGATTTTAAAAGAATTGTTGAATTTGACAGAATTGAAGGATTTTCTAAGATTTTTACATATTCTACTAGAATTCTACGTAGAATTTTATGGAATTGATGAGACCTTTTTTTTTTTTATATAGATTTTGATTAACTTCGATGGAATTACAATAATTTTTATATATCCAATCAAAATTAATTTCAGGTTCTAATTGAACAAATTAAAAGATTCTGAACCCAATAAAAAACTAAAAAACAACGAGGGACCAAAAAAGCAAAATACAAATCATCTTTTTCTTCGTTAATACCTTACTGCCGCCTACAATGAAAGGCCTGCAATGGACATCGTTATCGGCAGCCATCCCGCACTGCTATATTAAACGGTTTTCATAGAGGGTACCCTATTAAATTCACGGGTACTTTACCCGTTTAAGAGGTACTTTCAACAAATTTAGAATAAATACGAATTGTAAAATTTTAAACAGATAAATATACAGATAATTTAAAATTCGTGGGTACCTGTCCCACTTCTATTATATTAAGGGTTTCTGTTCTATTAAGGGGGTATATTGAATTGCCGTTCTAGGATGTATTTGATTAAGACTCTATTAGATTTTAAAAAATTTTTGAAATTTTTGGGTTGGAGGATGGAATGAATGACTTTTCTTATTCATACCTTGCACTTTAAAATCTAAAGAAGTCAATAATTTTATAAAATTCTTCAAAATTAGCAATTTTTTTAAATATTATCAAATTTTTATCGATTTAATAAAGGTCTGAATTGAGCAACACAGACTCCAAAAAAATCTATATTAAATACCATTAAAATTTTAGAATATTTAAAAATCTAACAGACTTGATCCAATACACCCCTCTTATATTGTTTTAGATATTTAGTTAGCGAAGCCAGGGTGTTAAGCGTGAGAGAGAGTTAGTCATTTTAGACTCCTATATAACATGTCTTTCTTCTCTTCTACTGTTTTAGTTATTTAGTTAGCTAAGCCAGGGTGTTACTGTTAAGCGTGAGAGTTTGTTAGTCATTTTAGACTTCTATATAACATGTCTTCTTTTGTAGCTCATATAATTTCAGTGAATGAAAAGCTAATGAAAATTTTTCTCCAAGTTTCATAAATCTTTACAAACTGTCACCAGCAAGAACAGACAGTGATGGACGGCAATAATGATGATGCGCGGCCTAGAAAAATATATGATGAAGAACATCTGGCAGTTGAGACTCCAGAAACTGCCCACCAGATTAGCAGCGGTTTGTTTGGTTGTTCCTTCTCATTTGGATTCCTTTTTTCTATACTATGATGGGCTAGTTTTTTTCTGTACCTTCCGGGTACGTACGTGGTCTTACAGTTAAAAAGGGTGCGTAACAGTTTATACTGATCTTGAATTCTTGAAAATGCTGTTTTTGTTTATACCCAGTTTCTTTGACTAAACTAGATGCTTAAACCACCTTAATTTTGCTTAGAAATGAGTTTTTGACTACCATTTTCCTTCTCAATATATAGATTCAGTTTTTCTTTTGAGAAATTTTACTTAATTTTGCTTAGAAATGAGTTTTTGACTACCATTTTCCTTCTCAATATATAGATTCAGTTTTTCTTTTGAGAAATTTTAGTAGAGATTAATCTAATATGCAGTTATGTACAGATTACTTGGATGAATATTTTTTGTTGAATATGGTAGAATATCTTTAAATATTGTTTGGTTCCATTGGGCATCTGTTAAATATTTCAGTTTTGATGCTCCTTTATAGAAAATGACAAAAGAGGTTGTTTATGTTTCTGGGTTTATATTAATATGTTATCAGAGATTTAATGGTGTTGATAAGTTATTTTTATTTTTAGCTCATTTCATAGTTTCTTTTGGAACTTGCAGATTCTTGGTTTCAAGTGGGTTTTGTGCTTACAACTGGTGTCAACAGTGCCTATGTATTGGGCTATGCTGGGACATTATGGTCCCTCTGGGTTGGGTATTTGGTGTAGTTGGTTTGATAGTAGCTGCTGCAATATCATTGTATGCAAATTCTCTTGTTGCCAAGCTCCATGAATTTGGTGCAAATTCTCTTGTTGCCAAGCTCCATGAATTTGGAGGGAAGAGACATATCAGATACAGAGATCTTGCAGGATATATATAGTATAAGCAAAAAGGAAATTGAAAAATTATACTCATTTATGTCTATTTTGATTAAATTAATGATTATGTAAACTGTTGTTTGATCATGTTCATCAAACCTTTTACTGCAGGCAAGAAAGCTTATTCTCTTATATGGGGATTGCAATATATTAATCTATTCATGATTAACATTGGATACATTATTTTGGCTGGTGAGGCACTTAAGGTAAGATCAAATTTGTTAAATTTTGCCCTATGGGAATAATTTTACAAGGGTAATTTACAAGGGTTCAAGTTACTTAAATTGTTCCTATTTGGTTACTTGTTTTCTATCAACCATAACAGAAAACTAGTCTCAACTCCATTGTAAGCAATAAGGAATCTCTCTTACAATTTTCGTGAGGTGTGTCTTGACGCCCCTATAAATGTTCTTTTCTGCTATATTTCTTTATTCTATCCATTTTATACTGCTATATTTTTTTTATCTATCATTTTATACTTCATACTAGTTAATAAACTAATTAATTAAGAACTCAGTGAAAGTCATTATTTATAACAGGAAAGTGTATGTTTCGTCAATTATAATCTCTTCTGAACAAGGTCCTTTTATATCATAAATGCTATTTAAGTCATTTTCGGTTCTTCGTTGATTCTATGTTTTTGTTTTGCAGGCTGTTTATGTTCTTTATAGTGATGACAATGAAATGAAGCTTCCATACTTCATTGCCATTGCTGGGATTGTATGTGCTTTGTTTGCCATTACAACTCCTCATTTGTCAGCCTTGCGAATTTGGCTTGGCGTATCAACAGTCCTCACCCTGATATATATCATTGTAGCAATTGATCTCTCAATTAATAATGGTAAGTCAACAAGCTGTGAACTATTGTGCCGGAGGAGTGCATTATTTGAAATTCCTTTGCACTATGCATCTAGCTTAATATGCCTGTTTGACATTTTATGATGTATTACTTACTCAAAATGAAGAATTGGATGATTGTTAATTTATTATGCTAATATTCAAAAAACTTTTATTGGAGTCTGCAATATTGCTTTTGAAATAAAATCAAGATGACATACACTGAAGTGCTGATGTTAATTCATTCAATTAACCCTACATGCCCGTGTCTAGTTTTTGTGATCAACCCGCATCTGGATGCTAGTTGCCATCCAAGAAATTTGCGGACACTTGGATAATCATTTCTTTATGCTGGTGTAGTTCTTGCCTCTGGTACAAAAAAAAAAAAAAAAAAAAAAAAAAAAAAAAAAAAAAAATGTATGCATCAACGTTTTTCCTTTAATTCGTGTGCAAATTAAGAAACATGTAACCATATGTGGAATCATGTACCATATGTGAATTTCCAGCATTTTCTGTGAAAATTACTTTGAGTCCTCCATGTTCTTTTTCTTCTGTCTGAACAGCCAATCGGTTCTTGCTTACTTGCATTGGGAGTATGTTATAGAAAGAATCAGTCTCACAAGCAAAGCATAGTATGACATGAAGTTAGAAAGAATCCTTCAAACACTTTAAAAGAGGCCCGTGATTTCGTGCTTCAGTGGTTTAATTACTCTTCCCTTGCTAGATGCCATCTCTAGACTGTCAACAAAGAAAAAACTGAAGGTTCTCAATTGTCGAGGAGTTTCTGCCGTCAGCAACTGTCTGATTTTCATTTATGTCAAATATTCTCTCTCTCTCTCTCTCTCTTTCTCTTTCTCACTGCAACACATAATTGAATTTACTTATCGTTGATCGTTTGATTGTTCAGATCATAATTTCTTGTTTACTGTTTATATCATAATTTCTACTTTTACTAAAAGGTCAAATTCAAAGTAGTTATGCTGAACTCAAAGTAGCAACTCTGTTGTAGGCCTGAAAGCACCACCAAGGGATTACAGCACCCCAGGAACACCAACGGCTAAAATCTTTACATCAATAGGGGCAGCTGCTAATCTGGTTTTTGCATACAACACAGGAATGCTTCCAGAGATACAGGTGTGATAGGAATTGAAATCCATTTTGTTTTAATTGAATTTGGGCACGGTTTCTCATGTCATCTAAATATAGTTATAACGGAATTATTTGCAAAAACTATTGAATAGTTGCACATCCAGGTTGCTCTTCACTTTGTTGATTCAAGATTTCACTAATATTCTGCCCTTTTGTTTCTGGTCTTTGAGAAATACACTTTTTGGCTATCAGGAATGACCAAAGGGGACCTGAACAGTCATAACCATTAGTTTTAAAATGTTTCATTAGTGACTCATCCATCCAGTTCTTTAGCCAGGTCAATGTCCAGACCAGGTTTAATAACATTGCTTCACACAACAATATAATGTACCATCATATCTTCCAGTATTGCATTTTTGTTTCTTCCTTCAACTTATACATCTGTTGCTTAATCTACAACAGGCAACAATAAAGCAACCCGTTGTAAGTAACATGATGAAGGCACTGTACATTCAATTCACATTTGGAAGTTTGTTATTGTTTGCTGTTACTTGGATTGGTTACTGGGCTTATGGAAATTCGACATCAACATATCTGCTTAGCAGCGTCAGTGGTCCTGTTTGGGTGAAGACACTGGCCAATATTGCCGCGTTCTTCCAATGAAGACACTGGCTCAATATTGCCGCGTCTTCAATCAGTCATCTTCCAATCAGTCATTGCTTTGCATGTAGTTCACACCATCACTGATGCTTTTTGAGTATCTCTTTATCATTTTCTTTTATTGACTTGGTTTTCAAGATTTGTTCATGTTCTGCACTAATGCACTCGTGTTCTTGCAGATTTTTGCAAGTCCAATGTATGAGTTCTTGGATACGAGGTATAGGATTAGAGGCAGTCCATTGGCGATCCGGAACTAGTCATTTAGGTTAGGTGTAAGAGGTGGCTACCTGTTTGTTACCACACTCGTGTCAGCTCTTCTGCCCTTTTTAGGAGATTTTGAAAGCTTGACCGGTGCGATTAGTACCTTCCCTCTCACATTTATTCTAGCTAATCACATGTACCTGATTGCAAAGAAGAACGAACTGAATAATTTGCAAAAGATATGTCATTGGTTCAATGTTTGCTTTTTCAGCTGTATGTCTCTTGCAGCAACAGTTGCAGCTTTGAGACTTATCTCTGTAGATTCCAAGACATACCATCTTTTTGCCGATTTGTGATGATTATGGAAGGGAGGTTTAATTAAATCTTCCCTTGGAAATGTGTTCCAAAATTGATACAACATTTAGATTTCTTCGTTGTATTTGGCTTTGGTTTGTAGCTTTAAGCATAGAATAAAGTAGTTTATTGCCAATCAATTGGCTTCCATTCTGCATTTCATTTTAACCTCCATAGTATGTTGATTGAAGTTTCTATTACAGCAAATTTAATTAACATTTTTATTATATAATATAATAAATAAAAAATTAATATATATTTGATAACTTATGAAAATAATCATACCTTATAGTCACTTTTCATTTCAATAACTGCCATTAGTGCTACTAATATATATATGATAATTAAATTTGAAAAATAATCATACCCATTTTTCATTTTCAAATAACTGGCCATTATGCTATGAGCTACAACTAACCCGATAACAAGCCCTTAAATTTGTTTTTCATTTCAATAACTGCCATTAGTGCTATGAGCTACAACTAACCGAACAAGCCCTTAAATTTGTCTAGACACCTGAAGCTAACAAATTACTTATCATGATACCTTCAATCTGAAAATATAATCGTGAAGGTAGTAGTAGACAGTTCTAACAAAATTCATATTTGTGCAGCAAATGAGGGGGTTTAAATGAGCTAAGCCAGCTGTTTAAGCTCAGCTCGAAAGAATTTTGAATAAGTTCGTTTGAATGGATCTCGAGCTCGAGCGGAGCTCATTGGCAAACAAGTCGAACTCGAGTTTAATGATGTTCAGTTTAAAAATTTATCGAGTCTTATCAAGCTCTATCGAACTTTTATATACACATTTTAAATTTATCCAAGTATCGAGCTCGAGCTTAAATTGTGCCGAGTTCGCCAAACATTTTACGGAGAGAGAGAACAAAAAAAGAGAAAAAAAAAAAAGCGAGATTCTTCCTGTAAGGTTTCTTTCGAGAATTCATTTCTATATTTAAAGGCAACTCCATAAATAACTTTCGAATAGATTTCGCTGTTTAAAATTTCATTTTTATCGTCAAAAGGCAACTCCCTGAATAACCCTTGAATAGATTTGGCTATCTAGAATTTTACTGGGTCCGATTTAATTTCAATATATTTCTTTATTAGACTTTCCGTTTTTTGGAATTCTAGAGTGTGAGTGCTATATAAACACTGGCTGCGAGACATATAATCATTGAGGAAGAGAGCGTCTCGCTCTTGATCGGAGAAGAGAGGGATCATCACTGTGTACAGAGTTTATTGCTGTCACCTAATGTCACTAATCTACTGTTATTTTAGCTTTGCGTTAGATTTTAAAAGACGGTTGAATTTGATAGAATCGAAAGATTTTCTAAGATTTCTAAATATTTCACTAGAATTCTATATAAAATTTTATGGAATTGATGAAACCTTTTTTACAAATTTTGATGGAATTACAGATTAATTTCAGGATCTAATTGAACAAATTAAAAGATTTTGAACCCAATCAAAAACTAAAAATAACGAGGGACCAAAAAAGCAAAATGCATCATCTTCTCAAAAATCATCTTTTTGTTCATGAAAACCTTACCGCCACAGCCGACAGTGAAATACCTGCAATGGTCAGTGTTGTCCGCAACTATCCCGCACTGCTATATTAAACGAGTTCGGTAGTGGGTACCCTATCCATTATTAGTAAAAAAAGCATTTTAAATATAAATTCGAAATTTGAATAGTTAAAAATTCGTGGGCACGTTACCTGTTTAAAAGATACTTTCAACAGGTTTTGAACGGATACGGATATTAAATATTTAAACGGGTTTAGAACAAATATGAATAGTAAAATTTTAAAAAGATACATATGTAGATACTTTAAAATTCGTGGATACCCGTCTCACTTCCGTTATATTAAGGGTTTCTGTTCTATTAAGAGGTGCATTGAATTTCCGTTTTAGGATGTATTTGATTAAGACTTTATTAGATTTTAAAAGATTTTTAAAATCTTTGGATTGGATGGAATGAATAACTTTTTTATTTATTCCTTGCACTTTAAAATCTAAAGAAGTCAATAATTTTATAGAATTCTTCAGAATCAGCAAATTTTTAAATACCATCACATTTTTATGAATTTTGAATTAAATATCACAAAATTTTAACAGATTCTAAAAAATTTTATATTGAATACTATTAAAATTTTAAAATATTTTAAAATCTAACGGACTTGATGCAATACACCCCTCTTATATTGTTTTAGATATTTAGTCAGCGGAGCCAGGGTGTTAAGCGTGAGAGAGAGGTAGTCATTTTAGACTTCTAGATAACATGTCTTTCTTCTCTTCTACTGTTTTAGTTATTTAGTTAGCTAAGCCAGGGTGTTACTGTTAAGCGTGAGAGTTTGTTAGCCATTGTAGACTTCTATATAACATGTCTTTTTTTGTAGCTCATATAATTTCATCGAATGAAAAGATAATGAAAATTTTTCTCCAACTTTCATAAATCTTTACTCACTGACACCAGCAAGAACAGACAGTAAGGGACGGGAATAATGATGGTGCGCGGCCTAGAAAAATATATGAAGAACATTTAGCGGTTGAGATTCCAGAAACTGCCCACCAGATTAGCAGCGGTTTGTTTGTTTGCTCCTTCTCATTTGGATTCCTTTTTTCTATACTATGATGGGCTAGTTTTTTTCTGTACCTTCCGGGTAGGTACGTGGTTTTACAGTTAAAAAGGGTGTGTTACAGTTTATACTGATCTTGAATTCTTGAAAATGCTGTTTTTGTTTATACCCAGTTTCTTTGACTAAACTAGATGCTTAAACCACCTTAATTTTGCTTAGAAATGAGTTTTTGACTACCATTTTCCTTTTCAATATTTAGATTCAGTTTTTCTTTTGAGAAATTTTAGTAGAGATTAATCTAATATGCATAATGAGTTTTTGACTACCATTTTCCTTTTCAATATTTAGATTCAGTTTTTCTTTTGAGAAATTTTAGTAGAGATTAATCTAATATGCAGTTATGTACAGATCACTTGGATGAATATTTTTTGTTGAATATGGTAGAATATCTTTAAATATTGGGCATCTGTTAAATATTTCAGTTTTGATGCTCCTTTATGGAAAATGAAAAAAGAGGTTGTTTATGTTTCTGGGTTTATATTAATATTTTATCAGAGATTTAATGGTTTTGATAAGTTATTTTTATTTTTAACTCATTTCATAGTTTCTTTTGGAACTTGCAGATTCTTGGTTTCAAGTGGCTTTTGTGCTTACAACTGGTGTCAACAGTGCATATGTATTGGGCTATGCTGGGACCATTATGGTCCCTCTGGGTTGGGTATTTGGTGTAGTTGGTTTGATAGTAGCTGCTGCAATATCATTGTATGCAAATTCTCTCGTTGCCAAGCTCCATGAATTTGGAGGGAAGAGACATATCAGATACAGAGATCTTGCAGAATATATATATGGTATAAGCGAAAAGGAAATTGAAAAAGTATACTCATTGATGTCTATTTTGATTAAATTACTGATTATGTAAACTGTTGTTTGATCATGTTCATCAAACCTTTTACTGCAGGCAAGAAAGCTTATTCTCTTATATGGGGATTGCAATATATTAATCTATTCATGATTAACATTGGATACATTATTTTGGCAGGTGAGGCACTTAAGGTAAGATCAAATTTGTTAAATTTTGCCCTATGGGAATAATTTTACAAGGGGCAAGTCAAGTACTATATTTTACTTTTGGTTATGTTTCTTCAAACAGAAACTCAGTCTAATCCATTGTGCAAAAAGATTTTTACAATTTTGTTGAGGTGTGTGAGCCCTATAAATGTTCTTTCTGCTATATTTTTTTTATCTATCATTTATACTTCATACTAGTTAATAAACTAATTAATTAAGAACTCAGTGAAAGTCATTATTTATAACAGGAAAGTGTATGTTTCGTCAATTATAATCTCTTCTGAACAAGGTCCTTTTATATCATAAATGCTATTTAAGTCATTTTCGGTTCTTCGTTGATTCTATGTTTTTGTTTTGCAGGCTGTTTATGTTCTTTTTAGTGATGACAGCGACATGAAGCTTCCGTACTTCATTGCTATTGCTGGGATTGTATGTGCTTTGTTTGCCATTGCAACTCCTCATTTGTCAGCCTTGCGAATTTGGCTTGGCGTATCAACAGTCCTCACCCTGATATATATCATTGTAGCAATTGTGCTCTCAATTAATAATGGTAAGTCAACAAGCTGTGAACTATTGTGCTGGAGGAGTGCATTATTTGAAATTCCTTTGCACTATGCATCTAGCTTAATATGCCTGTTTGACATTTTATTATTTGAAATTCCTTGCACTATGCATCTAGCTTGTAATATGCCTGTTTGACATTTTTATGAATGTATTTATTACTCAAAAATTGAAGAATTGATGATTGTTAATTTTATTATGCTAATATTCAAAAAACTTTTTTATTGGAGTCTTGCAATAATTTGCTTTGAATAAATATCAGAATGACATAACATACTGAAGTGTCTGATGGTTTAATTCATATTCAATTAACCCACATGCCCGTGTTAGTTTTTTTTGATCTTAAACCCTGCATCTGGATGCTTTAGTTGCCATCACAGAAATTTGCGGATCACTTGGATAATATTCTTTATGCTGGTGTATGTTCTTGCCTCTGGTACAAAAAAAAAAAAAAAAAAATAAATTATATATATAATATATATTATTATATATGATTAACGTTTTCCTTTAAATTCGTGTGCAAATTAGGAACATGTACCGATATTGTGAATCTCAGCATTTTCTGTGAAAAATTACTTTGATCCTCCATGTTCTTTTTCTTCTTGTCTGATACCAGCCAATCGGTTCTTGCCTTTGTACTTGCTATTGGGAGTATGTTATAAGAAATGATAATTCAGTCTCACAAGCAATGCATAGTTAATGACATGAAGTTATAAAGAATTCCTCAACACTTTAAAAAGTAGCCCGTGATTATTTGCTTCAAGTGGTTTAAGTACTCTTCCTTGCTAAGATGCCATCTCTAGACCTGTTCAACAATAGAAACTGTAAGTTTCATATTGTCGAGGAGTTTCTGGCCGATCAAGCCGAACTGTCTGATTTTCATTTATGTTCAAATATTCTCTCTTCGTCTCTCTCTCTTTCTCATGCACACATATGTGAATTAATTGTCCGTTTGATTTGTTCAGATATCAATAATTTCTGTTTACTTGTTTATATTCATAATTTTCTACTTTTACTAAAGAAGGTCAAATTTCAAAGTAAGCTATGCTGAATCTCAAAGTAATGCAACTCTGTTGTAAGGCCTGAAAGCACCACTCAGGGATTACAGCATCCCAGGATCACCAACGCTTAAAATCTTTTACATCAATACTTTTACTAAAAGGTCAAATTCAAAGTAGCTATGCTGAACTCAAAGTAGCAACTCTGTTGTAGGCCTGAAAGCACCACCAAGGGATTACAGCATCCCAGGAACACCAACGGCTAAAATCTTTACATCAATAGGGGCAGCTGCTAATCTGGTTTTTGCATACAACACGGGAATGCTTCCAGAGATACAGGTGTGATGGGAATTGAAATCCATTTTATTTTAATTGAAGTTGGGCACGGTTTCTCATGTCATCTAATTATAGTTATAATGGAATTATTTGCAAAAACTATTGAATAGTTGCACATCCAGGTTGCTCTTCACTTTGTTGATTCAAGATTTCACTAATATTCTGCCCTTTTGTTTCTGGTCTTTGAGAAATACACTTTTTGGCTATCAGGAATGACCAAAGGGGACCTGAACAGTCATAACCATTAGTTTTCAAATGTTTGATTAGTTTAGGGGGATAGACAAACATCAAGTTCTGTTGGGTTGGGTTTGTTTTGAGGCATCTAAGCTGATGTAGTGGGATCTGATCGTTTAGGGATAACTTAAAAACCTTGCTGGTTTTGTTTTTGAACCATTTAACAATAAAAACCATAATGAACTAACTGACCCATGGTTGAACTGGTCAACCTGCACAGACTCGATTGACCCGGACTGGTTTTTTGATATTTTTAATTATATTATAATTATAATTATTTTAAATTATAATTATTTAATTAATATTATTAATATTTTTATGACCCACTGGTTAAACCAATGACCTATCCACCCATTTTTTTAGCCGGGTCTATGTCTTAGACGGGTTTAATAACATTGCTTCATATAAAATTATAATGCACCATTATTTCTTCCAGTATTGCATTTTTGTTTTTTTTTTACTTCCACTTATACATCTGTCGCTCAATCAGGCAACAATAAAGCAACCCGTTGTAAGTAACATGTTGAAGGCATTATACTTTCAATTCTCATTTGGAAGTTTGTTGTTGTTAGCTGTTACTTGGATTGGTTACTGGGCTTATGGAAATTCGACATCAACATATCTGCTTAGCAGCGTCCGTGGTCCTGTCTGGGTGAAGTCACTGGCCAATATTGCCGCGTTCTTCCAATCAGTCATTGCTTTGCATGTATTTCACACCATCACTGATGCTTTTTGAGTATCTCTTTATCATTTTCTTTTATTGACTTGGTTTTCAAGATTTGTTCATGTTCTGCACTAATGCACTCGTGTTCCTGCAGATTTTTGCAAGTCCAATGTATGAGTTCTTGGATACGAGGTATGGGATTAAAGGCAGTCCATTGGCGATCCGAAACTTGTCATTTCGGTTAGGTGTAAGAGGTGGCTACCTGTTTGTTACCACACTGGTGTCAGCTCTTCTGCCCTTTTTAGGTGATTTTGAAAGCTTGACCGGTGCTATTAGTACCTTCCCTCTCACATTTATTCTAGCTAATCACATGTACCTGATTGCAAAGAAGAACGAACTGAATAATTTGCAAAAGCTATGGCATTGGTTCAATGTTTGCTTTTTCATCTGTATGTCTCTTGCAGCAGCAGTTGCAGCTTTGAGACTTATCTCTGTAGATTCCAAGACATACCATCTTTTTGCAGATTTGTAATGATTATGGAGGGGAGGTTTAATTAAATCTTCCCTCGGAAATGTGTTCCAAAATTGATACAACATTTAGGTTTCTTCGTGCATTTGGCTTTAGTTTGTAGCTTTTAAGCGTAGAATAAAGTAGTTTTTTTGCCATTCAATTGGCTTTCATTCTGCATTCCTTTTTAACTTCCATATAGAGCAAGCTTTCGTTGTTTTAACTGATAATATTTGATGATTACTCTGTAGATTGAAGTTTCTAAGTTTCTATTATTTCAAATTTAATTAACATTTTTGTTATATAATATTGTAAAATAGAAAATAATATATTCACCTAGAAGAATTAAAAAAAATTATGTATATGATAATTTATGAAAATAATTATACCCTTATAGTCATTTTCATTTCAATAACTACTATTACCGCTTTGAGCTACGGCAAATAACTAACCAAACAAGCTCTTAAATTTGTCTAGACACCTGAAAATAACAAATTAGCAAATACAATCAGCAAATACAATCGCGAAGGCAGTAGCAGACAGTTCTAACACAATTCATATTTGTGTGGCAAATATTTGCTCTCCGTTAAACAGTTCGTTAAGCAGCATTAACTGAACATGTAATAACAAATGGCAATCTCGCCAAGGTTCATAACCTGCCTGATTTTCCAACCGCAGAAAGCCTTCACGAGGCAAACAAACATTTACAAGGTTTAATATATATTCAGAAAGAGAAAGGTCAAATATAGGCTAGCTTGATAAGTGAAATTATGTCTCATTCAGCCATTGGTTTTGAGTATTTCACTCACTTCAACACAACATTTATCAAGCAATAATTATTTTCTCCTTGCAGCACTTCATGATGAGAAATGGTCCAGCACAAAAATGTCATACAGAAGGTCAGTCTTTAAAACTTCTGAAAGAATACAAACATCATATTATAAAATATTTTCCCAAACCCTCAATATTCTCATTTGCACAAGTGGTCATGTGTTTAAAGCTAGGAATACAACCTTATGATAACTAATCACACAAAAGAACATTTGAAATGAAGTCTTCCTTGATTTTTTCTATATGCATCTACTGTCCCAAAAGAAATCTTCTTTTTGCAGATTCCTGTTAGTCTGGAGCAAATAAATGGATCCTACAATCGGTGAAATGAACACCACCAATCAATGTTTTTTCAACAAAGAAACATACATTAAGAAAATATAAGTTAAAACACGGTAGAAAAAAAAGGAAGATGATAACTCTAGAAGAATTTAATAACAAAAACAACAGCAGAAATATATTAAACAACCTCAGGGGAATAGACTATTTATGATGCACAACATATCTATTTGCTAGTCTCTTGTTTGAAAGAGAAATTGGACCATCACCAACACAGGCTGAGCAAAGAAAATCCATGAGCTTCATCATTATCAGAATATGAAATATAAAGGTATTAATTCAGTCACCAAATTGACATTTCTTATGATCATATAGTACTTTGGTTGTCAAGTTGTGTCTTCATTTCCAAGGTGAAGGCAAGTGTGGTTCTCTTCCTACCTAATTAGTTTTATGAAAAGGATTTTTCCGGTCATTTTTGCATTTACGTATCCTAATAAATCAATGTCCAACATCTTTACGGAAGAGTAATAAACAAATGTGAGCATAGGTTATAAGAAAAGACAAATATTTGCTTTAGATTCTTGAGTTGGGGGTACGGGGCAAGGGCAGCGGCAGGTCCAAGGAGATAGCTGGGCAAGGGGTTGCAGGAAGAAAATTCGTCGTCATAGTGACTTCTAGTATCTCAATGATATCCATGGACACACGAGACCATACCTACGAAGACAGGGCATAGGATTGTTAAGACATGACAAAAGTCTGCTAGCTACAAAGAAGTCCCAGTCCACTCACAAATTCTAGATAATATTTATGCACCTAGCTCGAATTTCCAAGTTAACACAAACTACTGTTTCAACTACCATCAGATGCTTGTCAATAAAAGCAATCTAATGAAAGAACTAAGTTTCTGTCCAGCTTTTATGTTTTAATTTGTTATTTTATCAAACTACTGCCGCTAAATTGCAAGCTACCCTCTGTGGGTTCCACCAACACTGATATAGAAGAAGTTCATACAAAGCATAACCAATCATTAGGCAGATAGAAATATAAGCATAATGCTGCCATATCTTACCTTAGTCGCTGGATCATCCAGACACTAGCTTTACAACAATGCAAATAGCATTGAGTATGATAAGAGGAACTCTCATATACTGGGTTGCATAAATAAGCCCAATAAGCTGCCCTTTGAAAGACTTTGTCCGACCTCCTGAAAACTCAGAGAAGCTCCATCCTCTCGGTGCAAGGAATCGATCTTCATTTAATATTGCTAGTGCATTTGCAAGAAGGAGGCAACCCTCTAGTAACGTCCACAAACCCATTTTCCCTGTATAATTAAAGAACTTCCCAATCAAAATTGGATAAACTAATTCTAACACTTCCAGCTAAAAACAAATCTTGCATAAGATTTATTAATGTTTTCTTTTTTGATCTATAACAAGACACAACAAGAAATGGGTTCATTGACTATTAGCAAATTCTCATAACTAAGCTACATAATGAACAAAATCTTCAATACAATGACCAAATTGAATCTACCATCAATGACCAATTTCCAATAAATTGCATTAAACAACAAAGTACCAAGAAATTTCATTTATGTTTTAGAAAAACACAATAAAACGCTATCAAAATGATATAAAACGTCCAAGGAAGAATACATGGAAAAAGGAAAAAAAATATTCAAACAGAAAAATATGCATGGATCATTCAAGTAAAAGATACCGACTTTAGATAATTGGGTTTTGGTGCTAAAAATTATACAAACAACTAAGAAAAGAAGCTGGAGCAAGATGAGAGAAGGATCTGTGGACTATTCTGTGGCTTGAGAAATGGAGAATCTGACAGAGCCCGAAAATTCAAAGAGAGAGATATAAAGAGAGAATGAAAGATTCAAAAATGGGATTATTTTTCACAGAAATGATTAACAATGCTAAGTTAAAGAAGCATGAGCCGATAAACTGTAGTGAGATGTAGAAAAACATGAAATCAACAGAAGAAAAAAGAAGCGTTCAACAAAAAAATTAAAATTATTCTACAATAGTAACTAACCTGCAAATCGAAGAAACGTTTCTGCAACTGGAGCGACTGAGAGTGGTGAACGATAGCTGGAATCTGAGTGTTAAAGTCTTTTCTCAAGCAACCGTCAGATTCAGAGCACACAGCAGAGGTACGTTTCCGGTGAATTGGATGGGCGGGCCGGTTCTATCCGGGCTTGGCCCATATCAACTTCAAATCCATATTTATTCATTTTATTTAAAGATCAATGTCTCTTTAAATTTAAAACTTCAATCATTAATTTTGGTAAAAAATAAAATTGGATGCTAAAGCTTTTCATGTAATTTTCAATAAATACAAATTTTCAATTGTTAAAAAAATTACCGATTTTATTAATAAATTCAGATTCGAATTTACTAAAAAACACTCCATATTTCTGGTCAATATAAAACATAAGATGTTATATTTCTATTTTGATTGTTACAGAAATATAGTTAAATTTGCTATTGCCATGTCATTCTTTTGCCTTGTGGCTTTAGGTCAATTGCCAATGAAAAACTACTTTTTAAGTTTTGTTATTTATCCGGTATAATTAAGAGGTTTAATCATCTCAAAGCCGTAGAATATAAATATTTTTTTACCTTACTAGTAAGATGCGCTTTCTCGAATCAAACTTGTATTATCACCCTTATAGAAATTTAGGTTACTTACTACTGCAAACAATATCTCGTTGGTATTCCTTTTTTGGGTTTAATATGAGTTTCTAATCTACTTGATTGTTTTCCTTTACAATACTTTCGTTACTCTTTTACAATTTTATGAGTATTGGCAACCCTGGAGCTTCATAATCAATTATATACAATTTTGACTCTCAATTCTCAATATACATTTATAATGTATTTTGGCTGATCATAATACACTTTTAATATGCTTACAACATCTTTTATAATCTAACCTTAAAAGCAAAACTTGTCTGATGAAGAGCACTACAGTCAGCATGATCCACCGGTGTTAGTGTTATCGTAATGCAGAATCCCCAAACCTCTACCTTCTCAAGTTTATTATCTGTAAAATACTTGGTCTTGACTTGTCACATATACATCCAGGAAAAGGATTTGCATAAAAATTTTCCTCCTGTCTCGGGGATTTTCCAGGCAATCTGCGGAAAGGTGCTCCAATTCTATTTCTATGTAAATTTCTAACTTGTAATGAAAAATCTTTCCAAGTCATCATACCGTTGTCTAATTGGTCAATCAAATTGACAAAATTATGTCTGCAAAAAAAAAAAAAAAAAGACAATGTATATATATTAACTCAATAAGAAAAATTGATATTTGTTTCGCAAAATTAGTTATTTTCGTAGTTATTAGCTATTTTAGATTATGTTCGGCGATAACTTTTAAGTACCAGCTAGAATGCTAAAAGCTAACATTACTATTCATAGTTTTCGGTGACATAGCATTTGAATTAATTTTTAGGATTTAAGGTAAAATTTTATAAAAAGTTAACTTTTTAAAGTTTAAGGTAACATTTTATAAAAAATTAAAACATGTAAAGTTAAACTTTTTAGCATTTCATAACAAATTACTAAAACAACTAACAGTTACCGGACCAGCTAATTTTTCCGAACAAAATAATTAACAGTTACCAGAACAGCTAATTGAACATACCCTTAGTAGCATTTAGCTGTTAGCTAAAGGTTATATGAGTTAACTTTTTATAAAATGCTATATTAATTTCTAAAAACTAATTCAAACGCAAAGTTACCGAATACTAAATAGTATTTAATATTTTGAACTATTTAAAAAGTTGTTGCCGAACACGAACATAGCATAGTGTCCGGAATATTTCAGAGTAGTTATGGTGATGATTGATATTTGTAGCCCTACTCTGAGACTGTTTTCGATCATAAGTAAGTACAACATCTATTTATTGAACAGTATACGTACTTGTCAGGGATTATAGTTTTTCGAAAGCCTTCAAATCTTCTATGGCCGGTGACTGCCTTAGCCATATTCCCATCGTAGCTATAAACAAAAACATTACTTTCAACTGCCACAATATAATCTAAAGCTGCAAGTTGATTCTGACAATTCTTAAACGGTTTTAATTCTTCCTCTGTCCCTAAAGTGAAATGAGTATATATATTTGGATACTTAGCTTCAAGTGCTTGAATACCATCTTTCCCATAAATTTTTCCTGCAACTATATAAATCTTTGTACCGTAATGATATCCCATTGCTTCAAGAAATACAGCAACCTCTCTTGGGGTCATCGGGCATAACCCTTCAAGTCTCTTTTGTGTACCATTAATATTCTTTTCCTTCCAATGTTTTACTTTAATCCTCATTTTTCTTAACTCTTTTCCTTCGGTTTTTGTAAGATTATGAACACAGCCTGTGAAAGCAAGCATATCTTTTTCATACCTGCAGAAGAAGATGTTTATCAGTAAGACGAAAGCAAGAAAATTGAGTATTAGATCATCAAATTTATAGTAAGTTACCTTAGATGAAGAGCTATAAATGGGTCACCATTATTCCTAAGTCTATCGATCAATTTTCTTCCTAACTCTTGAATCTCTTTTGTGAATCTTAATGCCTCGTACATTGCGCGACATCGAAGTCTTTGAATGGATGCAGCAACTCCATTGTTAGCAAGGCGAGAATCAGAATGTGTAAATTTAATCACCTTATGCCCCTTTAATAAGGAAACAATATTCTTCCTGTAATAGCTTGGCTGCACCACAAAATAATAATATTTATATAGTCTGTGTTTGGCACAGCGTCAAAACGCTAAACGCTAGCTTTTAGATGTTAATGTATGGTTTCATAAAAAGTTAACTGATGTAATATTTAACTTTTACTATTTCATGAAAAGCTAACAACTAAATCATACTAAAACAACTCACAGCTATTAAAATAACTAATTTTACCGAGCAGACCCATAATATAGTTTTATCAAGTTAAGTACACACCTTAGACCAAGAGACTGGAGGTTTTCGCAATGGCTCTACTGAGACAAATTCGTTTGGAAGAGACTCCACAATTTCAATATCATCTTTCAAAACTTCAACAAAGTGCTTCCAGTCAAAAATATCTTTAAAATCGCTGAATCAATCAATTTGATTAAGAAAAAACATATTTATATTTTAATGCATAATACATAATTAAGAATACACAATTACACAAACCTTGGATCTGTCCAAAAAGAAGAGTGATCTAATGAAGGAATAACTAAAGTGGCATTCATAATTTTTGCTATTGCAACCATATCACTTATCTGCACTCCAACCATTCAATTTTTTACAATCTCATCATCTCTTAATTCATGTATAATATATATAACTATATAAAATAACATCATTACTAAATAAGAAAATGATAAATTTTAACATAAAAAATGCAAATTTTAAAAAAAATTTAATAAAAGTTAATCAAGTTTGTAGTACCTTACCCCAATTTTCATTTGATTCAATCCACCATTTGCTTGAACTAGAAGGTAGCCATTTGTAGCATTTGTAATCCCTAAACAAATACTTAGAAGTTAACAAATAAGTTAAAAAAATATTTACTGAAAGATTAAAAATACAAGTTAGCGAGTTAAAGTAAGATATCTTGCATACTTTTTTCACTTCTAGATCGGTCAATGCATTTATAGAAGTTATCACCATTGGGTTTCATCCAAATTTCTGGATTCTAAGAATAAAAATCAAATGAAAAGTAGGGTCACAATCTGAATATATGGATGAACATATGATTAGATAATTGCTAACATAATCACCAAATTATAATTAATCAGTCAATTAGAAAATATTAAGTGTTTTTTTTTTTTTTTTATAAAAAGGGAGTAAAAGCTCAAATGAGAACAATTAATTGAGTCAATCGTTAGCTTCATTATTAAGTTTATACATGTTTTTTAGTTTTTTTTTCTATCTTTTTTTCAGTAGAATCAAGAGATGTAATTCTCTTCGAGCATGAAATTTTTTACATTTTCAATATGACATAAAAGCTTTTTACAACTTAATAAACAACATACTTTTAGAATTCTGCATGGAAGTATAAGACATATATTTATAATTCACATATGCAGAAACGATTAATTTAAAGTTATTATAACCTAACCGGTATGATCGTCTGAGATGAAGGAAGTGGAGGTGTCTGCTTGTGATCATACTGTTCATAATTTATTTCCTTCACGACATTTTTAACATGAGTTGTGTTAACCATAACAGTAGGATGAATAAAATGAGCCTTCTCCAACTTTTGCAGAGTATTTAATAATGAAACTTTGGAAATCATTGTCAAGAAAGCGAAAGTCATCAAGCTTAAAAACGTCCACCGTCCAAGAATCTTCCCCGGTTGGAATAATTCCGGCAAGTATCGAACCCTTTTGCGCAAGAAAGCCGCTTGGTTTCGTATCGACAACGCACCTCCTCTGACATCTTGTGATTCTATAAAATCAACCACGCGCCTCCTTGTCACGTACAAAGAGGTGGCCGTCCTGCATGGTTTCTCTGTAGAGCTTGACATGGCTATAATTGATTAACTAACAAATTATTAAGAGTAATTAGGGTGTTTGAATAAGAAGAAGGGGTGAAGTTAATGGTAAATGGAGTTTCGTTTTCTTGTGCACTTTCATGGTTGATAATGGGAGCGAAATAAAAGGCGAAAGAGACTCTTTGTTCTCTAAATTCAATGAGTATTGGTCATGAAGACATGAAAGTAGGAGTTTCATGTTTTTTTTTTTTTTTTTTTTTTTTTTTTTTGTTCTCCTAAAATCAATGCAGTATTGGTCATGAAGACATGAAAGTAGGAGTTTTCATGTTTTTTTTTTTTTTTTTTTTTTTTTGAAGGAAAAGATTTAATATGTTGTTTTATTGAAATTTTCATTTGATAATCACAATTTTTATTCTTTAATAATTTTCTAACAAGAGTGTTATATTTTTTGTTAGATTGTGATTTTAACCCATCATCGTTTAAACGTGATATCACTGGTGTGGTTAATGCTAAATGTAATTTAAAGGTTTAAATTAACCAAAATAAAGAAATACTCTTTTAATCCCCATTTCTCATGTGCTAAAAATATATAATTTGAAAAAAATTTTTTTGGATATAATATGAGAAGGAAGCAGGCCAAGTTTTTCCGCGATATGGGTCTTTTTTTTTTTTTTTTTTTTTTTTTTTTGAGAAAAGATTAATTGTTGTTTTATTGAAATTTTCATTTGATAATCACAATTTTTATTCTTTAATAATTTCTAACAAATGTTATATTTTTTGTTAGATTGTGATTTTAACCCATCACGTTAAACGTGATATCACTGTGTGGTTAAGAAATGTAATTAAAGGTTTAAATTAAAACAAAATAAGAAATACTCTTTAATCCCATTTCTCATGTGCTAATATATAATTGATTTGGTATATATGAGAAGGAAGCAGGCCAAGTTTTTCCGCGAGGGTCACGAGTCATGACCGCATTTTCCTGAGTCATCCCGCCCGCCATGTTACATTTTAAACCTTTGTGTGAGTATGTAAAATATAAAATTATTTTCCTTCATAATGTCCTCCTCATTTTACACTAATTCTATGATAGTCTGGGCCACCGGCCCACAGTGAGTCCAAAGCTTGTATTCATGGAAGTTTAATGGGCTGGGAAAGAGCCCTGTTTAGCTGGGCTTGTAGTCCAATAAGCATTGCATCGCTCTCTATGAAATTCTGTAGCTCTATATAAGCCGAGTAATCACCCAATTAGGGTTTTAGCTATCTTTCTCGCACGCAGCTCCTCAGTTGTAGCCACTTTCAGGAAGATAGAGCTTGGCCTCCATATTCGAAAATGGTGAAGGGACGCCAAGGAGAGCGAGTCAGGTCTTTGATCTATAGTTTACATATGTTTATATATCTATCAATATCCTTCTCTAAAGTTCTAGCTGTTGAATTTTTCATCTTTTTAGCTGAAATTTCTGTTGTAAATTAGTATTTCATTTGATTTTTCTTTCTTTGGTTTCTTTTTTATTGTAGACTCTACGTCAGAGGGACCGTCCTTGGATACAAGAGGTAATAAAGTTTGATTTGTAGTTTCTGGTTATGTTTGGATTCTAAGAAAGCTAAATAGAAAAGTAGGAAATGGAATGTTTAGTTGCTAGTTTGGTTATTTGAAGATTGTTTACTTTGTGTGTTTATGTTAATGATTCAGATATGAGCTACGATTTTGATTTTTTGGTTCTTCTAGCTTTTAATGATGTGGATAGTTCGCTGTAGAACTAGAATGCTTGAAATGAAAATGAGTTTTGACACTGGTTGTGTGCTAATGAATTTTAACAAAGAAATTAAGATAGGAGCTCCATCCTTTTTTATCTGTTACACTTTTTTTACTGTTAACTCTTATAATGTGATATCTGCCTCGAAATCCTGTTGAACTTGGAAAGTGTTCTGATTTAGGTTTGTGATAAGCTAAGGCAGTTGATTCTCAAGTGTTTGAATATAAAGTAGTACTGTCACTCTGAAGTTTCTGAACAGATATGTCTTTGATTTTGTGGTTTGTGTTTGATCACTGATAGAACTTGTTTACAATTTCCATTGAAAACAATGTGATTCTTTAGTGGGGTTTCCTTAAATATAGAGTTATTGTACTAGACTATTAGTTCTTAAGTTGGGTGACCACCTTGCTTAGAAATGAACTTGAGAATGTGGAACCTTTGAATGATTTTTAGGGATTAAATACTTGTTTATTGTCAGGTCCAAGTCAAACCAGTACCCAAATACATCATTAATCCAGATTGAGGGAGTGAACACCAAGGAGGAGGTTGCCTGGTATGCTGGTAAGCGCATGGCTTATATCTACAAGGCCAAGGTAAAGAAGAATGGATCACACTATCGCTGCATTTGGGGAAAGGTCACTAGGCCTCATGGTAACAGTGGTGTTGTACGAGCTAAGTTCAAGTCCAATCTGCCTCCGAAATCAATGGTATTAAAAAGAATAACTTCTGTGGTTTCATTGCATTGTTTCTGGCTGTCAGAATTTCTAATTTAAGGAGTTTCAAATTATTTGCAGGGTGCAAGGGTTAGAGTCTTCATGTACCCTAGCAACATATAAGGTACAGTTTATCCTCTGTGTGTAATGTAATATGGATGAATATATATTGGGAATGGTTTGTTTTGTTATAATATAATGTATTTGATTTCCTGACATTGATTATAATTGTATTAAGATTTTCATTTTATTCACTCCTTTGATTAGGGCTTATTTTTGTTTTTTCGTTTTTGTTTTTAACTCGAGCTTTTTATAGGATGGCTGAACTTTTTTGGATGATACTTGCTTTGCGTTATTTTTGGTTATGTTGTTGGAGTTTCTTGTAGGAAATGATTATGAAGATGATAAGAATATGCAGTGCTGATAGTCTGTTACTATCAATTAATATTTGATGTTTGAAAAGTGATATGGTCAAGTGTCAATTGATTACCATGTTTTATTTTTCACATTCTCATTGCTTTTTGTTCCATACATCCTTGTATATGTAATTTTGAAAATGTACCTTTCAGTTCAGTTCTTTGCTGAATTATCCTAGGCTCTATTCTAAGTTAGGAGATGTCTGTAGCATTTGGATGCTTCTTACTGCTTGTAGTCATTTAATTTTTCTTACTTCTCATTTAAATGGAGTGTTAGGTGCAAAACTTTTTATCTCATTTCTAACTTGTCATTATCTCTCTTGCAGTATCACAAGACCGGTAGATAGCAGATTGGGCTTATTGATAGCTTGGAGGATCTGCTTTTTAGTTGTTCTATATAAGCTAAGTTTAAATGTGTTGAATGCTTTCGAGTTTTGAGGAGTTACTATTGTTTTTTAGAATTGTGGATGAACAATATTTTGTTACCTTATTTAATCTCAATCGGGATTCTTTTTGTCCATTTGACAACTAAATTGCTTTTTCTTTTCTGTTTTTATTTTTTTAAAAAATTTATTAGTTCCATGTTTCCTATGGACCATGCTGTACTTGCACACATCTCTGGTCTTGTGTTTAACGATTAAAAGTTTCTAAGACAGAACCATTAGATGTGTTTGCTGGTGAAAGGTTTTGAAATAGTCTCGCTACAGCTTAGTAGCCATTGAGAGCTTCATTTAGGGAAGAGTACAAGATAAGCCCACTGGGAGCAGATTAGAAATCAGATTACAAAACCCAGTGAGCATAGAAATTACATAAACAGTATTACAGTACTAGGCTAGACTAAGCTACAATGGCTGTTTGCACCACTGGGTGTTGAAACTCCTGAGCTTGTAACATGACAGGTCACATTTTCTCAATCATGTTATTAGAAAATTGACTCTTAGCTATGGTTTAATCGATGCATTATTTATTATTCTCTTCAAAGATATATTTTTCATAACTATTTTTTTTTAGTAAAAGATGGAACATTTTGAATATCTCTTTTGACAAAATGGGATCAATAATGTGTGATAAATAAAATTTAATGCAGCCATCACTTATTTTAATAATGCATTAGGTGTATCATTTCATGTCAAGTCAACGTCACGTCGTCTTCACATTTGTGTGTTCTCACGTCTAATTGAGCATGTATGATGCATGTAATATGTTAGTCCACCGACAGATTTAGTTCCAAACTACCTCTACTTTATTGAACGTTTTGAGTGCGTAATTAACTGCAACAAACCAGGTCAACTCAAATTAATAATAATAATAATAATATTATTATAACTTAAAATCAAAATCTTTTGATTCCTGTCTTCAACAGTAAGAAGAAAAAAGCATTATATGGATGCAAAGTGTTTTGTCAAATAAAAGAAAAGGTAAATTTGTAGAATACATGAACGTCAAATTGAAGGTATGTATACGTATCTTGTTAATGAAATTTGCGTGATTAAAGAAAAGGTGTGCGTAGCACGAAGTAATTGGATAGCTCCAAGAAAAGTGGACTTTGAAAGAACTGAATAGTTTCCACTTTTCACAGCCACCGAGCTGAGCTGGCAAAAAAAAAAACAAAATAAGAGCATGTATGGTCGTAGTTAGGTTACAACCAATTAGAAGCAAAGGTCATGGATCGTGCATTACATGCTTCTGAGTGCAACACATGTGAGACCTTCCAAAGTTTGAATGATTAATTTTGAGATTAATATTTACGTGTCATTGGATTTTTTTCCCTTTTATATATTTAAATACCATATATATATATTATGAGACAAACACTGACTTATTAGACTATAATTTTATATATTCGACATTATTATTCTTTTTTAAAAGCCTCAACTTAATTAATGAAACATTAAATATGATGTATGTATAGATTGATTTTTACGAAAATATAAACATATTTATCTCCAAACCCAAAATTTTAAAACTCTAAACAATTAAATTAAAATAGATTTAAGTGGGCTTCACTAAATTGTTAATTAGGAGTTAACACCCTTCAAGCCTAACGATGTTTCTTTGCATGACATTTTTTTGTTCCTATTTTTATTAAACTAGTACAACCAAATATTAAAAAAAATTAATCAGACGGCAGAGTATGGCCATAGATTCGCATAATAATGAAAATTAATTAAATTAGGCAAGCTTTTTTGGACCGACCTCTGTCCTCTAATATTTATTGATTTATTTATTCTAACTGGTCTTTAAACCGTGTTGAGTTTATAGTTTTTAATAAGGTCCGATTAATGGATTTCGGAGTTGGAGATTCCAATAAACCTCTCACACGTATGGCCTACCTCTGCCAAGTCAAAATATCAAAATTGCAATTTCAAGATCCTATTATTTATTTTCTAATGGGTACAAACCAAAGGTCCAACATTAACAGTGGTTCCCTCTCCAACATTTAGAAAATAATAATTTAGGCGAACTTTTTTCTTTTGGTCAAAAAAAATGAAGAAAAAAAATGAAGATTGTATATCAAATATTTAAAAAGAAATTTAAGTTATACTCCGCAATAATAGCTTTTAACAACTATGATAACTGTTAGCTATTTTAATAGTATTGACTAAATATTAGTATTATAATGCTTTATAATGCAGTCTGTCGATTTTTAAATATTAATTTAAACATTATATCATTAAATAATACTCTTCCGTCTCATTTTGTTTACTTGTTATTTCTTTTTGGATGTCTAAGACATGCAAATAATTATTATTTCCATAATAACATTTATAATTATTAATGAATAGTTTTTAGTGACTAAATTCTTAACATACGTGTTTTGTCAAACCATGCAAACAAAATGGGACGGAGGAAATATTTCAAATAAGATGGTATAATTTTATTATTTGTAAGACAATTAATTTGATTTTTTTTGGAAAGTCCATTAATTAATATTTATTTATTTTCTAGTATATGGTACGAGATTATGCTTTTCTAGTAGTTTAATAGTTCTTTGGCAAGTAATTATTCTTACTATTAATAAAAATTACTTTTTTTAAATATAAATGTCTCGTATATAAATGTTTCTCATTTAAATTTTGTATTCTTTAATCATTGCATCTAATATATTGTCGTTTTTCATTTATTGTCATTTTTCATTTATTGTATTTATAATTAATTTATAAAATTTCTAAAAATGTTTCAATTTTCTTAAAGAAAGAATTAATATTTGGAATTATACCAGTTTCGATTTTGAGACGGCTTTAATCGGTTTTAATTTTTTTCTTACTCAACTTTTTCTTAGAGGGGAAATCACTCAAACCTAATTTATACTCAAGAAGTCAAACTATATCTTTCCTTACATATTAAATTGAACTATATACATTAAATTAAACTAGCATAATTTAAAAAATAAAAATAAAAATAAAGTAAAGTAGCATACTTTAAAAGCACTGTTAGTAGGTTACCACACTAATAAACCAAATAGGAGGATATAAATATAGCACACCACAACCCCACAATTTGCATAATCTCCAAATACTAATAAAAAATAAAAGAGAAACAAAAAAAACTATTTAAAAAAAAAAATTAAAACAGAAAACAGAGACGAGAGAGAGAGGAGAGACCCTTCTTCACGCGTTTACCACCTCCCTCCTCTTCTTCTTCTTCCTCCTTCTGCTCAAATTCCTTCTCTCTATATTTGCAGGGGAATTCACATTCCTTTCAATTCCTTCCCGTTTCCCTTCAACTTCCCCCCCTCTCCCCCCCTCTCTCTCTCTCTCTCTCTCTCTTTGACTGTTTAAAATTCTCTGTTTCTCTCCATGTCAGAGATCCATGGAAGACCTATTAATCTCTGTTAATTCGTTTCTATTTCCAGATCCGTACCAACCTAGTGCACCTTACCTCACCTAAAATCGTTTCACCTCCTCGAATCTCAGCCGTCTGATCGGAACTTACAGATCCTTCGGCCTCATATATAAAAACCCAACATGAAGACCACATCCCGGCTCTTCACAATCGGACTAGTGACCTCTTGGTACTCCTCAAATATCGGGGTTCTGTTACTGAATAAGTACTTGCTAAGCAATTATGGGTTCAAGTACCCGATCTTTCTCACCATGTGCCATATGACCGCTTGTAGTTTGCTAAGCTATGTGGCCATTGCATGGATGAAGATGGTTCCTATGCAGACAATTCGTTCCCGCCTTCAATTCCTCAAGATCTCCGCCTTGAGTCTCGTTTTCTGTGTGTCGGTCGTGTTTGGTAATATTTCCTTGAGGTTTCTTCCCGTTTCGTTTAATCAGGCTATTGGAGCTACGACGCCGTTTTTCACTGCAATTTTCGCTTATTTGATGACCCTTAAGAGGGAGGCATGGCTTACTTACGTCACCTTGATTCCCGTCGTTACTGGAGTTATTATTGCCAGTGGGGTATGTGTTCAGTTTTTTTTTTTTTTTCCTGTTTAAATGATTGGAGTTCTATTTATCTGAATTTTGAGATGGTTTTGCTCTTATTGATGCTAAATTAGTTGATCTTTAATAGGAATTGCTTGAAACTTTAGCTGTTTAGTTGAATTTCCTATGTATTTATATTTATCTAGGGAAGATATAAGAATGGCTTATTCTAATTTGAGTTGCTAATGGGATTTAGTTGAATTTTAGTGGAGCAGTTTGATTTTTTAAGTGAATAGTGTCGGGTATTGAAATTGGCTGTGGTTGCTTGGGCCTTTTGCTTCTAGTTCTTGTTGAAAAAGTTTTTGATGATGGGGGGGAGAAATATAATATTGTGTGGTTGGAATGACTATGAAATTTCAAATCAAAAGTGGAATGAAGAAAAATGGTTGGGTTTGTTGCAGTATATAGTGATTGTTTTTTGTCTCATAGGGCTGTTATCATCTAGGGCTTATGGTTGTTTATTTAGAATATTTATCCAATTCCATTACTTGGAAATCATCTCAAGTAACCTTTGATGGCGTTGAGGTTTTCTTTTCCAAGGGTTTACTATTTTTGCTTCTTAAATGAGTTTTTTTTTTTTTTTTTTTTTTTTTTTTTCAACGACCGCCGTTTTTCTCTGTCACTGCAATTTTATCGCTTATTGAATGAAACCCTTAAAGAGGGAGGCATGGCTTACTTTACGGCCACCTTTGATTCCCGTCGTTACTTTGGAGGGTTGATTAGTGGCGCAGTGGGGTATGTGTTTCAGTTTTAATTTTTTTTGTTTATATATCTCCTGCTTTAACACTCGATTGGAGTTCTAATTATATATGAATTTTGAGTATGGGGTTTTGCTCTTATTGATGCTAAAATTAGTATGATCTCTTTTAACTAGGCATCTGCTTGAAAACTTTAGCTGTCTTACGTTTGAAATTTCCTATGTATTTAATATATTATTCTATAGGGAAGATAATAAGAATGGCTTATTCTATATTTGAGTTTTGCTAATAGGGATTATAGTTGAATTTTGTGGAGCTAGTTTATGAGGTCTTTTTTAAGTGAATAGTGTCGGGTATTCTGAATTTGAGCTGTGGTTGCACTTGGGCCTGTCTTGCTTCTAGTTCTCTGTTGAAAAGGTTTTGAAGTGATGGGGGAGAGAAAATATATATATTGTGTGGTTTGGAAATGACTATGAAATTTCAAATCATAAGTGGAATGAAGAAAAATGGTTGGGTTTGTTGCAGTAGTATTTAGTGATTGTTTTTTGTCTCATAGGGCTGTAATATCATCCTAGGGCCTTAATGGTTTGTTTTATTTAGAATATTATCCAATTCATATAACTTGGAATATTCATACTCAGAGTAACACTTTGATGGCGTGAGGTTTTCTTTTTCCAAAAGGGTTTACTATTTTTTGCTTTCTTTAAATGAAGTTTCTTTTTTTTTTTTTTTTTTTTTTTTTTTTGTCTCTTTTAAATTTTTTTTTTTTTTTTTTTTTTTTTTTTTGTCTCTTTTAAATTTTGCAATATGGGAATCTCTGTAGTGTTCTATGCTACACAAATGATCTGCCGAGGCTAAAAACTTTTCTCTGGTCACAGGGTGAACCGAGTTTTCATCTATTTGGGTTTATAATGTGTATTGCTGCTACAGCTGCAAGGGCACTCAAATCAGTGCTGCAAGGGATTTTGCTTTCATCCGAGGGGTACAGATCTTTGCCTTTTGTTTTCTGTATTATTTGTGTGATTCAAGTTGTGGTACTAATTCTTTCATACTTCAATGATCTAAAAATGGAAATGGACACTAAAAATGTTTGTGACTTCTTTTTAGGGAGAAGCTGAATTCTATGAACTTACTACTGTACATGGCTCCTATAGCTGTTGTGTTTCTACTCCCTGCAACTCTTATTATGGAAGATAACGTGGTTGGCATTACACTGGCTCTTGCCAGAGACGATATCAAGATTGTTTGGTACCTACTATTCAACTCGGCGCTTGCATATTTTGTAAATTTGACCAATTTTTTGGTCACAAAACACACCAGTGCTCTGACCCTACAGGTATTTGTTGCTTTCACAAATGCTCTTCCATTGTTTATTCCCCCCCCCCCCCCCCCCCCGCCCCCCCCCCCCGCTCCAAACAAAAAAAAAAAAAAAAAACAAACATTGATATTGCCATAAGAGTACTAGTATGTGCTTTCAGGAGTGGTTCTTAAGAAAGCCATGAAATCGTGTAGGTGCTAAATCTAATCCCCTCTGAAGCATGAAATTACAAGAATCTAAGCAATTTTAGTTTCTTGCATACTTCACTTTTGTTACTTAGGAAATAGACAATGTTTGGTGCTAGTTAAAAATTTTCAACTCTGTGAAGGACACATTGAGGGATTATAAGAATTTGAAGGCTCAGTTGCATGTTGGCTGCCAGAATTGAGTTTTATATATCTCGCCAAAAACTTGAATTGCTTCTTTTTCCTTATTTGTTATGAATCCACTTCTTTTTCCTTAAATAATTGCTAGAGGCTTCTGATTTTCTTCCATATAAGTGGCTTTCTCTCCATTGGTATTTCTATAGTCCCATATTTTGTTTGATTCTTCAGTTCAAGTACTAATTTGATGAACAGTGACTCCGGTCAGGAATTATTGGTCTGACCAAGTTCTTGAAGTTCTGGGTATTCATTTGAAATTTGGTCTCTGTTTAAGAATCATATTTAGGCAAGTGAATTCGATGGCAATGAGAAAAGACGTCACTGAGCATTAGGTTGTTGGACTAGACTATTATTTCTAGATGTTAGATTTCTCCCTTAGTGTTTGAGGAACTATAAAGACTAATCCATTGGACTTAGTTTGGTGTTTAAATGGTATTGAGTTGTGTTAGGTTCCCACAGTTTTTGGTCAACCTTCTTTAGTGCTTTTCTTTCCTGCATTCTTAATAAATAAAAAATTCAGACGGAGAATTGTTTAACATCAAAAGCTGGGATCTCATGCTACGTTGTGGGTTTGGGGTTGCAGTTTTTGCTTGAAGTGCAGCCTTTAGATTGGAATGAGAATTTCTGTCCTAGTTATCATATGTTTGGTTTTTTAAGAAGTGCTGAAATCCCTGCATGTTATGCTCTGATGATGATGAATTTTTCCTTTCTTGAGAGCAACTTCTGTTTCTCTTCATGGTGCCCATGCCAGGAGGGTGCATGTCTGGGAAGATTCACAATTATGTTAACTGTTATATTATATTTTAACTGTTATTTTATCGTGTTTTTCATTTGTAAAGTTAACCTCTCTAATGTAAAACGAGGTATTGTTAGGGAGTTCATCATCTTGATTTTAAGAATACTATTAGGCTTATGTTCATTTTTCCTTGTTACTGTAGAAGGTAGAGCACTGCCTTTGTGGCTGAAATAATACAGTAACCATTTCTGTGTTTTACTTTTTCCAGTCTCATAATCACCCAAACTACATATTTCATTCATTATGTTAGTCGCCTGTCATGTTGAACTTTGAAGTTTTGATGCTCTTAGATTTTTTAACCAAGTTCCTTATCTTTTTCCTTCTAGAAATTCTTTTGCATTTGTGCATTATCTTTGAAGTTATTCTTTTTTTCAAGGCCTCCTTGAGCTTTGGGATTAAAAAGAAGTGTTCTTGATCTTTCAGGTTCTAGGAAATGCAAAGGGGGCAGTAGCCGTTGTGGTTTCAATTTTAATTTTCAGAAACCCAGTTTCTGTTACCGGAATGCTTGGATATACGCTTACGGTATTTGGAGTCATCCTCTACAGCGAAGCCAAGAAACGGAGCAAATGAAGAGTATTTCTGTGAAAATCTGAAGTGCAGCTTTCCACATATATATTTTGATTCCATCAGTGCCAGGACAGGAAAACAGCAGCAAAGCTTCTTAGGGAACAGTTTGGGCTGCGAATGGCGCCTATGGATTTTGCCTCTAAATTCTATTTTTTCTTTAACGCGGAACCTGGAGATTGGTTTCCATTTGTATCAGCAACAGGTGCAGGATTAGCAACAAGTAGAAAACTTAAAATAAGTCCATTTATCTCTATTTGTCCCGGACAGGGGTTGTAGAGGAAATACTATTTTTCTCTTTTTTTTTTTAAATTCTTTCAGGAAATGATTGTAGAATTGGGTCTTACAGAATCAGTTTGTTGTTGACATTTTCATATTGATTAATTAATGAAGAAACTGTCCAAATTTTTACTGCAATTTACACTTGTGATTTCAGCGTTTGGTACTGGGTGCTGTTTTTTTTTTCCCCTTGTGAATATCATTCAATTCCTCAGCCTCCATCTGTTTCAGAAAGTATTTATTTTTGGAAAATATTCTTAAAAGGGTTCTCTTTGGAAAATTTGAAAGATAATTTTCAAATACTTCATCTTCTATTATTTGATTGTCTTATTAAGGATTAATTAAAATGGTTATTTTAACTCGTAAGACTAAAAAATATTTAGAATTATAAAATAACAACAATTAAACCAGCAGGATAATATTTCATAATCATTCTGATAAGTAACCAGAACCAAAAAAAAAAAACACCTCTATGATAAACTAAGAGTCGTCAAATTTGGATCATTCCTGTGCTTGTCCCATGTCGCTTCAAATTGCAAGCCCTTGCATCTTCAAGTTACAGAGGAGGAAAAAAAAAAAGAGAGAAAAATAAAATGTAAATCAAAGGGTAGAGATTAAAAAAAAGGAAAAAAAATTCGAGAAAATAGGAGAAAACTACAAGTACAGAGAAAACAATAGAATGTTCCTTACTGATGAAGCAAGATCAGTATCTCAAGGACTTCTCTTCTAATTTCTTCACGAGCTGGTTTTAACGCTGCTTCCTTATGTAGAACAACAAGTTCATCCGCTAATCTGTACAAGGACATGAGGACAGGAATCTAGAAATGTGATCTTAATTTAACTAGAAGGTTACTTGCTTAGACATAAGATTCAGTTTTTAATAGATGTTGTGGTTATTCATATCCTCAAGTCAAAGTTGCCCACAAATTGGGGTGGAAGAAGAAATAAACAGTTCTGATATGGAAAAAAACAATCATACTCGATTCACCTTTCAATATAAGGCGTGTTCCTTATCCATGTCAGTTTTAGAACTGTTTGGACTCGTTTGAGAACCTGCACAAGACTGGGGGATTAGTACATCCTGAAAGCCTTGCTCATGAAAATCTTTAATTGATTTTGGATCAGAAGTAAAAAACTTAAAACAATGAGAAAAGGAAAAATCTACCTGATAAGCAAACTAAATGGTCCTGAGCAAAAGACAAGAAAAAGGAAATGCAAGAGAGATACAAAAAGGCCAGAGTTCAACTATAAAGGCTCAAAGCAAAGACAACCAGAAAAATAAAATAAACAAAATGAAAAAAAACTGACAGAGAACAGAAAACAAGATAGAAGTCTTCACTGTTGTATTTATAGTTATTATTGACCAATTGAATATTTTTCTACGGCAAACTTTAATTTGCATGCAACCTGTTTGATACTAATTAATACTAATTAACACTGAAAAGAATTAGTCCTTGTTGAATTACAAGAGCATTTCATTATTCTTACGAGCAGAACAGTTTCATTGTCATCAACATGCATCAAAGAAAAGCGGAAAAAAATCCTTCTGAATCATAAGTTAAGAGCATTGTTATTATTCTTACCAGCAGAACAGTTTCATTGTCATCAGCATGCATCCACTGAAAGAAAAGTGGAAAAATCCTCCTAAAATGAGCTAATAACACAAGACCAACAGCATGAAAAAATGGTTCTATGAATGTAAGCCATGCAACACGGCGATCCTTATTCCTTGGTTGGCGCTCCAAGTGTCCTAACATCTCATTGAGTATCCTCTCAAACCTGAAAAAAGAAAGAAACAATGAAAAACTAGATAAATCCATAATGATTTGCGCTTAAAAAATAAGTAAGTAGAACAAAGAGGTTTGTTTAGAATAAGCAAATGAAATACACATTCCACAGCACTATAATTTATTCTATCTGCTGGAACCATTATAGAGGCAACAAAATGCAATCTGCCATTCCAATATTTACATAATATGGACATGTATAAACCGAATTTGAGCAGCTAATGAATTGAGTATTTCAATTTTCATACAATTTAAAACTAATAACAATCAAATAATAATTTATGAATTCAAGAACGAGGACACTTAAGTTTATTCTATATTACTAAAATGGTTTATCTAAATTTCAATAGCAATTGTCAAATACACTTTCAAGTCAAGCCCAAGAGTGAAAGTTAAAACTTTATAAACTTCAAGCCTCAAATGCTTCAGCTTAGTTTTATTCAACTACACATCTAAGAGGAACTAATTAAATTCCTTACTCAACTTCTATAAAAGACAAGTAAAACTAAGAATATATGGTGAAGTAAATCATCCTGACTCAATAAGTTCAAGCAAGAAGAAAACAATATCATGCCTCCTCCTTTTATCCAATATCTAGTTCATTTGTCAGAACCAGGGTCCCTAGATAATTCACTTAATAATTTTATTTGCAACCTTCCTCTAAAAATTTTAGTACCAATCATTGCACCATTCATCTTTTGCAGCTTTACTAACTACACAGGATTTAGAAAACAAAGATAGCAGGCAATTCCCAGATCAAATGGCAAACTTAATCATGTAAAAGAAAAAGCAGGAAAAACAGGTAGACTATATGTATACCAAGGACTACGAGGATTATTGCACTGGATATTAGTCACTAAAAGCACTGACATCTCAACTACATGATGCCAGATCTCATCAGCAGAAGCAATATTCTGACAACATGCATCAAGAATCACATCTTCATACCAACCAAACTCAGCAGCACTCAAATTTTTTGCAAGATGTATGAAACTAATCATGCCTTGTCCCTGAAACAGAAAGACAAAAGAGAGTTACCCAATGATAACACTTAATTTGTTCAAAATAGTTCTATCCTCTCATAATCATTCTTTGCAATGCCTTATAGAATCCCAACATAACTAAAGACATAAATTATAAAGATTAACTACAGCAGCAATGATGTAGAAAAAGAGGAATTTTGAAATTTAACTTCCCTCCAATTCATGACCTCCATCCACTGCCTTATATGCATGTTGTACTCTTTCTCATTTGATGGAGATGATGTAAGAAAACAACAGTTGATTTAGAACTATTTTAAAGAACATTTTGTGAAACTTATAATTTGTCCATGTCAGTCCCTCTAGTACTAAAAATAAATAAGGCTAAAAGTCAGAGCATTTGGAAGGTTATTGTCTGCTTCATGAAAAAAAAAGAAATGTTACTATCATTTGAGAAGATGATCCTTTTCTCCTCAAAACATCAATTTTCCCCGCAGTAGACAATTTAATTAGACTCATGTTACAAGTATTGCACATAATGAGAAAAGGATATTCAAGAACATACATACTTTCACCTCCGGTGACCAGTGATCAAGTGCAGTCAACCCACAAGGAATCACCAAATTAGATAACCTTCCCAAATGCGGATAATCAACCTACCAAAATAAATAAACAATGAAACAGCATTAGCACAACACCAGTTAAACACAAACAAACCCCTAAAGTGTCATAAGGACCTCAAATATAATAATAATAATACCAAAAAAAAAAAAAATCCAAATCTTTCAAACCTGAGTAACAAACCATCTAAACTGATAGGCAGCCAAAATGGCATACCCAACAGGAGCTCTAGCTGAAGCAGCAGAAACCTCATCTCCATCAGCATCCTTATCAATACAACTCTCTTTAATATTCTCTTTCAACAAAGGCAAAACCTCAGGCATCAATTCCACCACTAACCTCTTCTCTTCACTCACCGAACCACAATCCAATCCTAACAGCTCACTAACTCTCCTCTCATTTCTATCCCCAAAGCTGCTCCCACAATAAGCTTTAGAGAGCTCCATAAAAGCTGCAGTCGCCATAACAGAAAGCTCATTGGGTATCCATGAAAGCAATTCATGGGTCGAGGTTTGAGAGGACGACAACAATGCACATGCTAAAGCGAAGTCCTTAATTGAATTGTGGATTAAGGTTTCAGTGGTTTGAGGGTTAGAGAGAAGAGATTCGAGTATGGATTTCGTTGAGACATTTGTACCTTCAGGTGGTTTGTAGTTTATTCTGGAAACAGAGTCCAGTATTGCAGCTGATAACCTGAATCAGTGAGAGAAATTCAGTATAAAAGAAAGTTATAAATAAAATATAGAAGTACAGAGAAGAAGAAGCTTACCGAATTAGATGGCTATGGAGAACTGAGAAAGAAGACATGTTTTGGCTCTCAATTGGTTGCAAATCTTCCGTGATTGTTCAAACTTGGATGGTTATATAAGGTTTTTACAGCTGCTAAACGGCATCCCACTCTGACTCAACGACATCAACTCTATCGAAACGGTGGCGTGACAAGCGGCCTAGTTTCGACCCAATTAGCTGATAGGCCCAAAGGATAAACTCGTAAATATCGACAAACAATAAGGTTAATTTTCGTAATTTTACAGAACGCCATTTACCCATTTTACTCCGCCCATTTACTAGCTACCATTTCACCTCTCTGAAAAAAAAAAAAACTTCATCGCTGCTGTTACCTTTATCCCTTTCCTTTTTTTTTTTTTAATTATTTTTTAAATATAATCCAAAATGGAATTACTGACCGGCGACCGGCCAGTACCGAACTCTACAGACTTTCCTCAACAAATATCTCCTTTTCCGGCGACCGGAAACCTTCTCATCTCCAATCCAATGGCTAACATTCACTCATCAGATATCGACCGTCAAAACTTGCCGCCACAGAAGCTCCGTCCTATCAGAGCAAACGGCAGGTCCCCGTCGAGCTCTCAGATAAATGATCTGTCGTTGGCGGCTGGGTTAGACGGGACACTGGAGAACTTAGGGCTTTTGGCAGACCAGGTGTGTGGGATAAATAGAGAGGCTTGCGAGTATTTCAAGCCGCCAGCGAAAGCGGAGGCCAGTGACGTGGCGGTTACTGGCTTTGGGGAGCTTAGGGCTCCGTATTTGGTGGAAGATTCGGAGACAATCGGATCGGGTGCGGGTGCAGGGAATCAAAACCCGAATAGCGAGGGAGGTGCTTTGGTGGATGAATTTAGGTGAGTTTTCTTTTTCAGAAGTTTATCCAAGAAATTATTGATTTTATGTATGAAAAAAAATTGTTTTTTTATTATTTTATTTTGCTTAATGCTTACCCTTTTTTATATTATCAGAATTTAATTGTCAAATTTAACAATTACTAATAATTGAGCTCAAACAAGCTGCTCACAAAGCCTAAACGAGCTGAATCTCAAGCTTGGCTCATTTAAGAATCATTTGCACCCATACACAGCTTAGTAATTTCTGCGGTAAGGCAGAATCAAGGCATTACTTCAATCTGAAAACTATATTATTATCTGGTGGAATCTGTTCAAGAAACTCATTTTGTGGATATTAGACCACAGATGATTTCTTTGGATACCAATTTAGTTAATTGAGTCTTCTGTGTTTCAGTTCATCTTCAGATGATGATTCATCAGGAGCAGGAATGAATGAAAGTGCAAGGCGGAAGAGAAAAAGAAAAACAAGGGAAAAGCTTGAGAATTTTTTGGAAAATATGGTAAGGCAAATTTTGCAAAAGCAAGACCAGATGCATAAGCAATTGATAGAGACAATGGAGAGGAAAGAGCTTGAGAGAATAATGAGAGAAGAAGCTTGGAAACAGCAGGAGAAAGAAAGGAGGAAAAGGGATGAAGAAGTACGCGCCCAAGAGAATGCTCGAAGCCTTGCCCTCATTTCTTTTATTCAGAATGTGATGGGCCATAAAATTGAAATCCCTCAGTCTTTGACAACAGAGTTTCCTCTTGCACCTCAACCTTTGACAACAGAGTTTCCTCTTGCAGCAAGCCATGGAGAAAAGGATGGAAGCAGTATTTGTATTCAAAGTGATCTGAAGTCTGATCCAAGTAATAGAAGATGGCCAGATACTGAAGTACAAGCCCTTATAATGCTACGAACTGCTTTAGAACAGAAGTTTCGAGCTATGGGTGCCAAATGCTCTAATATATGGGATGAGGTATCTGCAGGAATGTCCAATATGGGCTATAATCGAACTGCAAAAAAGTGTAAAGAGAAATGGGAAAACATCAACAAGTACTTCAGAAAATCAATGGAAAGCGGTGGAAAGAAGCGGCATGAAAATAGTAAGACTTGCCCATATTTTCATGAACTGCATATTTTATACAAAAATGGTTTTGTCAATCCAGGAAATGCTAACATTGAAAATGAGGCCAATAGTAGTAAGGAATAAAGGATAGACCTTAAAACACTGGTTTAAGCCTTTGATAGAGAAGGAAAACAGGAAAGCACCTGAAATTTACAAGATTCGGATCTTTCTTTGATTGTGCTTTTTAGTCAATTAAGGTATCTGTATGATCTTTGGATAAAACCTTCTTGATGCATTAGTTGTTTGCATATTGACTATGCATGAAAAGTTCTGTGACAATTGTTGTCTAACAAAATGGATAGAAAAGATTCATTATAGCTAAATATTCCTCTTCTCAGTTTCTTTTTCGTAAATGAGCTCTCAAAGGGGCAAAGGGTGTTAGGGTATTAGCTCAATGACCTTTATCTTAGTCTCTTTTTATCATTATTCTCTGTACATTCTGATTTCTCGATGGCTGATAATCCAGGGTATTGATTAAATGTTTCATTTCTTTTCTTTCCTGTGTAGATGATATTGCATTAAGATTCACTAGTCTACTAGATATGATTGGAAGTAGAATACTAAATCAATCGTATTTTTATGTTCTTATAATTATTATTAATTCATTTTCATATATACATGGTTACACGTGGTTTTACTATTCTTGTAATTCAGGATTTTTAGGGTCAGGATTAGTAGTTACTCCCTCTATTCACAAATACATTATACAGGTCCTTGAAGGTAGTTTTTTTTTTTTTTTCTAAGTTCGTCAACAACATTTTAAGTAGTAAAAGTCAAAACTTTGAACGTTATTTTCTATAATGTTTGAACTAGTTTTTAGACTTTTAGTCTTTTATAAAAGGTTAATCCATATATCGTTTAGCTTTTTATGAAAAACTACTCAAACAGCTACTAGCTATTCAAATAGTTAAAGGCTACTAAAACAGTTTTGAGAATCGCAAGGAATAATTAATAATGTGTTTTTTAATTACCTACAACAACTTTAAACGAATTTATAGATGGAGGGAACATTAATTACCAGCCATCAATAGTAATTGCCAATTGGAACAGGTCTAAGTTTGCTGTTAAAAGTTAAAACATTCGAAAAAGAATAAGAAGTGTACAATAAGATGGCGACCAAATTACTTTACGTGCTGTCAGGTAATAAAAGGTTTTATCTTTTGTTCTTCATCATAGGGTGCAAGTGCATGCTGTGGTGGTGGCATATATAATAGCATGTGACTATGTCGCTTGCAATTTAAGGGTCGGGCAAAACTACAGTGAGTGAGCGAGTGAGTCATCCAATTGGGCCCCCTCAGTTCCACCTTTATTATCTTTACCATGCCAGTCTTCTTCGTGAAAAAAAATTATTAAAACAAAATGCTTTCATATATTCTAAAAATAATAATTGTAATAATGGTCCATTTCATTTGGATAGTTTAGTTGATATTTGATTTTTAAATTATAGTGGTTAGTGGGTATATAAACCCACAAGCATTGCATCTTATAAACTATTAGTTATTCAAACTTGTGGCTCTTTCAATAATATTAATTAAGAAAATAAAATAATAAAGAAAAAAATTTTGGTAGTATAAGTAAGTTGGACATCTGACCGAACCTAAGCCTCTTTCTATGAGAAAATATCGTGTCTTCTGGTTTACGCTACCATTGTGAGGTTTCAAGTTCGAATCCTTTTCATTATAAATATTTTTATCATCCTTTTCATTATAAATATTTTTACCATCTCGTTGATCCAAAAAGAGAGCTACCTGGATTGTTTCGGTCCTTTTCATTATAAATGTTTTTATCACCTTGGTTATCCAAAAGGAGAACTATCCATATTGTGTACTCACAATGTTAGTGGATCTATTGGGCTTTCCAATGCATGCTTCGGCAATTTTAATTACATTAATCGTTAATCGATTAATTATTAAAAAATAAATAAAATTAAATGGATGATTTATTTTCTAAGTTTAGAATATATTATAACAGAAATGAAACATTGAACTTGAGAAAATTAAATTGTTTTTGCATTACTTTTAACTCATATACTATTGTTGTATCTGCACTAATTTGACAAATAAAGTTTTCACCTAATTAAGAAATATATCATTTATTATACAGTTCCTTTCAAATACAACTATTTAATGGCATGCAAAATTTATCTCTAAATGCTTTTTTTTTTTTTTTTTAACATGTGAACTTTGAGAAAATTAAGTTGTTTTTCATTTACTTTTAAAACCTCATATACTATTGTTGGAATCTGCACTTAAATTTGACAAAATAAAAGTTTTCTACCTAATTAAGAAATATATTCATTTATTATTACAGTTTTCCTTTCCAAATACAACTATTTAATTGGCCATGCAAAAATTTATCTCTAAATGCTTTTTTTTTTTTTGGTAAACTCTAATGTATGTAATTAAATAGAATCTAAAAAAACAATATAAAAGTGATCATTATCTCTAAATGCTTTTTTTTTTTTTTTTGGTAAACTCTAAATGTATGTAATTTAAATAGATCTAAAAAAACAATATAAAAGTTATGATTGGTGAACTGTAATAAAATGTAATATAATTTAATATAAAAATATTATATAAAATGCATTTGATTATATTTTAATTCATAAAATAGAGTTTTAAACTTAAATGCCACTGATATAAAAATCTCACCATTCATATTTAAAAAAATAATAATGTGTAAAATCATAAAATTAATTTTAAAAACTGTTTCTACTAAAATTAAAATTTGAAGATGTTACATTTTGTTAAGCAGTAAAATTTCCTGCGAAACAAACAGAACAGAAAAATGCCGCGTAATCGAGACCGTTGAACCAGACAAACACATAGATACAGAAATTTTGGTCGTGGAGCCCAAATTACTTCCAGCGAAGATATTATCTCTCTCTCTTTCTCTGTCATCATAACAATCATCCACTTCTCTCTCTATCCCTTCGCTGCAAAAAGCGCACAAATCCCATTCTCCGCTCCTCTCTCTCCTTCTTTATAACTTCGGTTCTTGGTTCTTTAAGGACTATAAACTTTCTTTGACTCTTCTAGTCTCATTCAACTTCTCTTCAATTTTCTTTTTCATTTTTTTTTTTTGTTTTTTTGACTGCCGTTATCTTTCGCTGTCAGATCGAGAATTTCAGCTCAAGTTTATTCTTCCATTAAGGTATGCACCTTTCATTTTGTTGAGCAATTTCAGATTTTGATATCGTTTCCATTTTCCTTTCTAGTTATAGATCTTAACCCATTTTCGCTTTTGTAATTACTCTCTGGCTTTTGACGCCTAATTAGATCAATTAATTGGGATTTAGCTGTGATATTCTGATTTAAGGACTTGCATTTCCGTTTCCTTTTGGTCTCAGATCGGTAGCAAAATTTGTATTTCGAGGTTTATATTTTGTTTGTATTAATATTCAGAAAGCAAAGATAGAAGATTTTACCTCCTCTGCGTCTTAAATATATCAATTCCAGTTAAAAGTTCAAATTTTTTGCTAGTATTGCTTCTTTTTTTGTGCCATTATTTTTACTTGATTTATTGTAATAGTACAGATAGTTCAAAAGAGAAGAGTGTTTTAGTAAAGCTGATTGGTGGTTTTCTTTTTAATTGGTAGGTAATTGTGGAGAAGTAAAAGAACAGTTGGATCTAAGACATATACATATTCTTTAGCGGCCACTATGTCTTTTACTGGTACCCAGCAGAAATGCAAGGCTTGTGAGAAGACTGTTTATCCTATGGAACTTCTATCAGCGGATGGTATTTCTTACCATAAGTCTTGCTTTAAGTGCTTTCACTGCAAAGGCACTTTGAAGGTACCAATATCTTAATTTGTGGATTAGCTTGCTTTATGCTCTTTCGCGAAGTAATGCTAAATATGATTGTTTGTTTAACATACTACTAGAAACCAGTGGACTTCTAGGATAATGAGTTGTTAATTTCATTGATTATGTGAAACTAAGTGGAATTATCTACATTATTGCTTGTTTATTGATGTTTTTAGCCTACAATATGCTAGCGACCTTTGATTTTACGTATACTTTTTTCTTTTTCTTCCTTAAATCAACTGTTTTTTTAGAGATTACCTTGAGAAAGAATTCTTTATCATTGACAAATTACATACCAATTTGTTTATCATTGTTTGTAATACAGACAGACAACTTTGTGCTTACCACGTTGTGTGATTTGTATGGTTCCAGCTGAGCAATTATTCCTCGATGGAAGGTGTATTATACTGTAAGCCTCACTTTGAGCAACTGTTCAAGGAGACGGGAAATTTCAACAAAAATTTTCAATCACGTATGTCTCTTATCCTTGCTGGGCTAAATTCTTTTATTCAATTGCCAATTTTTTTTTATTTTAGCTTTTTTTAATTGAAATTACTTTAATTTTCAACAGCTGCAAAGTCAGCTGAGAAGTTAACTCCTGAACTGGTAAACATTCCCTCAAATGCTGCATATATTTATATATATATCACTTTGTGCATTTCTGCATGTGCTGTTGTATTTTGTTGCTTAGATTTGTTTCTGATTGTCAATAGCTTGTTCTGATTTCAGACAAGGTCACCTAGCAAAGCTGCTAGCATGTTTTCTGGGACACAAGAAAAATGTGCTACTTGTGGTAAAACAGCTTATCCACTCGAGAAGGTACGGTATTATGAAGATTTAAAAATTTCATAATATGCAATGTCATACATTTACCACTACCTTATAGCTTTCCCCCAATCAAGATTTTGACCGCTTGACTTAGTTAATGGTTTTCTTTGTTGATTAATGTCTTCCCTTGAATTGCTTGCTTATAAAGTCCATATGAATGAAGTTCAACTAAAAATAAATATTCTGAGGCAAATACATTGGTTTCTATTTCAGATAGTGCATCTCTTTGTGACAATAATTATCTGCATGTCCTTCGTGGCATAAACCCATGGATTAAGGGCCACTCTGATTACAACCAACTGCAATTTATTTCCTACTAGCTTAAAAGATCTGGAAAAGTGCTTCTCCTATAGATTGAAAGACTACCCCAACTTAACCTTAACTCATTATTTAAGTTGTTCAATTATTTGGTATATCATTGCTTTCATCGCATGCTCTTTTTGTCATCTGCAATGAATAGCAGGGCACTAATATCACAGTATGCTTACAGTATATTCTCAATTGTTAGTAGATGTTGCCATGCCATCCTGTGAAGTAAAGTTGAATCACTTCCTTATGCTAAAATGATTATAAAATTTTAGAATCATAAAGTGTAAAATTCTTAGAGCAAGCCTTGGTACAACAGTTAGGTTACTTCTATCATAAGTTTTGAGGCTCGGAAACGACCTTTCTGAAGAAGAAGAATAGGTAAAGATAACCCTCCCTTGACCCTCACAATGCATGCCTAAAACTGCAGTTTGGTATTCCAAAGATAATGAATAGTAGTCTTTATCCCAAAAGTCACTTTTGTGGTTAACGACTAATTTTTGGATGCATTCAGCAGTCACCTGCATCAAGCCTACAAGAATATTTTTTCTTACTTTGATTGGTTTAACTGTAGGTTGCTTAGCATGTGTACCACCTTTATGTCATGTACTTGCTTGCATGTGGGTCCAAAGTGCAGCTACATGTCCATTACCAGCATTTTTGTATCATTTTGCCTCTCCAACCTAAGCTTTTAGAAATTTTGCTTTATCAAGTACTAAAAATCATTTATCAGAGGTTCCTGAATAGCTTCCTCTAAAGCAAGCATTAATTTGTTATCAAGATGCATCTGTATATTAAAGTCTGAAATGCTATGACTTAGTATGACAAATTCCTCCATCTCTATGTTTTTCATGTGGTGCTTACCATCTGTAAGAGGCTAGTCTGAATGCATCTCTCTTGTTAGAGATGAAGTATCTGTTATTATATTTTTAGTTGGGCTCTTCAAACTTTCTGAAGGATATAAAGAAGGTACCTACCTGGGGTTTGTTTCTATCAAGTAGCTGAGATTTGGTGGCAAGACAAGGTTAAAATGTTCATGAGGCCTACAAAAATTAATTGGAAAGATATATTCTTACTTGGGCCAATCCTATCAGAACTTTTGGATATAGAAGCGTTTTCATATTTGGTTTGGATCTCCTTCGATAGAAGAGAACACAAGAAATAGTGAATTCCAGCTAGGACAAACCTTTAACTGACAGCTGATAATGCATAGTGGTGGTGGTTGATGTTTTAGATGTACTCTTGGAATATTACAATCTCTTTCCCTCTATGAACTTTTAAGCAGTTGGGAAAATTATTTTCCACTTTGAGAACTGAAAGGTCATGTTCCTTGAAAATGTATTGTTGTCGCGAAAGAAATGGTGCCTAAGATTCAAACTTGTCATGAAACTGAATGTTATATATTTTTATGTTGATATTCATTTATTTGTCTTTCTGGTGAGTTATCAGTCATACCATCCAATGTATGTCGTGACATGAAGAATTATATGTAGTTTCTTTTTTGTATGGAAAAAACCACAGGTAACAGTGGAAAGCCAAGCCTACCACAAGTCATGTTTCAAATGCTCTCATGGTGGCTGTTCGTTATCACCTTCAAATTATGCAGCACTTGAAGGTGTTTTGTATTGCAAACATCATTTCTCCCAACTTTTCAAGGAGAAAGGAAGCTACAACCATCTTATAAAGTCTGCATCAATGAAACGTGCTGCAGCTTCCATGCCAGAGGCCTGAATACCTTATTGACAATTTGATATCTATATCATGTGTGGCTTTCTATTTTTTTTTTGTGTGCTTTCCTTCGGCTCCGACTTCCATTTTGAGGAATTGGCAAATCTTGGTTCTGCCTCCTTTTTGGCTTTCGGCTTGTTTAATGGCCTTATCGTTGTGTTTGATTGATGGATGGGATACACATTCCCTCAATTGTAAAATGATCCATGGAGAACTTTATCTGCAAATGTGGATGTTACTAGTGCTTCTTCATTTTATGTTTCTGGGTTTGTTACAACAAGCATGGATGATGAAGTGTTCATTACTAATTTTTTCTTGTTTCTCAGGTTTCAAGAGACATATCTTCTATATGCCAATCTAACTTTTTATTGCTTCCTCAAGAGAAATAAACTTGTTGATCTTTCTCCATTAGTGGCTTTCTTAGTAAAACACAAAGCAAATTGCCTCATTTTTCTTTAGTCCTGCAAAATAAAAAACTTAAATGTAAATAATCTGAAGATAGATTTATATTGCAAAGATTATATTCCATTCTCATCTACATAACAAATTTATGTGGCCTTAATTCCTTCAGAAACAGACATTGCCAAGATAGAAATATGCATTTCTGCCCTGAAATAGGGAAAAGAAATATAATTTTATTTATTTTTTTCTTCACTTTCACAGCAATGATACAGGAACTCAAGAATATATAAATGAAAGAAGAAAAAGGGCATCTGTTTGACATCTAGATATAAGATATATTTTGGTAGTTGTTAGTTATAATTGAAAGAAGAAAAAGAGCATCTGTTTGACATCTATATATAAGATATATTTTGGTAGTTATTAGTTATTTTTACTAGCGTTTCATAAAAAGTTATTTTACCGTTTAAAAGTTAGTTTAAATGTTATATTACTGAGAACTATAAAAAAAAACGTTCAATGTTTTGACCGATCAAAAAGTTAAAAATTACTTAAAAATAACAATCAACTAAATAAGAAAACAACAAGTAGTTTTTTAGTCTTTAGACCTCATTTTAAATTGCTAAATCTAATAATATATAACTAATCACTTATATAATACTTCAATACTAATATAAATACAATAACATTTCTTTATAAAACTTACCTAAATGATTTCATGAACTACAATCTAAAAAACCAATTATTTTCTAATAAAATTTTTTATATAGTCGATTAATTAAATTGATTAATTATTCAATCTTTATCTGCCTGACAAAAATACAAAACCACAAAATATTATAATAAATGCGATTTTCAAAATCACGTCTCTAATTTCTGAATACTCCTAAATAACTCATAAAATAGAAAAAAAAAAAAACATTTTGCGATTTTTATTTTTGTCATAGCAACTTATTATATCACACTACGAGTCTATATCAGTACGACGACTACTAATACCATAAGCAGCCAAGAAATTAGGCTTTGGTCAACGGAGTCTCTATGACCTACATGACGCTGACGTGGCAGATTGTTCGAAATTTCCCGCCAATCCAATATCCAAAGAGGACGTACACTTAAAACCATCTCCCTGGCTCTAAACACACGGAAGTAACAGAACCAAATTCTTCTTTCTCCCTGTCTATCAGAAATCAGAATTCAGAACCGGAAACCATGACTGTCGCTTCCATCTTCGTGCTCTGGCTCCAAACCCTAGCTTTCCTTCCCGTAAACGCCTCGGTTCCTTCTCCTTCCTCCACGGCTATTGGCGTCACTTACAACTCACCTTTTTCTCCTTCCACTCCATCTCCATCGGCGGATCGCATCGCCTCCGTTGTCTCAGCTCTCCACTTTGACTGCCTCCGCCTTCCAAATCCCGATCCTAACCTAATACGCTCCTTCGCTTTCACCAACATTTCTCTTTTCCTCTCCATCCCAAACACTCTTCTTCTTCCTCTCGCCTACAATCGCTCAGTTGCTGTTCAATGGCTGTCAGGACATGTCCTCCCTTTCTATCCTCGCACTAAGATTTCTATCATCTCCGTCGGCGATGATGCCGTTTCTACGGAGCTTTCACCCTATCTCCTTCCAGCAATCAGGAACGTGCGCCTCGCGCTTCATGACGTCGGGATTAGCAAAATCTCCGTCTCCACTACCTTCTCTTTTGTTAACGTCATCACGGACGCGTTTCCGCCATCGGCGGCATTGTTCCAAGAGCCGATTGTTGAACCTGTAATCAAGCCTTTGCTTCAGTTCCTAGAAGATAACAATTCATCTTTCGTGGTGAAGCTTTTTCCGTATAATATGTACAAGACGAACTCTGAAATTCCCTTAGGGTTTGCTTTGTTTCAAGAGTATCCTTTCAATTTCAGAGATGATTTGGTTACCGGAGTTAGGTACAGGAATCTCTTCGACATTATGGTGGATTCCGTTGTTACGTCAATGGCGGTAGCCGGCTATCAGAATATTCCGATTATTGTGGCTGAAACTGGTTGGCCGAGCTCCAGTAGCGATTTTAGTGAGGTTGACGCGACTCCTGCCTATGCGGAAACTTATATCAAAGGTTTGGTTGCTCACTTGAATTCTGGCTTGGGTACACCTTTGAGGAAAGAGGGTGTTGCAGAGACTTACATTTTTGAATTGGCTGATGAGGAAGTGAACCAGAGGACTCGAAATTGGGGTGTTCTATATGCAAATATGACCAAGAAGTACAATGTTGAGTTTTCTGGTAGAGGCAGGAGTGATGTGGCAGCAGGGATTTTGCTAGTCATCTGCTTGTTGATGGTTGCTTGCTCGCTGTTTTAGCAGATATTTGAGCTGAATGAATGAAATTTTTAGGTTTAAGTTTTGGAAGTGATGGTACTGTCATTGTAGAGATACTGACAAAGAGATTGTGTTTAGTATATGAATTCTTTGGTGAAAATAGAACAGATGTAAAAATTAGAATATCTCATTTGGTTTCCACAATTTTTTTCTTTTTTTGGTAAGAAAAAGCGGCTAGACAAAGCTAGCTAGCAACACTACAAACTGAACGGGCATCAAAATTAAGAAGAGGCAGCAGACTCAAAGGAGCATCATCCAATAGCTGAACTCCATAAGCCAGGTGATCAGCTTCCACAATATTAATTGAACAAAATTGAAAATATTAATTGTGTTATTATTTTATTTACTAATTTACAAAATATTAATGATATTATTAATTTTATTAATTATTAACAAACTGAAATATCATTAAATGATAATATTTATATACAACAGAGTACTAGTTGACTTGACTACGAGAAACTGAAAACTATTCACATATAAATAATAAATCAGATGCGGCCATCGGAAATGATCTATTTTTGCTCACCCGTGTTATTTACAGGAAGATTGAAACAGTAATACATAGGATTTGGAAGCTTAAAAATGTGCTGTTCTGAAAATGGACCTGTCAAACTATCCATCTGGCTGCTAATTATGCCTGAGATTCGGAAGCCTTCTTTCTGCAGCACCATTCTCCGTTTTGAAAGGTATTGACGATCGTCCATTTCCATTTCATCATTCAATCTACACGAATAGTGATATATTCAGCTTGCAAACAAACAAGCAAACCATGAAACCAATATGAAAAAAAAAAAAGGGTGTTCAAACGACAAAGACATGGCAAGCAATATAATGTCAGTCACCCGACCGAATGTGCATATGCTTTTATAGGTTCTTCTAGAATTCGGTAATTGGTAATAGGAGTTAATATAAATCTTGTGATGTCAACAAAGAAGGCATACAAGGTTTGTAATAAATTGTTAATTAGAAATTACAAAACCAGAAAACAGAACTTATAGATAAGAAACAAGAAAACAAAGAATCTTAATGTATCCTCCAACATTGAAAAATTCCAGGTACAAGTCCTAAATAGTAAAATGCACAAGCAAATTTAATTTCTATAGAAAATCAATAATTTAATGCAAATGATTCACAAATGTACTTGTCCTTATATGGATTATCTAGTCCAAAAAGAGAGCAACATGTACACAGGCAAATTATATTATTATTATGAATACCCGTAAAATGGATCAAATTGGATTACAACCGCAAAATAATTTTGATGAACCCACACTCAAGACAATATTTGGACAAACATCATTAAAATGATTTCTCCATATTTTCAATCATCATTTGTGCTTCCTCGAAAATATATAATCATCATTTGTGGCTTCCTCGAAAACTATAGTGAGGTAGGTGATAGGGGTAGGAGGTTTAGAGGGGTATATATATAATAGGATATCTGAAAGGTTTCTGTAATGGTTTATTTTCGGATTCAAGCGTATTTCCCCACCTAGAAAATTAAGGTAATTCGGACTGGTGACACTAAGCCAAAAAATCATATTTTATATATCTTGAAAGTTTTCTGTAAGTGGTTTATTTTGGATCAAGCGTATTCCCCACCTAGAAAATAAGTATCGGACGGTGACACTAAGCCAAAAATTCATATTTACTTTATGCTCCAAGAATGTGTTAGCCCCAACTGTGTATGTAGCAAATTTTAGCATCTTCAGAAAAAAAAAAAAAATAAATAAATAAATAAATAAAAACGAAAAGAAAAGAAAGATCTAGTATAAGAATATTGTAAACGTTGCCTTACTAGAATGCCAAAAATTATTTAAAACCAACACTCTAACTTTCTTATATAGCTGCTTATAATATCAGAGTTTGCTGACTAATGAAATCATTCAGTAGGTTTGCAGAAAGGAGCACAGGAACAATACCTCATGATCACGGACAACCAACCTTTGTAACCTGCAGAGGTAAGGTGATATATGGTTGCATTCCGTAGTGTCTCTGGCCTTCTTGATAATAAAATCAAAGACCACCCTCTAGTTTGAAGTTTTATGTATAATCTTAGAAGAAGTCTTTGCTTCAAATGTTTTGCTTCCTCAAAACAGTGATGACTGTGCTGATTTAACCTGTCATGAAGGCAATAAAATGTTTTTTTTTTTTTTTTTAAAGAAATAATATCTAAAATGATAAGATACGAAAAAATAGAAACAGAAGAATGAACTAATTCTAAGAAAAATGACATTGTTGATTTTATCTTTTAAGAAAAGAATGCAGATGTGTCAATGTTATAGCAGACGAGAAGAGAGATTCGGTTAGTATAAATGTTCTACATGGGCAAATAAATTTAAAGAGAGATGTAGATCTTCTAGACAAGCATGAGATAACTTGAACAAACACTTTTGGAGGGGAATCTTATTTATAGAAGGTAGAAACTTCAAACAAGCCAACAGTCAAGAAACTGCTAATAAGCCGACAATCAAGAAACTGCTAATTCAGTTGGTGATCTAATATCCATCTAGATACTAGTAAACAACTAGGCAGGCAGGTGAAGATAGTAAGGAAGTTACCTGTGCATCAAGGGATAGGCATAAGGAGGAATTGAAGGAAGAAATTCATCTAGGTCCATCAATACCACGTCTAGACCATCATTTAATGGCATGAAACTGTCAAAGTATTTATCAACTAACCACATAGTACTGTTTAAATCTCTTCCATATTGACTTTCTATGATGTGCTGCATAGCGAGACTCATGCAAATTGTAGGGAATTCAATTTGTCTCAAGTTGTTGAGCTCTGCATATATGGCAAAAATCTTGCAGTAGTTATAATCATCATTTAGCTTTTGAATCTCAATAACACCTTTACTTCTATTCTGACAGGACTGCAACATTACTGTTAAAGCAATCAGCAAGGTGATGAATAAAACTCCAACAGTTACAAGAGCACCCATGAAGATCATTGCAGCAAAGGATGTCATGTAGAACCCTGACTCTACCTCATAACGGCTTTCCATCTCTGTACCATTAGAAACAGAATGCAATTTATTATTATTATGTAAGATGTAAACAATAATTCTTATGAAGAGGTACTCTTTTGTTAGTTTACAGTATGTTAGAAGTGAAAGAAAAAAGAAACTGGACTACAACTAACAAGTTATTTCATGTGGAACAAGCATAAGATATACCATGTCCACAACCATTCTAGTCTGGAATTTGAGTTTAGCTTGAGAAATAACTGCAAAATGAATATGTTTTTCACCATGATAGTTCAAGCTTTCAATCTCAATTCACAATTTCTGTCCAGTAGCTATCTATAAACAAATTTTTAGTCTTTAAATTATTTACAATAGGAAGTAATAAATTTTCGGTACTCCACTACTCTCCATCAGTGCAGGGCTGTGTTATCTATAAAATCACAAGTACCTTTGGACATACATAAATAAATAAAAGGTGCACTTACCAGAGCCTCCTCTACTAGAGAGACCGTGAGCAGAGAACTCCCTCTCCATTTGATGTGCATAAGCTGACATTGCTTTGACCTAACCAGCAATTACCAGATCAAATTATACGGTGCAAAGAATCTCCAGTTCCTTTCCAAATGAAATATGGAGATCACCTGAAAAACAAAGATCAAGCTCACTAATACAACACGTGTCATCATCACCAATCACACAAAACTATAACAGATGCACAACCTTATAATGAGACCAAATTCAGAACTTCAATGCTGACGCATTAACCATGCCAGCAGCTACCAGCACTACATTCTCCATTTGTTTGCCTATGACAATAATTCAAACACACAAGAAAGCAGTAAGAAGCAACCATTATATTCTTTCAGGAGGAATTAAATCATAAATTTTACCAAGATCTAAATATTCCATTTTGCAACAAAAGAGTAAGCTCTTTAATAAAGTTACCCATTTAGGTCTTGTTGTTTCTGCTTATAAATCTAAAACAAAGAATTCGATCAAGTTTCACAATCTTATCACCAACCGATCAGCCAATTTTATACCCAAACAAGCAGAAAAACGAACTGGGTCGACAAATCTTTCACTGATCAATCCATTTACACTGTTCAAGCGATATGCTAATAAGTTCGATTCATCTACGAGAATCAACCCATATTATGAAAAGAAAAAACAAAATATAGAAAAAGAATATAACCAGTGACTGTAACTGAACACTAACAGTGTGAAGAGAAAAAGGACTACGATTTTAGCATTAGAAAAAAAAAAAAAAAAAAAAAAAAGAAGAGAAAAAAGGACTACGATTTTTAGCATTAGAAAAAAAAAAAAAAAAAAAAAAGCTGCCAAAGTCAAAAGTGAAACAAAAAATTGAAGCTAAAGATTGCCAATTGTAATTAAGAATATTTCAGCGAAAGATGCAATTGTTATAGTAAGCAAAAAAAAAAAAAAAAAAAAAAAAAAAGCTGCAAAGTCAAACAGTGAAACAAAAAATTGAAGCTAAAGAATGACCATTGTAATTAAGAATTTCAGCGAAAGATGCAATTTTTATAGTAATCAAGGCACAGAAAAAAGAAAGAACGAGAGCACCTGAGAGAGAAATTAAATTAAATGGTTTAAGAGATAAAAATACGAACAACAGGTACTACAATGCCGGAAGACAATTATTTCTTTATCAATCTTTTGTTTTCTCTGTTTCCACCTCCCACGAAGGAAGTTTCGTTCTTCCTCTTTTTTCGAAGGTTGTAGTTTATTATAATTATAGTTTGAAAATCTATGATTGATGTCACACGTCACAAGACGGAGTTGGTCCGTCTTTCGTTTAATTGGGCCAAGAGTGCATGTGCCCGCCCCAATCAAATTATATTTTTCTTCGAAAATTTGAAATATGTTGCACTTAATTATTATAATACTGTAATAAATTGTGATTAAGTTGTTCTTGTTAAGAATCCATTTCACTAGTCTTCTGGAATACCCATTAAATTTAATTCGATAAGTATGATTAAAAATAAAAATGATCAAAGCCAAAATTTATTTAATCTCGTGAAATATATATAAATATTAAATATCTATCCAATCATTAGTTTTATTTATTTTTATTATAAGAAGTTCTATTTAGTTTTATTGAATTAACTGCATTATTAGCCAATCCCTTCATAATACTTAATATTGAATATATAAATTCAATCGTGAACTTTGCAAGTTTAAATTTATAGCATTTTGAATTTTGTAAATAATATATTATGCACTTAAACTTATAAAATTTTAATAATATTACAAACAAAGACCTTTAGAGCTTTTAGTTTTTATATGCAAAATATTGATTTCATAATTCTCAAAATTTTCAATTATTTATTAAATGTTTAATTGATTTAATTTTACTACTTAAATTGTTAAAGTGTTCAGTAAAATGATTTTGTAAGTTAAGTGTTTAATATATGTACTTTTATAAATTGAAGTGTCATAAGTCAAAGTAAAAATTGAGAATGTCATAAAATTAAAGTAATAAATATGTATTCTGCCGAAAATCTTATATACATCCATAAACTTCAAATTTTTATTAATTTGTTATTTTTTCCAAATCAAATGAATACCTTCACATGTACTAATTCAGGAAAATAATCTAAAACATTAGTAAGTTGTTTATTAAGTTTCTATTTTGAATAAGGATAAGATCTTTGTATTAAATTATATATGGAAATAGCAACAACGTGATATTTTTCAATAAGAATAGAATAAGAGCCTCTTATATATTTCTTTAAGTTAGTAACATAAATTAAATATTTTCATGTTTTAAATATTTCTCGCTCTAATATTAATAAAATATTTAATTTTTGAAAATAGATATGTTCGTATATCGGACTTGAGCTTAGAAAATATTGAACTTTTTATATATTGATTCGACCCAATTTGGTCCTATTTTTCTTTATAAAATGAACTCGTGGTCTCTTTATGAATAAATCTACTGAAAATAACAATATCAAAATTTTACAAAATTTATATTTATATATGGTATATTTTTAGATATCAAGTAATAAATAAATAAATAAATAAATATATATATATATATATTAAGAGTATTCTCGCTCTAATATTTAATAAAATATTTAATTTTCTGAAAATAGATATGTTCGTTTATATCGACTTGAGCTCTAGAAAAAAATATTACACTGTTCTTATATATTTGATTCGACCCAATTTGGCCTCATTTTCTTCTATAAAATGAACTTCGTGAGTCGCTCTTTAATGAATAAATCTACCCTGAAAATAACAATATCAAAATACAAAATTATATATATTATATAGGTATATTTTTAGTATCAAAGTAATAAATAAATAAATAAATAAATATATATATATAATATATTAAGAGTTAGTTATTATAATTCGTTTACATATTGTTTCTGTAAATTTACTGAATACACAATTACATTCTAAAAAAATAAAAATTTATACTCAAACACCAAAATTTCTCTACTCATATAAATTATAATTTTGAAAAATAAATATATATATATATATATATATTAAGAGTATTATTATAATTTACATATTGTTTGTAAATTTACTGAATACACAATACATTCTAAAAAAAATAAAAATTTATACTCAAACACAAAATTTCTCTACTCATATAATTATATTTTTGAAATTTTATTTTTCTGAAAAAATAATTTTTCACAAGAAAGTTGGGTAAAGTAATATTTTGCCTAAAACGCCAAAAAGAAAAATGGAAAAAAAAGAAAAAAAAGAAAAAAGAACTGAAGAGTTAAAGTTAGGTTTTCTTGGGAGACATTCGCGAAGTGAAAATACCGGGAAGCACTAAAACTATACTGCACTATTCTCTGCTCTTTTGGTTGTTAATGGAGTTTACAGCTTCTTCTTCTTCTACTAGGGTTTTGAATACTATCTGTCAGTTCTCATGTTTAACAACACCAACACTTAAAAAATCAAGCTGCTTCTTTAATCATTCAAATGCTTCGCTTCGCTTCCCGGCAATATTCTCTCGCGCTGATTTGTCTTGCAAATCAACTCTCAAAGAAACCTCTATCTATACGTCTAAGGTCTATATTCAATTGGTTTCCTTTCATTTCGCTTCGTTTTCTTTTTCTTTTTTAAATGTAAATATTCATTGCTGATTTTGTTGTTCATGAAGATGGCTGCGCGGGATTTTGAGCTATCGAGTTTAACGGCGTTGTCTCCTTTGGATGGGCGGTATTGGGGTAAAGTGAAAGACTTGTCTCCTCATATGAGTGAATATGGGCTAATCTTTTATCGGGTTCTAGTTGAGGTACCTTCATTTCGACTTGTAACGGTTATTTACGTTGGTTTTGTTTAATTTGTAATTTTTTTTGTGTTGGAATTGACGAATTTGGATGTTATTTGAAGTAGGTTTCCTATGAAATTTAGGATTTTCTTGTGCATGTGCTTTTGGGGTGCGTGAAAGATTTTAAAAATACCAATTTTAAGCTTAATTTGGGCTAACTAAAAATCTAGGAAAGCTTGCATTTAAGAGTACTGTTGAGAAGTCTGATGTTGGTAACATAATTCAGAGATGGCGTGTAGATGCCTGTTTGGATTGGATTGTGGAGTAAATTCTTGTGCCGCGATGAACAAATAAACCTAGGAATTTTTGTGAAGTAGCTTAGACTAAACTGAGAATGAGCTTCTAATTACCTCAATTTGAATTCTGCTAGTCTTCAGGCTGACTAAGGTATAAGAATATCTGGAGCTCAAACGGTTAACGGTACTTATCTGTTGTTGCTATGAGCTGCTGTATAGCACTGTGGGCTCTAGTGGATTTAGTGACCTAAATTATAATAGGGTTTAAGTTTACTTCCATCTAATCTAATAGCATTTGAATTTTTATGTGCTAGAGTTGTTGGTGCTTTGTAGAACCAGAGCATGCAGGATTTATTATTCAAAATTTGTCTTTTCTATGTGGAGTCTCACCATGTGCTGATAACTTTAATTTTTATTCTAACATTTTGGTGCCTTTTCTATTTCAGGTTAAATGGCTGCTGAAGCTTTCACAAATTGCTGAAGTCATTGAGGTCCCCAACTTTAGTGAAGAAGCTCAGTCTTTCTTGCAAGGATTGATTGATGGGTTTAGCTTGGATGATGCCTTGGAGGTTAAGAACATTGAGAAAGTGACGAATCATGACGTAAAAGCAGTGGAATACTTCTTGAAAAAGAAATGCCAATCTCACCCAGAGATTGCTAAGGTTCAAATATCACATTAGTTGCTTCTATCCAGCTAATGTAATTCACGATTGCAGAATTATTGTTGAAAGTTTTGTGATTTTATAACCATATCATCTCTTTCTGTCTTCTGCAATGCAGGTCCTTGAATTTTTCCATTTCGCTTGTACATCTGAGGATATCAACAATCTGGCCCATGCATTAATGCTGAAAGAGTCAATGAACAAGGTTATGTTTCCTGTAATGGATGAATTGATCAAAGCAATATGCAAAATGGCCGAAGATAATGCTTCCATTCCGATGCTTTCTCGCACTCATGGACAGGTAAAAGAGCTATCCCTCAGGTGGAATTATCATTGGAATGCCATTTGCTATTGTTCAGCAAGGCTTTATCTGATTTTCAATTCTCAATAAAGCTGTCGGAAACATTGTTTTTTTATATATAAAATTTTCATCTGAATCTTGATTAATTTTATAGACTGTTATTTTCTTTGGCATCAAAATTGTTGTTTGTTTTATAATTTGTGACATATTTTAATGTAGTTTACTTTTGACACTTTTTGAATCATAAATTCATGACTTTTTTGCAGCCAGCTTCACCCACAACTTTGGGAAAGGAAATGGCAGTTTTTGCTGTCAGGTTAAGTGAACAAAGGCAGGAAATTTCTCAAGTTAAGATAAAGGGAAAGTTTGCTGGTGCTGTTGGAAATTATAATGCACATATTGTTGCATATCCAAATGTCAATTGGCCTCTAATTGCTAAAGAGTTTGTGGAATCTCTTGGATTGTATTTCAATCCCTATGTTACTCAGGTACATCATCTGTCTTTCTCTATTTAATGAGATTCCTATCAGATAATAAGTCTGACTTAAGATTTTACATCATAAATGTATTTCGACTTATATATGAGACTAAGAAGCAGTCTAACTAGTTCATAATTTCATGTTTCTGTCCCAAACATGCTCAGGAACTGCTCAAATGCTTCTTTGCATATAAATGATTAAATATGGGAATACAAAGTGTAAAGCCTTTTCAAAGGTTGTAAATATAAACTTTGAAACTACTTGCATAAAAAATCTGCATTAAAGTAGTGGATGAGACATACCTTTGAGTGACTGTATGATAAAGTTCCTGCATCTGCATACCTTTTCTTCTTCCCCTTTTCATTTCTTTTAAATTTTGTTCTCTTTAATAATATAATTTGATGATTTGTCTTTGATATTATTTGGCAATTTGTCTTTAATACATGTTCTGCAGATTGAACCACATGACTATATGGCAAGACTTTTTCAAGCAATTATTGTATTTAACAATATATTGATTGATTTTGATAGAGATATATGGGGCTACATATCCTTAGCATACTTTAAGCAGGTAGGTATTCTGGTGTTAGATTGATATTGTTGAATAGTTACCCTCTATAAGAAAGGGACTCATTCTTCACAATTGAAGCAGATAACTAAAGCTGGTGAGATTGGGTCGTCAACTATGCCTCACAAAGTAAATCCTATTGATTTTGAAAATAGCGAAGGTAATCTTGGTAAAGCCAATGGAGGGTTATCTCATCTCAGTGAGAAGCTACCGATTTCACGCTGGCAGGTAAGACACAGGAGACTTCTTTTTAACTTATTTTTATGTCCCTTTCCTGTTTGTCTATCCTCCAAATTGTTACTCGTAGTTTATTTAATTTTTGCAAACATTGTATAGATCATAGGCATTGGGTCATCAGCTATTTAATTAGTTTTTCTTGTGCCTTGGCAATAATAGTTCTTATGTTTTGTGCTCTATTTTCAGCGTGACTTGACTGACTCCACTGTTTTAAGGAATATGGGGGAGGGCTTGGGCCATTCTCTTCTTGCTTACAGAAGTGCATTGCAAGGAATTGGAAAGCTTCAGGTATGCAATTTGATATAATTGCAGTGCTTCTTATCCCCTAGTAGAGGCATGGAATACATGGTTAGCTGTTAAATGTAATATCCTTGTAATGTTCTGATTGGTATCTGTTTTGATCACATATGCTTCATTTAGGTGAATGAAAGTCGCTTAAGTGAAGACTTGAACCACTCATGGGAGGTGCTTGCTGAACCAATACAGACTGTATGTACCTTTGAATCTTTTGATATATTTTTTCACCTTTTTTTAACAGTTCATGATATCTGAGATAGATACATTTTTGAATACTGAAGCTTGAACTTTTTTATGCATCCAATACTGTACTTAGTCTCCTACTATTAAATTGTCCTCCTTACATTTTTATTTTGACTAATTTTGTGTAGGTAATGCGCCGTTATGGTGTTCCAGAGCCTTACGAGAAGCTAAAAGAACTAACTAGGGGAAGAGCTGTTACCAAAGAAAGTATAAGAGAATTCATTGAAGGCTTGGAATTGCCAAAAGAAACAAAGGCTTATCTTTTGGAACTGTCACCCCATAACTATGTGGGAGCAGCTATTGAATTGGGTAAAACCGTTGATGTTACTATGAATTTAATAAATGGGGTTACAGCTTTATGAATTGATAGTTGAAAGTTGCTGGTATTATGGCCATGAATGCTGACCGGATATTGTCATAAGATCAAACACTATACTGTTGCATGGATTGCAACCAGGTAGAATACTGAGATTCAGGAGAAAAGGATGCCAGATTTCCTGCTTAAAAAACATTTTTTAGTTATTGAAGAGCAATCACCATTTCATACGTGTATCAGAGTAGTAGACTAGTTGGCTGTTACCTTCACATGATTTCATAGTCCTTTAAGAGGGGAACCTATGAAGTTCTGTTTCTGCATCTTTATAGTACTCAATACTGCTGTTTTATGATTTTTACTATAGTATCAAACGATGATCCTCAGAGAGAGGACTGAAATTTTGTAATGATCTTGTTGAGCTTAAAATCGATTGCTGGGTTTCGTTTACCGTTTCATTGTACTTGGTTTCGGAAGTAGTTGGCTTGAGTACATATTAGGCATCCCATATATATTGAAGTCTATAAATTCTGTAGTGCGGAATAAACTTCATTTACAGGTAGTTCTGTTTTAACACCCATCTCTTATCTTCTGTATGAAAATAATTTCAGAAGTTAGTTTTCTCAAATGGCACAATATTCTATGAAGCATGGAGATGCGAGTTCTGTTACATCCTATCTTCGAAACTAAAGTAACTAAATGTATCTATACATAAAGTAGAAACCAACAGAAAAAAAAAAAAAAAAAAACTGAAAAAAAAAAAAAAACTGGAAGAGGCTTTTTGTTAGTACCATATAATCTCGCTTTTATAAGACGCAGAACCACAAAATATTTGAGAGATCTGTAATTAGGCCTCACCAAATGCCCCACTCGATCGATCCATCAAAATCTATTCAGCCACCAATCACGTGGCAGTTACCCAGTTAACTGGCTTATCCATCCAGGCTCTCACTTCAATGTCCCAAGATTTCTTTGCCTAACAGAACATTAACAAAAAAAAAAAAAAAAAAAAAAAAAAAAAAAAACTATAACCAATACCCACTAGCAAGGGGCCAGACGGTTCAAACAAAACAGCTGGTACACTAAACAAAAAAAAAAAAAAAAAAAAAAAAAAAAAAAAAACTATAACCAATACCCACTAGCAAGGGCCAGACGGTTCAAACAAAAGCAGCTGGTACACTTAAACATGGAGACTGGTATAGCTTGCTGTGCTCGTGGAGCTCTGTTGCCTGGTATTTCTTCTCAGCACACAAAAGCTTTAGCTTCTCCATCCTCCACTTTCAGGGTATACCAATTATTTATAAATATAAAGTCTTGTTTTTTTTTTTTTTTTTAAATTTAATGTCAAAAATCCTTTTCCTGACTATTCCTGCAAGACAAGCACTCGATCACTTGTGCTTGTTCGCGGAGTTATAATTATTGCACTATTGGAACTTGCATATCTGAACAAGAGAGAAGCTTGAAGAACTACATATAATACGTATGAAATTACAATTTTAGTTTTATTTATCAATTTAATTTGAAAATGGATATTTAAAATGCATGATAGAGTCTGAAATCAAGCTCACTATTTGGGGAATCATTGCGGTTGGTGCCAAGATCATCTCTCAAGGTTTCAAAACCGAAGAATGCTTCCTTAGTGACAAGATGTGAAATTGGTGACAGCTTGGTAAGTTGGAAACAAGTTCAAATATTTTTAGTTTTATATGTTAATTTTAAGTTATAACATAAATAAGTTATTGTTATGTTATTTTGTGGTTGCAGGAAGAGTTCCTGACAAAGGCAACACCAGATAAGGGACTTATTAGGCTTCTGATGTGCATGGGAGAGGCATTAAGGACTATTTCATTCAAGGTCAGGACAGCTTCTTGTGGAGGAACAGCATGTGTTAATTCCTTTGGAGATGAACAACTTGCTGTGGATATGCTTGCCAACAAGCTTCTTTTTGAGGTTAGAAATTAGAAATATGAACAAATTACTTAACTTTCACTATTTGCATCTTTCTTATTGTTTCTTTTCAAAATTATGAGAGTCTAATTGCTAGAAATTCAGTTTTATGTCAGTCTCTGATTCATCATTTGACTTAAACTAATATTATTAAGATATATTTGATAAATTATGATTTCAAATTTGCAATTGATTGCCTCCTGTAAAAATTCTTCCATGATCAATTTCAGTGCAGAGTTTCCATAACCTTGTTAGTTGGACCTGAATCTGAATCTGAAATATAGAGCTTCTTTCTTTTAAAATCTGCAAGAGAATTTACAATTAATATGTCTTAGATTTTGATGTATAGGCCTTGACTTACTCTCACTTCTGCAAATATGCTTGTTCTGAAGAAGTTCCTGAACTTCAAGACATGGGAGGCCCTGCTGAAGGTATGCATTTCCTATAATTTGTTTAAGTCTTGTTCTTTACAAACAAATTTCACCAAATTTAATGGAATTCATTTGGATCATGCTTTTATATTTGGTATGAATAAAAATGTTCATTTTTCTCTTATGAATTCGACTTTATGGAATTTAACATAACTAAATCAAAAATGGGTTATAGCTTCTTGATCTCTAAGAAGGAAACAATACTGATGTATTTTCTTTCATACAAACAGGTGGGTTCAGTGTTGCTTTTGATCCACTTGACGGCTCTAGTATCGTCGACACAAATTTCTCAGTAGGCACCATCTTTGGAGTGTGGCCAGGAGATAAACTAACTGGAATAAAAGGAAGTGATCAAGTTGCAGCAGCAATGGGAGTCTATGGTCCAAGAACCACTTATGTTCTTGCTCTTAAAGACTTCCCTGGCACCCACGAATTCCTTCTTCTCGATGACGGTATGCCTTTAATATATTCTTGCTTTTTTAAAAAATTGAGACCTTGCCCATTTAAGTTCTACATTTCTCTCATCTTCCTCAAAAGAATGTCTATGTTATGCATTTTCCAGGAAAATGGCAACATGTTAAAGAGACAACTGAGATTGGTGAAGGAAAACTATTCTCTCCAGGAAATTTAAGAGCTACATCTGACAATCCTGACTATGACAAGGTTCTGTTTATACTTTGGCATATTTTATTGGATAATACATTTAAATCTGTATTTTTTTTTCTTATTAACTTGTTAATTTGTTTGTGACCCAACAGTTGATCCACTACTATGTGAGAGAAAAATACACTTTGAGATACACTGGAGGAATGGTGCCAGATGTTAATCAGGTTTTTACAACTTTGCTGTATATTAATTAGCATAATATCCCCAAATTTCTGTTCTGAAAATAATTTGTAATATTTTTTTTTATCCTCAGATCATTGTAAAAGAGAAAGGTATCTTCACCAATGTGATATCACCATCTTCAAAGGCTAAACTGAGATTGTTGTTTGAGGTAGCTCCATTAGGATTCCTGATAGAGAAAGCTGGAGGCTATAGTAGTGATGGCCATATCTCTGTGTTAGACAAGGAGATCAAAAATCTCGATGACAGAACTCAAGTTGCTTATGGATCAAAGAACGAGATTATTCGATTCGAAGAAACTCTATACGGGAAATCAAGACTCAAAACTGGAGGAGTTCCTGTTGGAGCTGCTGCATAAAATGGAAAATGCTAGCTTTCCCTTGCTTTTCCTTTTTGTATCTTTGAACAAATTTATCTCCTTATACGTGTTTGTAAGATAGTTCATGAACAATTCTTATTTCGCAGGACTATTAGAATTATAAATGTTTAATTTGTTTTAAGATGAAATGGCAAGCTACCAGGGATTCATCTTTTGTTATCTGATAGAATTGGATTTCATCCAATAAAAATGGTTACTATTCGCGCCATTATCGACTAAATTCTCATTAAGACAATCAGGATCATTGGTATATAGAACATATTCTGCTATGTTCTTCAATGAAATTGCAGTTAATCAAAACATGTACTGAATTAAGACAAGCTATTTATCAATCTATCAGAAGAATGTTTTTTAAACAATTGTAAATTCCAAAGGTGTAGTCTTGGAGTTATCAATAGTTCTGTCTTAATAAGAACATTACAACTGTTACATTTCTTCATAGGATTCCTTCACAACAAATAATGAGTATTTTTCTCACAACCGGCTTTTCTATCTGCTATTTCAACTCATGCTCATAGTTCAATAAGCTAGATTTTTCTGCGTTATATGAAGATAAGCCTGCAAGTTAGTTTAAATTGTTCTTAGAAAGTACTCAATACCAAACAAGAAACTATAAATATGGTATGCATTCTCTTCTTTGAGTTCAAATACCTTTGTATTAGACTAGTAATATTTTTATCACCAACGTTTGACAGCATCTTGAACGTTTCGAGTAATAGTCTTACGAGCCGAGTGTGATGGGTTCTCAAGCCACGGAAACAACCTCCCTGCAAAAGCTGTGAATAGTATAAAATGATGTTAAATTAATACTATTAAATCCAATTTTTGATTTAATATACTAATCTAGTATACATTCCATCCTTAAATAGGCACTAGAGGTGAAAAACAAAAATGGCGTGGATCGGTTGGAGGCCTAGTTGATGCACGTATAGAAAAAGTATGGAGCATAGTTTCAGAAACTAAAAGACTACCAGAATGGATGCCAATGGTTGAGAGATGCACTGACTTGGTCGGAGATGAAGGAGTTCCTGGCTATGTTCGGTTAGTCTCCGGCTTCATGTTCCCCCAAGAAGATGGTGAAAGGTCATGGATTAAAGAGAGGTTGGTTTGTATGGACTTAACATCATATAACTATGTTTACAAAATGGAAGCAAGCAATGTAGGGTTAGATGGATCAGTAAATACATTAAAACTTGTGGATTATGGAGATGATTCAACTTTAGTTAATTGGTCATTTCAGATTGACCCTTTAGAAGGTGCTTCTGAGGACAACATAATGGACTATTTGGGATTTCTTTATAAATCATGTATTAATAGGATAGAAGCTGCAATAAAAGCTGCATCAAAATAAATTTACATATATATACTCTCAAATTAGTTAAGGTTTGACTATATGAATCTACCGTTTCAATTTTCACTGTGTTCATAAGAAAGTCCGCACTAATGTTAGAAAGCTGTAGGTCCTTCTCTTGTCTTACTCTCAACTCGTGCTACTTAATTGAACCTTTTGTCGAATGTGATCATTTCTAATCTTATATGATAAAAAATCCATATAACATCATCGTTTCTGCAATATTCATCTTGTGAATATATAAATGTCATCAAAGATATGTCATTAAGAGCATACATGTTAAAGGGAAGGAAAGATAGGAGATATAGAAGAAAAAGTTAAAAAAAGACAAAAGTGTTAGGCATCAGCTCTGATACCAGTTGTTGGGCATCAGCTCTGATACCACTTGTTGGACCCTTTCAACCAATTAAGAAAAAATTAACGCAGCAAAAAAATAAACTTGTGACACACAGAAATTTACATGGTTCACAGTTGTGGCATCAGCCTCTGATACCACTTGTGGACCCTTTCACACCAATTAAGAAAAAATAACGCAGCAAAAAAAATAAACTGTGGACACACAGAAATTTACATTTCACCCTCAACTGTTTAGGGTACTTCCACGGGACCAAGTTCCGAATCATTCTCCCATTATTTAAAAATAGAGGTACACAAAGAGAGTAATACAAAAGAATAGTGGCCACACAAAGTGTTTCCTAAACACCCCATAATAATTTTCGTCACGTATTTTTCTCTCTCGCTAATTTTAGGAATCCCTTCGCTTAAAACTAGATAAACTCTCTCTCTATATATTTTTTGTTTCCTTCCTCTGTTGTGTACCTGCAAAATGAAGCCCAAGATTCCTCTTCCCTATTTATAGGAGAGGTAATGCCTGAGAACCGTGTGTGGAGTTACACAGGCTCGTCCATTTATTAATGGTTGGTTGCCACCTTTCTTGCCAACTTTTTGACATTTTTCAAATAAGCACGTTTTCTTTTTTTTTTGTCTGTTTCAAAATTTATTGTTGGGTCCTACTTGAGTGGCACCGCACAACAAAAAGAAAATTGCGTAAATTTAATTGAATGGCTTAATTTGATAAGTAGTGTAATATGTAATAAAGATCATTAGGTAATGGTTGGTTGCCAACCTTCTGCCAACTTTTTGACATTTTCAAATAACACGTTTTTCTTTTTTTTTTTTCTTTTCAAATTTATTGTGGGTCCTACTTGAGTGGGCACCGCACAACAAAAAGAAAATTGCGTAAATTATTGAATGGCTTAATTGATTAAGTAGTGTAAATATGTAATAAAGATCTGTGTTTGAAGGTTTAACTCACTTGAAGAATGTACAGAGAATCAAATTGATAGAGTATATATGAAATCAAATCACTTTGACCCCAATAAAGAAATTTAAAATATGTTAAACATGTTTGTATTGTAAGAAGTACCTCTTCAAGGAAAGGCAGAGATTTTAATTAATTGGGACTTTCCATTGCATTTGTTGGTGGAGTTCTATGTAAGCAATCAAATGAGTCAAAAATGGAGCTTTGAGCATATTGCTTTTCTCCCTTTTTATTATTATTATTATTATTATTATTTTTATTTTATGTGTTGTTGCAATCCTAAATTTTAACTTTTTATAACGTTAAACCAAGCGAAATAAGAAATTATTACATAAAAACATACTTATTATCAGCATTTAAACTTAAATCTCCTATATTAAAAAATAGTCACCCCACTACTAAACTATTAACCTAATATCAATCTTTTATTTAGTATATTATATATATAGAAGCTTCTTGAATTTCAATCCTAATACTCCATTGATTTCAGATTAATTTCCAATCTTTCGAACCTCTAACATTTTATGTATTCTAAAAATTGCAAAACATGAGGTTTTAGTCACTTGGGAACTTCAATGAAATTATTATTGTTTGACAAAAAAATAAAATTGAGACACTTGACCATGAAATTAAAATATATTAAAATATATTAAAATAATTAAATTTCTGGCATATTGTATATTGTAGAAATCAATAAAAATATGGTCGAATTTTTAATATATGGATGAATCTTACCATTTTGTTGCTTTAAAATTAATTAATGTTCACATTATTAAAAAGAAAAGACACAGTTTTAGTGATTTAATTAGGTCCATTTGATATAATCAATCATTCTAAAATATATAATTGATTTTAAATGAATTCTATTTAAAATTTATTTACAAATGAATTTTATATTTGATATAATAAATTTAAACTTTAAAATTTGGTATTAATTTAAAATTCAATTCAGTAAGTGATGGTGGCTGAAATTAGTTAAGTCGTATTCGACTTTGTTTTCCTAATATTCATAAACATAATGCATGTACACAAACATGACAAAGCCTGCTGAGAAAAATACATGAAAGGGAATAATATAACAGCTTTAAAATTGAAAATGCAACATAATTGATCACTTGAGGTTTTCACTGAAAGGAAAATTGATAAATGACAATTACATGTTATTATAAAATGGTACATGACTATTGTTTTCCATTCATGCTAATAAAGCCAAAATTAATTTATTTTGAATTATGGAATCATGTGTTGTCTGTGTCTGTGTATGCTTGCAAATTAAGGAAGAAATTAGCTAATAATTTTATTTATTTATTCTAAAAAAGGGAGTTTCGAGAATAAAATAATGAAGAAAGATGTTGATAGGCAATCGATTTTAGCTGTTCAAATCCAAAATCTAATTATCTTTTCTTTAAGCATGAATTTTAAAATGCAGCCAAGCCATAGATATTGATATATGAAAATCATTTCTCAACTACAAAATCTGTATTATATTAAGGTTTCATACATTTAGAACATTACCCACCACCACAGTCACCATCTATCATCTATGCATGCTTTAAATTCTATACTCTTCTGGAAGGCTATTTCGGCTGCTACCTTTTCCCAACTAGTTATATGTATTTATATACCTACACACATTACTCAACTAACTATACATATAGATGAAAATGATATGAAAACAAATATATAACTGAGAATCTTAGAATAACTCAAGCGGTAAGATGTGTATTTAGTGGACAATTCCTGCAAAGTCAGGAGTTCAATACATATAAAACGTTTTTCATATGAAAAGAAAGACTGGAAACTCCAAAATGGAACGGGTATATAAGTGTGCACACGTGTACGCGTACGTGTATAGATATGAAGCCAGAATTTAAAGTTAGAGGGCAAAACCTGTAGGCACTTGGTCAATATTAGCTCTCAATGTATATATAACTATTATGTAATAATAGTTGAAGACATAGTATAATACAAGGCTTTAGAAGCAAGGTATAATTTATATATATCTTAGGTTGGAGAGAGACATATATGTATATAGAAATACAGCTGGGCTGTACATTTCAAGTTACAGAGAAAGGTTTCAGTCAATTGAAAATGGCAACAAGGTCATGGTAGCTTAGTTCCAAATGAAGAGGACGAGATGTTTGTGTAGCATGCAAGAAAACCCTCATCAAGAGGAAACATGACTGCAATTTTCACTTACCTAATAGCCTAAAATGACATTGCATCTTTTTTTTCCTTTATAAACTTGAGTTCATTAGTCATACATTAGAGTTCCAACATAATCATAATATTCCATAGATCGATTTTTCTCAAGAAACAAACACAAACAAGAAAGCAAAAGAAGAAGAAGAAGAAGAAGAAGAAGAAGAAATGGAATGTTGTTGGGTTCGGACAATGTTACTTCTCATTTTCTTTTCTCCGGCTTTTGTTGATTCTGCTGTTCGTCATTATAATTTTACAGTAAGTAGTGTTAAATGTGTGAAGTGTGCTAATTAAATTATCTTCATTATTTTTTTTTAGCATACTCTAATAATAATTTTTTCTTTTAAAAAAAAAAAGAACTTACTCTAGTAGTGCTTGGTCCTTCCAAAATATTTCTAACAATAATTATGTATCTTTCATAATTTTCTGAAAGACTAAAAGGATGCCTGAATTGATAATATTGAAATTAACTATGTCATAACCTTAATCTGTCATGTTTTTTAAGTTGAAGAGAATTTTTGTCATGTTTCTCTTACTTGGAATGACGATGAAGACTTACCAACTAAGCCTATTTCATTTAATAACCTATCAAGTAAAAAGAATCTATTGGGATAGTGTCACTTACTATCAAATCCAAACACCATTTTAACCTTAAAAATTGAGGCAACTTTTGCATATGAGGATAAAAAAAAGAACTGAAAGCACAAATTTCACAAATTCATGCAGGTGGTTATGAAGAACACAACAAAGCTTTGTTCAAGTAAATCTATTGTCACTATCAATGGAAAGTTTCCTGGCCCAACTCTTTATGCAAGGGAAGATGATAATATCAATTTGAAGGTCATCAACAGTGTCAAATATAATGTTTCTATCCACTGGTAAGAATAATAAAAAAATCATAATTGCATATCAGACTAATAAATATAATCGGGAATCAGGTTTTATCCTGACATTATGCTCCCATGCACTTGCATGATTGAGCTGGGTTAGAACCGCTCTCACCTTCCTTCCTCCCTTGTACCTATAAAAAAATAATTAATTTAGTTTAATTCATTGAAATTTTTTTTTTTTTATTTTTTATTTACAGGCATGGGGTGAGACAGTTGCGGACGGGCTGGGCGGACGGGCCAGCATATATTACGCAGTGCCCAATTCAGCCGGGACAAAGTTACCTTTACAATTTCACTCTTACTGGGCAAAGAGGGACACTTCTCTGGCATGCACATATTTCATGGCTAAGAACAACGGTACATGGTGCCATTGTCATCTTGCCTAAGAAAGGTGTTCCTTACCCTTTTCCAAAACCGAACAAGGAAAAACTCATCATATTAGGTCAGATCATTTTGAATTTTTGTTATATTAAGATTTGTTATGCAATTGAATTTTTTTTTTTTTTAAATAGTCAATATATTTTTGTAGGTGAATGGTGGAAAGCAGATACTGAAGCAGTGATCAATCAAGCAATGCAAACTGGTTTTCCACCCAATATATCAGATTCTCACACCATTAATGGCCATCCAGGACCCGTTCCTGGTTGTACTTCTCAGGGTATACTTATATATATATATATAATACGATTTATCAACTGAGTTAACTCTAATCGATTATATAGTTCTCGAGTTTGACAACATTTTTCTATATATATGCAGGCTACACATTACATGTAGAACATGGCAAGACCTATTTGATACGTATTGTAAATGCAGCAGTAAACGATGAGCTATTTTTCAAGATTGCAGGACACAATCTAACTGTTCTTGAAGTCGACGCATGCTATACTAAACCCTTTAATACTGATACATTATTTATGGGTCCAGGCCAAACAACAACTGTTCTGCTAAATGCAGATCAATCAACTGGCAAGTTCTTAATAGCAGTATCTCCATTTATGGACACAATTGTTGCTGTTGATAACCTAACAGCCATTGCTTTCTTGCGTTACCAGGATACCGTCGCTTTTTCCCCTCCAGTTCTTACAGCAACACCTCCTATAAACGCAACATTAGTAGCAAGAAACTTTGTAGACAACCTTAAAAGCCTAAACTCCAAAAATTACACGGCCAATGTCCCATTAACAGTAGACCATTCTTTATATTTTGCCATTGGAGTTGGAATCAATTCTTGCTCTACATGTCTTAATGGTAGCAGAGCAGTTGGAGATATTAATAATGTTACATTTATAATGCCAACTACAGCTTTACTCCAAGCACATTATTACAACATTAGAGGGGTTTTTACAGATGATTTTCCGGCAACTCCACCTAATCCTTTTAATTATACTGGGAATTATACGGGTGGTCTTGCTACGAAGAATGGGACTAGACTATATAGATTGTCTTTTAATTCTACAGTTCAAGTTGTTTTACAAGGTACTGGTATAATTGCACCTGAAAGCCATCCTTTTCATCTTCATGGATCTAATTTCTTTGTTGTTGGGAGAGGAGTTGGGAATTTCGATCCTGTTAATGATCCTAAGAAATTTAATCTTGTTGATCCTGTCGAAAGGAATACTGATAGTGTACCTACTGGTGGATGGGCTGCAATCAGATTTAGAGCAGATAACCCAGGTAATTATCTGATTAATTTCTTTCTTCTTCCTTTTTTTTTTTTTTTTTTTTATAGTTAACCTACTGGTGGATGTCTGCAATCAGATTAGAGAAGATAAACAGGTAAATTATCCTGGAATAAAATTGTCTTTCATTCTTCCCTTTTTTTTTTTTTTTTTATCTTTGTTTAAATAAAGATAATAATTTATTCATATTATTATTATTTTTAACCCGTTAACGGAGCTCTAGTAAGAGACTACCCAAACCACAGGCGACTAATAAGTAAATTCTCTTAAACTTGTGTTTAACATTATATAATATCTTAGTCTGAAGGATTGAAAATCCCCTTATATTAAGTCCACGAATTGTTTTTTAAATTTTAATAATCTGTATATTATGTTATTGTTGGAGCTAATTTAATGCCCATACTTTAAAATTAATTTTATAAATTTAATCCATGCTGATGTCATTTTTCTCATAAGAGAATACACGCGAAAATTAATTTTGTAGTCACATGAGGAAACAGTAAGACGTGGAAACTATCCTATAAATTTATGCGCAAAGCTTGCTCACTAACAAAATAGAGTATAGAATTATATATATATCATCTGAATAATTAAAGTAAGGAAGCTGAATGTAAGCCAATGCCTGATTGATCTATCACAATGTTTGCAAAAAACTTAAATAAACTACGATGGAATAGCCTAAACAAATGAGCAGGATAGACGCCAAACCCACAAGGAGAAAGGCGGACATTAAAAGGAATATTTGAAGCTGAGCAATGTAATACACAAAGTAAAGATTCCTAAACTCTTGCCTCGTGTCTTATATACCTAGCCTCAAGCGCTGAAATCTAGTAATATAAGCGTAGCTTCTCTACTAGTAATAGAATGTAAATAAACTTCCTCATTGGCTTTATACCATAGATAATTACCTATCGCGTATTTCAAATAATTCATAGGATTTAACATTTATAAGTGATGGCATAAGTTGATTGACGACTCTCTCTGGTAATCTCAACCAGCTTTAGTTATCATATGCATGAAATTGTGTCAATTTGTTTGTACGATGTTATATATCACTCGTATGGTTTTTTTTTAAATAAAATATATATTGCCTTGGCAAGAATGAAATTGTTTACGAGTTTTCTTTTTTTTTTTTGAAATAAAATGTATGTTATCAGTAGAAATTCTTTTAAGGTTTTTTAAGCGGAGTATTAATAAATATCAATTCCCTGATAAATACTTGTTAAAAAATTATGTTTTAGAATTGCATGTCTTGATGTATATTTATAGTTTTTTTTTAATCATTTACTATTTCAAGTCCACTTGTCCGACTAATCTGAAATCGCGTTGAATAAATCTACAAAAGCAGCATAATGCTCTCTTCTAAAAGTTTAAAAGGACTATATATCTAGAATTCAAATTCAAAACTTTTGGTTAAGAGAACTTCTTTCATAATCAATCTCACCCATCGGAGTATGTTATAGGATTTTGATAGAAATGATTGATAAGAACTAGTTATAATTATTAACATGAATTTTGTGTTGGTGTAGGTGTTTGGTTTATGCATTGCCACTTGGAAGTGCACACATCATGGGGATTAAAGATGGCATTTGTAGTGGATAATGGGAAAGGGCCAAATGAGTCGCTGCTGCCACCTCCAAGTGACCTTCCTAAGTGCTAGAAATGTATACATGAAGCTGCTTTGAAAGCAAAGCATATACAAAAACTAGGCATTGAGAGGAGTAGAAGAGTGTGAATTGAGGCTTATATGCACAAAAATCTAAAAAAAAAATTATAATAAAGGAAATAAAGAACAGAGAAAATCTGAGTTCTATTTTTAAACAAAGGGGAATTACTCGAAAATGAGTGAATAATAAATGATGTAAAAGATAATTATGCTTATCAATTTATTTTCTCTACGACAGAAATTTGTTTCACACTATGAGTAGTGTACTTGATGAGATATACGTACATTCTTGTAATATTTTTTTCTTAAATTGTAAAGTGTAAACAAAAAAATAATGAGTTTCTTATCGTTTCATTTGCATAAAAATTACGATTAGAAAATACTTAGTTTAAGAACTAAGTTGTGTCAATCAAATTTCATGGGCAAAATTGCTAATAAGGCAAAGTTCAAGGTTCTTAATGGAAAATATGTTAAAATTTCAATTATCAAATACTTCAAGACCAAACTGTAGAATAAAGTAAATTTTGGATTTTAATGGAAAAAATGTTAAGAACCTTTGACGCGCCAGATAGGGGGCGAACCTATGACTTTCTGCTTAGGAAACAGACACTCTATCCACTGAGCTACAGGCGCTAACTGATGTGTTTTATGCAACTTGCAAATTAGGTAGTATTACCAAATCAAATTAGCTTTCACTCTTTTTTTTTTTTTTTTTTTTTTTTCACTCTTTTTTTTTTTTTTTTTTTTTAATTTAATAGGATTTTGAGGAGAGATGTTGCAATAATTTTAATTATAATCAATTTTGATTATTTTTTGTTAGGTAACAAATTCTTATTGTGATTTATAATATGAAAATATATTTGATTACAAAAAATATTAGGGAAAAAAAGAAAAGACCAAAGGGGAAAATTTTGTAATTTTTATAACTTACTTTCATTAACTAAAATTACAAAGTATTTGATTTTTTTTTTTTTTTTTTTTGTATAATTAAGTTGAAAATATGCAATGCTTTTATATATTTCTTATAGTGAAGCGGACACTTATTTTTTAAATGATAAAGTTTTGATAATATTATTTAAATTTTTTTTTTTTTTTTTTTTTGTATAATTAAGTTGAAAATATGCAATTGCTTTATATATGTCTATAGTGAAGACACTTATTTTTAAATGATAAAAGTTTGATAATATTATTATAAATAAATAAATAATACGTGTTAAAAAATTTTAAATATGCATTTCAATACTTTATCTTTTAATTAATGAGAATTACGAATTTATTTTAATTTTTTGTATAAAATTTTTTTTATCATTATGTTTTTTATTTTCTGTTTTTTTTTTTTATTTTCTTTTGAACTGTTTTCTTGGGAAATTAAAAAAATAAAAAATAAAAATCTGATCTCTACGAGTAAACTCTAATGCTTTCGCAAAAGATAAAAGACAAAATACAAAGAAATAAGCTCTTTTGAACTCCATGCATAGTAAATGAAAAACGGTGGTATTGGAAATGAAGAGAACATCATTAACTCTCAGCGCACATTCACATCCTTATGCCATAAAATGAAATGGATCAAGGAAGTAGAAAAACATAACGTTGATGTAGAATAATACCTATCAACTTGAGAAATAACGGTAACTTTTTGGTCTTTCAAGTACTCTCTAGGATTTTTAGATTCACATTAAGTATTTTGTTATTATCTAGTATTTCCTTTATTTTCAATTTTCCTATTTAACTCGTTTTTCTTAATTTTAGTATTTTTCCCATTTAAGTTTAAGGTTATGTGCATACCCTCTAAATGTAGTTCGAAATACGTAATTTAACACTTAAACTTTAATAAAAAATTTCGTGGCAACCCTAAACTTTAAAATTGATCTTATGGTATATGAATTTTGCTTTTTGTAATAATCTTATACCTTATCATGCTAACAACATTAATGTTTTTAAGTATGTTAGCTTTTATATGTAAAATATAGATTTGGCACATGTGATTAATACAACTTTTGAAATAATAATTTTCACATTTTTTAATTATTTGATCGATCTAATTTATAATTTAAAGTGTTTAAGAGTCAATTAAATTGTTTAATTGGTATAATTTTACAAATTGAAATTCTTGACAGATCAAAATAAAATTTAAGAATATCACAAAATTTTTTATGAAAAGTACAGAATGAATTTATGTATTAAGCCATTAAATATTTAAAATTTTGCATTTTTATTCGTTGTAATTCTGTAACTAAGCTTCTACATTTGAAACTGTGTTATTATTTTTATAGGTATAACTCAAGTCCTAGCCTTGTCTATCATATTTACATGTTTTTTCAAAATCTTTCTATGTAAATATTTATTTATTGTACTTGTTTATAATTTATTACATTTATTTATTCACTCTACATTCAATTCACCTTTTATAATATTCATTTGCTTATTTTCACATTCATATTTTATGATTGTATTTAAAATTATATAAATTAATAAATAAAACCTGTTATGGTGTTAATGTTTCCTTCTCTTCCCTATATAATAATAAACTGTATCACCAGTCTTAGTGCCACACTCCAATGCCAAGCAGCCACCTTTTAAGTCTCCTTTTCTCTCTCAAAAACTCTTCTTTTCACCTTAACTCAACCAAATCAAACTCCAAAAAACTATACCTTCCTTCTGATTCTTCTGTTCTTGATATCACTCGCTCAATTGTTCTCTCTCTAATTTAGTCTATATATTCTCTTTCTGCTATCTTTTACTGTCCTGCTGATCTCTGAGCAAGTCTGTTGTCTTCTTTCACCACTTGATTGCCTTTTCCTAGTTGACAATATTGCTATTAGTGCTTTTTGTAATAGTGTTGCAAATTTTATGGGTATAAAATATGAGTTAGTGATTCATTTTCTTCAAGTTTTGATTTCCTTTCTTTTCCTTTTTTCAAATTCTCTGCTTCATTTTAAAAATCAAAATCTGGGATTTGCCCCAGGTTTCATTCCTGTTGAGAAGATCAAATTTTTGTTTTTCTTTTAAAGCCTCTTTTCTGGATTCTTTCAGATTCTTAAAAGTTGGGTCTTTATTGGTTTCGTAAGTTTTTACTAATTTTGCTAAGAAAAAGAGATTCTAAATTTAATGCCATTTCATATTATAATAAGACTCAAACTTTGCATATGCTGTGTTTCAGTTCAATATGAATTTGTTGTAAGCAATTGCATTTTTAAGTAGAAATAGGCATGGAAACTCTATATCCCGCTTTTTGCATGTCAAATTCAAATTGGTTCAATCAAAGCACAGAATGGACTAAAGAGGAGAACAAGGAGTTTGAAAGGGCTTTGGCTATGTACGATGAACATGAACCAGATAGATGGACAAAAGTAGCAGCAAGAATTCCAGGAAAGACAGTTTATGATGTGATTAAGCAATATAGGGAGCTAGAAATGGATGTCAGCGACATTGAAGCTGGGAAAGTACCAATTCCTGGTTACCTCAGCTCTCCTTTTACATTGGAGTGGGTTGATGACCGCGATTTTGATGCCTATAGAAAGAGGCCTTTGCCTACTAAAAATGGTGATCAGGAGAGGAAGAAAGGTGTTCCATGGACTGAAGATGAACACAGGTCTTCTTTTGTCATTAATTCTGTTATTGTGTTCTTTCTTTCCATGAGCTCATAGCTTGTCTCTAATAGTGCTAATTTTTGTGTGTTTTTCATGATTTTATTAGGTGAAGTATGTGAAAACTAGCTGACGGGTTAAAATCTGATAAATTCTTTTGAACTAGGACAGAGAATTTAAGTTAAACTAATTTATTTATTAGTTGCAGAAGCCTGACTGTAATCATAGATGGTTCAAATTTATTGCATGTTTGTTTGGAGATGATTATTTATATCTTACACCCTATTGTATTATATATTTGTTTCTCTAATGGATGATGATGATTGTGATCAACTACAGGCGGTTCCTTATGGGGCTTCTAACCCATGGTAAAGGGGATTGGAGGAATATATCCAGAAATTTTGTAGTTTCTAAAACTCCAACTCAAGTGGCAAGCCATGCACAGAAGTATTTCATAAGGCAGCAGCTTTCTGGGGTGAAAGATAAGAGAAGACCAAGTATTCATGATATCACAACCGTCAATCTCAATGATACTGCTATATCAGATGGCAATAGACATTTGTCTGTAGAGCAATCTAATGCCCTTTTGTTGCAGCAAAAGGCTTCTAGCATGCAGAAAATGTTGGTTGATTGGAACCCCTCAAAGGATGAATCAATAATGGTCTTTGATTCTACTCATAGCAACTTACTTATGTCAACTCAAAATGATATTGCTTCAAATACCCTCAAACTTCAAGGGCAAAATCTTTATGGCAGTGCATATCGTGAGACTCACATCAACCCACATAATTTGGTTTTCCAGAGACATCAAATTCGCGGTTAAGGAGGCTATGGCTGCCCTTGTTCATGTCAGTGGATCCAATTTCTAAACCTGATTTGTGTTTTGTTCTATATATGTGGTTCAGTTAATTGTTTTCTGACCATAAACTGAAGGTTCATATCCTATGATGTCTCAGAATTCCAATGAAATCTTCTAAGCTTAGCATGTATCTAAAAGCAGCTTTAATATGGCTGCTGATTCACTCTTTCTGCTTTATAAATTCTTTCTCTGTAGACAAAATCTTGAAGATTGTAATTCTGATGCTAAAAATCTTAGTCATTCTCAACTTTGTTCTTCAAGAATAGTAAAATAATATGTGAATTAGGTAAAATTTTTTTGCTGCAGATGTCAAAAGGCAAATCTAAAGGCATAAGGCCGAGTTAGAAGCTGACTCACTCTACACTATTCTTGAAATTCTATGGTATCTAATTGCATTTCTTTTTTCCTGAACAGAGCTATTCTTAGCTTTAAGAATTTCAATAAGGCCAAGTTGACCAAAGCTTTGAGGATCACCAATCCATCATTTTAGTTGCAGCTGAGTTTGCATTCCACTCAATTGAGAGAGCATCACATGCTTCTTAAATCCATGTTTTTACATTTTCTGTGCAATTTTTTTTTTCTTGAACCAATCCCACCTTCACCTTTTTTCCATGATATTTCTCTTTCTGCCAACCCAATTGTGTCAATATGGTGGCAAGACTGTTGTTTTGCTTGTCAGCATATTATGGTAGCTTTCTTTTACTGGTTTTCTTGAAGCATAAATGCTTTTTTGTGATTCTTTATATTCACTAGCAACTGTGCTTAGATTTTATGCACTAACTTGTTTATTTGTATTGGAATTGAGTATCTATTGCTTTAAAATTAGGCTCTGTGTGTATATGTTTGTGAAATTGACTTCTTGCTTGACCATGAAGGGATATGATCCTAATTCTGTGTAAATTGTGATTCAAAGATTCCTCTTCTATTTAGGAATTATTATTTCTAATGTTTCCCCTTCTGAATTTTTCTTTTCCCTTTTTCTTCCCATCCATCATAGACTATTGATGCTCCATAGTTAAAATAGACATGATCATGGGTCGGGTTCAAACTAGGTCCAACATAATCAATTTTTTTATCTGGCTCGTGCCAAATCTAATCTAGATATAAATTTAAAAATTTTGTTCGAATACAATTTAGTTCAGCTTAAAGCTATGAATTTTATATGGTGAGAGTGAAAGGGATTTACGTTTCTTGTGAGTACTTTGATGTCTAATCATATTATTTAATAAATCATTTTTATTTTAAAGAAAAATTATAATTTTTTTTAATTCATATTATTTAATAAAGGCTTAACAGGTTGAAATAACACTGCTAACCTCGTTTAGGTAAAAATCAAGAGAAATTATAATTAATTCCATGAAAAGCTATTACAAAAAGAGTGACAATAAGAAATGGATATTGGAGTTATTCAAATTCATTAAAATTGGAAACTAGATAAGGTTATTTTCATGCTATTATTACAGAACTCTATTTCTCCTCCCCTGGTTTCCATCTGTCTGAATTATTTCTAGTATTGGAGGCCTCTAGAATAGGTAGATTGGTAATCATTATCACAAAGGTTGGCCATTTCACATATGTCAAAGGAAATCATATATGTATATATAATAATGATCTCTAATATGCTCTTACTGTGTTTGTTTTGTATGAGTTGCCATTGTGGGTTCTGCTGCCACCATAGTTGCTTGCTAATTAAAACCATCAATGAAAAGTTTAGTGCCTACCCATGTCACTTTGCACATAAATATCATTTCTATGAGCCACATATTGAGCATTTAATTAAAAACTCCAAGTATGAAAGCAACATCAATAGTATATTTCATTATTTTCATTCAACCTTTTTCCTACTAAGTGACAAATCTACCAACTTTATAATAATTTCTCCTAAAGGAGCAGCCTTTCTGCAAGTTGCATTAGAAAGCACTCTCCCTACTTTATTCTAATTTTAATAAAACTAGTCTTTCCTTTCTTTTTTTTACTTTCAAAAAAATACAAAAAAAAAAAAAAATTAATAATTATAATATGAGATCAGAAGATCAAATTTACAAGTTCTTTTATTTTTTTAAATAACTTTTGATGTACTAAAAAAGATTGACTATTAGTTTTGTGTTTATGGGAAAAGATAAAAAATAAATTTAGAGTGAATGATGGTATTGGCTTGCTACATTCAGTAGTGGACATGAGGAATTAATGTTTGAAAGGAAGCATATAAATAAATAAATAATATGAATAAATGGTTTAATGGGTGTTGTTTGGTGCTTCCCTCAATTAACTTTGACTTCCTCTCCATAGAAAGTTACCCACTAGTGTTACAGTGTAGGTATAATTTCAACTTTCCATGGAAAAGGAAAGTCCAATGATGATCTGCACATATTTTTTGTCACTAAATGTTGAATCAACTCATCAAAAACCATTTACTAATCTTCATTAGCAGCTTATTATGCTCGCTAGCGATAACTTTTCTTTTCACCTGTAAATGGTTCATCCTGTTTCCCAAGATTTGAACATGAGATTTTTTTTTTTTTTTTTTTTTTTTTTTTGTTTCCCAAGATTTGAACATGAGATTTTTTTTTTTTTTTTTTTTTTTTTTTTTTTTTGACAGGGATTTAAATTATTTGTTAGCATTTTTGATTGCTAAAAAAAAGGGTAAAAGATTAATAATTGCTATTGACATCTCACATGGGAGTAGAAGGTAGGATTATGCTTTTATGAAATGAATTAAAAGTCATTGTGCACTTTAAAGTGCCAAATCCATTTACATATTTTCTGATAGGATTAGAATTTTCTTACTCTTTTGTCAAATCAAACTTCAACTATTCCACCATTAAATGTCTATTGAACATTTCAAATACTGAAGGAAAAGGTATTGAAAATCTCTTAATCTAAAGAATAACTACAAAAGATTCATAGCAACACAAGACTTACAATCAGATATCCACAGCAAGTACCAAAAAAAAGGAGGCAAAAATGGTAAAATTGATTGCTTAATCATGCTCTTCTATCATCAATTCTAACCATTCAAGATTGTCATGATTCTAATAGATACAAGCCTGCACTTAACTTTTAGAGGTTGAACTTTTGAGGCTATGTGAGCGCTTTTTATGTAGCTTTTTAGCGTTTTGATAAATACTATTTTTTTATAATATTCGGTAATAAACTTTTAGAGATTAAGACAATATTTTATAAAAGATTAATCCCAGTAACATTTAGCTTTTTGCATTTTATAAAAAGTTGCTTGAATTGCTAAATGCTACTAAAACTGTTAATAGCTATCAAAATAGCTAAAACAGCATTTTGCCAAATAGGCCCTTAAGTCTAGCTCACAGTCAACTAATAATTATTCACCAAGGTGGTGTTTGAAAACACAATTCAACATTAAAGAACTGGGTTGTTGAGTGTTTACTTCTTAAACAGTTTAACTAATGTAAAAATTTGAATATTTAGAACTTAATTCTTAAATTGAGTGCTTAATTATCAATCACAGTAATATGTGTATGATTATCAGGCTTGGGACTAATTCACAAAATGGTGTGAGCTTGGGATTAACATTGCCTGAGGAGCAACCCAATGTTTTGTATTCACTTGGGCTAAGATTGGTATTATAAACTGGGTCCAACCATTTGTGTTGATCCTGGCTAAGAATTGGTAATATAAACTGATAACTGGGTCCAACCCATTTTGTGTTTGATGCCAAGTCTTAAAAATTTTTCAGGTCCAAATTGAAGATTGATTTAAACGGGAGAGAATATTTCTCTGTTCCATAATACTTGTTAATCATTTGGAATTTCACAATCGTTTAGAAAATGTAAATTTAATTGTTGTCTAGGTTATAATAAAAGGCTTGGGACTAATTCACAAAATGGTGTGAGCTTGGGATTAACATTGCCTGAGGAGCAACCCAATGTTTTGTATTCACTTGGGCTAAGATTGGTATTATAAACTGGGTCCAACCATTTGTGTTGATCCAAGTCTTAAAATTTTCAGGTCCAAATTGAATGATTTAAACGGAGAGAATATTTTCTCTGTTCCATAATACTTGTTACATTTGGAATTTCACATCGTTTAAGAAAATTATTAAATTTGTCTAGGTTATAATAAATTATTGAATAAATTAACTATATTACCTTTAATTTAATATATCTAAACATCAAATTAAATTTTAGACTCTTCAATCCTCATGTTTTGTCCAATCATAGTTGTGGAGAATTTTTGGGAACACAGAGATAGCAGTAAATAAATAGAAATTTTTTTAAAAAAATTGAAGCAATAATTATTTGTCATATACAAAGGGTAAACATGAAAAAAAATTATTACTTTTTGAAACTATAAATTGGATAAATATTTTAAAATAAATTATTCTTTCAAGAAATATTATGAAAAGGAGGTAGGATTAATTTAGAAGGTCTCAAGGTAATAGTCAAGCTTTCAAATTTAGTTAAAAACCAAAAAGTCAAAGTCATTACATTTTATCCAAGAACAATGAAATGGTAACTTGATAGAAAACCCAAATTCAATATTATTATGGAGCGTAGATATGGATATTCCTTGTGCCAACCAATCATATGATAACTCCAATTAACTAATTGCCAATCTAGCTCATGACCACCAACCGCCCATTCATTTCTTCCTGTAACCAAACAACTACTTCTACTCTGTTTTTGTGCCTCATATGTTATTTTCTGTCCTTATGTTCATTGAATATGTTGGACAAATCAGCAGCCATCCCATTCCGCAGGACAAATAAATAATTTCCGCTCCCAAGATTTTGGAGAAAACAATCACTTACAAAGCATTTATATTTTGAAATAAATAGAGTATATATATTGTTTTTCTCATTAAGTTTATAATAGATACTGAATATCATATTATATCCATTTTAAATATATATTAAGCAACATCGCGTTTTTATTTTATAATATAGAATATCGAGATATCGGATTTAAAATTTCATTTTCCATTTAAGAGAATCAATATATTAAAAATTATATTATGCAATCTGGTTAATAGACACTCAACCAAAGCATAATACAATCCATGTAGTTTGCGAAATACAATTAATCAGTTTCTATTTATTTTAAAATATATTAATTTATCCTTTTGTTTTGCTTCTGTTATACTATTACGTCATTCTGTCCAATTTTTGTAAATATTATATCAGAAAAATTACAATGCAGTCCTTATAATTTAAAAAATACAACTAATCCGTTTCTATATTTTTAAAAACAAAAAGTATATTTTTGTTATTTTATAAGATACTTAATAGAAAAGATGTAAAAATTGAATAAAATGACCTTATAATCTGACGGAAGTAAATTATAAAGACATTTTAGTCTATTTTTTAAAAAATACAGATGGACTAATTGTATTTCTTAAATCACATCGATTGTATTGTAATTTTTTCCAAAATTACTAATGGGACCTATTACCAAATATATAAAGGCCCTTTTTTTTTTTTATCTTTTATCAAATTTCAAGCACAAAAGGCATTTTGATGTCTGACCTTCATAAAGCATAGATGTCGACTGCTATATTATTAATCACACTATCACTTCTTTATTTTTTTATAATACTATTTTTATTTAATTAAATAAATAAAAGTACATATTCCCTTCAATAAAATATTATACATGCAATAATTTCATACTATATCGATACATAAAATTCTCACGAAATGACTCGTTTTGCATGTAAAATTTCTCTGAAAATGCTGTAAAATAAAATTCACCTGAAAATACAATATGAACATAATATACGAACGTATGAACATAAATATATAAATATATATCATATTCATTTATAACCTAGCGTGTATTTATATATAATTTTATTGTAGATTCGGGTTCAATTTTTAATATACAACTACTATTAAACTATTTAAGAATATTAATCTTCTTTTAATTACTATTTCTTGCAATTTTAGGTTTAGTTTCCTGCAAAATATTTATGGTATTTTGATTTTAGTCAACTTTTTAACCCAAAATTTCTCTTCCTGTTTGACATCACCCCTTCTAGTTGTCATTTATTAATACTTTCGTTCTCTGATTTTTATTTTTTAGTTTCCTAAGAACCCAAAAAAAAAAAAAATGGGAAGCAACCATAAACAACCTCATAACCCATAATAATTGCAATTGACTGATAAGTACATACTGCAGATGACCGTGAGCAAAAATCAGAGGTATTGATCTAAAGAAAATCATATTAAATATTATTTACGAAAATAATACATTTCAATCATAATTTCAAAAGTAATGCCACAAGTAGGGACATAGTTTTGAAGACAAGAAACCGTTACTGTCAGTTAAGATTTCTTAAACCTTTGTAATGAAAAAATAAAAATTGCATAAGAAATCGTCACTGATAGTGGCAATTTCTTAGAATGGTTTTTAGAATGGCATTAGGTCAGTAGCCAAAAATCTTGAGTTCAAAATTCAAATGCTCTCACAGAGAACAACAAAGAAAAAGATAAAAATAGGCCAAGTTAGATTGATTAGTAGAAAATTACTTTCTGCAGTCAGACAATTCAGAAGAAATTAGAACATAATCATATACAAAAACACAAACAAGAACAATTACATCTGAAAAGAAAAAACAATAGGGTTGACAACTGCGCGTCGTCGTAATAGTAAAATAGTAGAAAAAAGAGCATTACAAAAGCAAAACAGGAATCAAGTGAATCAGCTCCATTCAAACCATCCCCAGTTTCAATGAGTAACAACAATTTCCAACAACATTAAATCAGAAGATGAAGTTTCCAAACTACTAATCTTAGGCTAATGGATCCTACACAAGAGAACGAGTAGTGCAGCAATAGTACAAGTAGTATCAAATTACAAAGAAAATGCAAGCTTATTACAAAACCAATGTCTAGGTAAAATGAAATAGAAATTAGAACTAAAACCGAAACCCTCTTACCAAAATGAAAAAAGAAAAAAAAAAAAAGAAATATGGATGAAATTTACAAACAGGGCATTACCAGGAAAAGAAAGAGACGCAACATCATATACAGCTCTACGCAGAAACCAACCTCATCGGATCCAAGGGCAAAACACACTCTGGAAAATCTGTTCTTGGTCCAGCAAGGGAGTAATATGCAAGTATATGGGCTGGTTGCTCAACCACCGCATCTTCGCCAACCTGATTAACCATGGCAACTTTTCTAAGAGGAATTAACTCAATGTTCCAAAATGGGCGAGCCATTGTTAAAAGATCACGACCTGGAATTGACGATGCTTTATAACCTTGCACCCACAGATACCTCAAAGAGGTCAGTTGCATCACAGCTCTAGCCAATGCACTCTCAGTGAAACAACAGCCCCTCATTTCTAGCTTTTGAAGACTAGGACATCCTTTAGAAAATGCTAAAAGCCCCTCATCAGACTCTCCAACGTAACCCAAAAGCATCCATCTCACATTCTGACTGTACTGCCCAATATAACCAAGACCCACATCAGTCAATCCTCCTTGTCGAAGATACAGAGCAAACCTCCGGAGCTTCTCACAATGTCTCAATAGAGCTCGAACACCATTGTCAAGTGGTAGATCAGTTATCCTCTCTTCTCGGTCGAGCAAGACCAGGCGGAAATCATTCAGGTTCTTTAAGCAAGCACCAATATGTTCTAGTGCTGCATTTGTGATATCAGAAACATAAACAGCCATGTACTCAAGTTCCAGACAGCCCTGAGCCAAAGCAATCAATCCTCTCTGCGAAACTACACCTTCTTCATCCTCCATTCCCTGCTCATCAGCACCACGCTCAATTCTAAGTCTCTTTAGTCGCTTACAACTGGAAGCAAGAACTTCCAGCCCTCTATCTCCAATAACATTTCTTGCCTGTCAATATCAAAAAATACATTCAACAAAATATTCTCAAGTCAGACATAAATTCCATATAAAACTCCGTGTGGAAAAGCAGGCACCTTTAGTTTTCCTAAATTCCATCTGCATTTTAGGGCTTTCATTTAAAAAGGATTAAAATTAATTAGCAAAAAGCTATTTAATATCTCAAGAGTCAAGACCTATGCCAATAACGACAACACATGCAAAGTCAAATTATGGGGATCACACATTACTATATTAGCATATCCACACTCAAGATTGAAAATACAATAACAACAACTAAACTATAGACGCAAACTAGTCGAGGTCAACCATATGAATCCTATATCTGACATCCACTTTGTTTGGATTAAAAGCACTAAAAAGAAAAGATTGCAATTAAAAAAAAAAAAAAAAAAAAAAAAAAAAAAAAAAAAAAAATCCATTCCACTTTGTTTGGATAAAAGCACTTAAGAAAAGAAAAGATTGCAATTAAAAAAAAAAAAAAAAAAAAAAAAAAAAAAAAAAAAAAAAAAAAAAAAAAAAGAGGGTATCAAATTATTTATCATGAATGAATAACAAACTGCAGTGTCAAATGTACAAAGAACATACATACATGCCCAATTGAGAAAGCATACAAAACAGACACATTCAAAAGAAATTATGAAAACAACAATATCATGTAGAGAAGCAGAAGCATGTTTGTGATTATACCTCAAGAACTTCTAAGTTGCAGCACTTTTGAATTAGAAAACAATGGTCCTCTGTGTCAAGTAATGCATAGAGGAGATCCAACTTTTTGAGCATGGGTGCAAAAGGGAACACTATCGGCATTTCATTTTTTCCCATATAGGTCAGACCCAATCGACACAATCTTTGTGGAAATGTCACAGCAGAATACTTGTCCGGTGCATCATTGAAGGAACCCCCACAAAATTCTTCTAGAGCAGCTGCAGCATGGAAAAAACCATGAAGATCCAATATTTCACAATCACTAATTTTAACAGATACTAAGGAGCGACAATTTTTGGCTATGAGCTCAAGGTCTTCAAATCTGACTTTGGTTAGCTCCGTCATGTAAAAATTTAGATTCTCAAGAACTGTATTATTAATAGCAATCTGATGTAGCCAATCACCATCTTTCTCAAGAATCGAGCTCTCTTCCAAAAGTAAAGTTCTTAATTGCCTGCGGAAACATGTAATCATAGTCAACAAAATGCCTCAGTCAATTATTACAGCAACAAGTTGGAATGTTATATATATATATATATATATATAAGTCAATCAAAATGGCCTCAAGTCATTATTACAGCAACAAAACAATTGGAAATGTTATATAAATATATTATTATATATTATATGAAGAGGAGAGAGAGAGAGGAGAGAGTAGAAAGAGAGAGGTGAGGAGAAGGGTTGGCAAACATCCTGAGTTAATAGTCAATGAATGCATCAAATGACTAGAATTTCAAAAACACAAATGTAAAATGGGAAAATAGAGAGAGAGAGAGAGAGAGAGAGAGAAAGAGAGAGGGAGGGAGAAGGGGTTGGACAACAGTCTGAGTTAATAGTCAAGAATGCATCAAATGACTGAGAATTTCAAAACAGCATGAAAACAGGGAAAACAGATTCATTTTCACGATTAGATTTTTAAGACATGGTGGATGCGACTCCATACCAACAAAATGAGAGAGAGACTAACATTGGCCCAAAGATCTCAAACAACATATAATGACCAAACCAAGTTGTGGAGGTAAATGTAAAGATTCACATCTTTTACTAGTATTTTCCTTGCATTACAGTCTTACACTCTCAAAAAACTAAATAAAATTGCCATGTAGCAACCCATACTTTTATGACTAATAGTTTAAGGAGTTCTCATCAAGAAGAAAAATTAGGATATGATAATTCCACTTTATAGGACATACAATTAGTTCTACCATATAATCCTCGAACAATAAATCATGTCAAGTTGAATCTGCAAAGATGTTTTGAGAAAAGGGGCAGCAGCCACCAGGACATGCAACTAGCATCCAGCCCAGAAAGCAATCTACTCCAAAATGCATTTGTTAGAATTGAAATAGACTAAAATAAAACTAGCCACATTCCTTCTGTATGCAAAATCTAATCAGAGAAGGGAGCAACCAAAAACAATGAGGTGATACAACCATCAAGTTTAAGGGTATAATTTCTTCTAAAATTATAAAAGAATTGCTCTCATGACTTCCCAAACAATAAACGCAACATATTTTCTCCACAAGACCTGAAATAAATAGAGAATGCAAACTATAAAGAGAGCAACTCATGAAGCACCAGAGCTCCTGCCATACACCAAGATCAAAATAAAGGATACAAAATCAGAAACTAACTTGAGATACTGCAACGGAAAGTAAATAAGCATGTGTCACATGCAGCTATTGAAGCTTGAACAAGAAGGCAAAAGATTATCCAAGATTTAAAGCTGACAAAGCAAGCCAAAAAAAAAAAAAAGAAAAAAGAAAAAGAAAGCAACCTTAGATGTATTTAAGTTCCCTCTTTCACACGAAAGTTCCTCTTCAATGGTTATGATAACTCTCACCAAACATCTTACATGCTAAAAAACAAATAAAACACATTTTATAAAATAAAATAATAACAAACTTGAACACACTCGACAAGCAACGAAAGAATTAGTAAAAAAAACCAATCAGAAAAACGTTATTGCAAATCAAAAACAGAAAAAAGAGATGGTAAAATCTCATAAAACAAGTCATCATTTAACCAGGAGTCAACATTTCTTATGGAATTACAAGCAAAATTCAGTACCTGCACAAGCGACCGACATGTAAAAGCCCATCGGTAGAGAATCCAGAACACTTATCAAGTTTCAAGACCTGCAAGACCCGACCACGAGACTTAGCGAGAAGCTCCAGATCCGAGTCCTTCACAATCATTCGTCTGAAGTGAACAGATTTCAAGCAATCAAACGAGTCGGCAATTTCATTAACCCACGGCGTCACAAACCCTCCCCAATCCTCCGGTATCAAATTAAACATAGCAGCTCTTGGTTTCCCTTTCAGCTTTAGGGATTCAAGGTGCTTAAAACGACGTCGTAACCGATCCGGACTAGTGGTATAGCATAAAGCGATCGTTATATGCTTTCGCGTTAAGGCGTCAAGCTCATACCAGCGACGACAAACCAGTGAAACAGCGTCGCGGTCTCGTGGGTCATCTATGTACGGCATCACACATTCTAAAACGACATCGGGCATGCCACTGCTGCAACTCATTCTATTGAGTTTGCTGTCCTGACTCTCCTCTTCCATCGCTTTAACAAGCCTTAAAAAAAACAATTAGTTAATAGATTTACAAGCTACTGACCGATCAAAACTTCCAAAATCCGAACTAATACAAGTTGCAAAATCAATTTCATGGATTTCAAGCTTCCTGCTAAAACTAATTTGACAAAAAATCTAAAAACCTTCAAATACAATATAAAAAGTACATATTCGAGAACAAAATCTATGAACCAGACTTTAAAACCGCAAAAGCTAACTCGCCGGATAAAACGGGTATGGAAGGAACATAGAAAGAAACGTTCTTGAATAAAAGAAAAAGAAAACGGTGATATTGGACGCTAAAAGAAAAAATCAATCACCGGAGATTCAAGAAAACGGCAAAGACAACGGTTCCATCGGATCGCAACTTCAACTTCAGATCGACTAATCGAGTGCAGTCGCTTACCGCGACCAATCATGGAAGCAGTGTTTAGTGAGCAGCAGAGACACAGACACAGAGAGAGAGAGAGAGAGAGAGAGAGGTAAGAGAAGATAGAACAGACGGTGATGGTGAAGGAGAGAGAGATCCGACGGCGACAGTTGAAACAGTTTTTAGTTTTGGGTTAATCTGTGGATTTATGGATCAGGACCCTAGTTAAGGGTCTCTCCACTCTCCAGCCCCTCTTATGCGCCTCAAAAAAACCCAAAGGAGAGAGTCTAACAGTGACAAAGAGAAAACGACAAAACTATACTGGTCCAGCCAATCAAAATTGGGGATGGGGAAATTTTTATTTATAAAATCATTATTTAATCAAATTATCTACCATTCGCTTACGCGGGTGGCGGTTACGTGGCACGATTTTATTAGACTTTCTTAATCTTACATGTTGGTGCTCACCACAGTACATTATTATTTATTTTATTTATTTTTTATTCTTTTTTTAAAGCTATACTTTATGCTTATAAAATAATTTTTAAAAAAATAATTTACTGAAAAATATTTTTTAAATAATCTATTTTCCGTTGTTTCGTTGTAATATTGAAAATTAATTAAGATATTGAAGTGTTTATTTTATAAGACTATAAAAAATATTAATAATAATAGAAATTTTATAATTTAAAATTTTATGGTTAAATATAAAAAGAATGCAAAAAAATGCAAATTATGAAAGCCGCCAGTGGTCAGTAATGGTAGTCGATAGTAAATGGTGACCGGTGATAATGACTGCAGTGATTAATAAATTAAAAAAAATATGGATTTATAATATTTGACAATCTCCGAAAAATATTTTACTCTCTAAAAAATGAAAAATTATTTTCCTTAAAAATAGACTTAATTTTCCTTTAATCAAGAAAATATTTTCCGTTGACTTATTTTCTGAATATCCCAAATAACAGAAATTTGTAAAAAATAACATAACCTTAATTTCTTGTAAAGGTAACCATTATCCAAGATTAGAAATTTATTTTGTTTCTCGTTGTCCTGTGATTTTCTTGATTTAAGTCTCGGTTAAAATTTAATAGTTAAAAAAATATTTATTTTTAATTGTTTCGGTACTTCAAGAATAATAATAATAATAATAATTTTATCATTGAACCTATATTATTTGTTAAATGCATTATTCTAAGGAAAAGACTTATCAATATGATATGCCTGATAAATTTTAACAATGACAATCAAGGCAAATACATATGTATAATTATTTTCACTAAAAAAGATAGAAATTGTTATTTTTTATCTATTAGAGATCAGGAATCTAAAATTTCTTTTCTTCTAATAACTCCTATTGAATTATTGAAATTTCTGGTTTATACAATCAATTATTAAAATAAAAAAGAATAGAATAAAGTTTGATTATTATAATAACACATATTTCTGTTATTTAGTAATCATTGCAGATGTTTAATTTAATAAAATAATCTGTTTTTGTGTTTTGAAAGAAAAGGAAAAACAAAATTTAGAATATCAAATGTAAAAGCAGCATCTGATTCTCTACCATTAATGCTATTTAATCTATTGGCTACAGCTTAGTTGGAAGTTTTAAAAGAGGATGAATGATATGTCATGCTTACTTAATTTGCATTTTTAAATTATTTGGATATAAATTATATTTTGTATTTCTGTTTCTTTAATTTGGTTAAATAAGAAAAATAACTCATATATGTATTAGAGGTAAGACACGCTTGATCGCAAACTATAATAATTTTTCATTGCAACTCCTTTCCAAAAATGAATAGAGATATGAACTTACTAATCGAGTATGATCTGATTAATTTTTTCATTCATGTACAGAATGTTTGAGTTTCTCAACTATAAGAATTTTTAATAATTTGAGATAATAGAGACCTATTTAGAGGGAAGCATATGGTTGGTTCAGTTTAAATCGAACTGAATCAAGATAAAAAAAATATGTAAATCAAAGTTTTTGGATGATAGACCGAACTGAAATTGGCATTTGAACCGAATCGATAAGAACCAAATCAGTTTGTTCGCACGATCTTAATCTATTTTTTCAATATTAATTCAACTTTAAATTAAACCGAATAAAATTTTATGAAATTGACTTGATTAAATAATAAATTAGATTTAAACCTGAATAAACTGACGGCCTGAATCTTCCTTAAATAGCTGATTTGTGCACGCCTCCAGATGTACCTGTATTGCATTATACCGGGATGTTGAACCTCTTAAATATAGATATAAACTTAATGTGAAAGACAGGCTCTCTCCAAGCCTTAGCCCTAGTCTCTCTCTCGCTCTCTCTCTCTCTCTCTCTCTCTCTCTCTCTCTCGCACGGTCGCACTCATTCATGTTTCGTCCTCTCATCTTTATGTTGTCATCTCCGACTTGAAGATTGATACCTCTTTTAATTTTTACAGTCAAACATTGGTCAACTATGTAAAAAATATATTCAATTAATTAATTGATGACAACTCTGCAAATTTAAGTCTTTAAACAGTTAATCGATAAAAATAAAATTTAGATATTAAAATATAAAAAAAATTGTTAAATTCAAACACTAATAGTATAATTATCTCTTATTTCAATTGTATAAATTGAATTATGTTTCTCAATATAATACTATAGTTTTTTGCAATTAATATCTTTATAAGTTACAAATATTAATTAAATTTTATAATAATATTTTAATAGTTAATTTTGAATAAGTATAAATAAATGAATTTATATAATATTTAAAACAGGAAATATTTTAAATAATTAAAAATACATATAATATATGATAATTTATAAAAATAATTATATTTTTTAACGACGAATTTTATATTTAAAAAGCTTTATAATTTTACTATCACTAAAGGGTCATTTAGTCAAACCAACTAACAATTGGTAATGGATTGATGACAATGATACAATGTAAATTCACTATTAAAGTTATAATTATTTTTATATATTACAATATATGATGTATATATTTTTTTCAAAGATTTGTTAATTAAATATATTTAGTATATTGTATAAGTAAAAATATTAATTAAATATTTTTAACATTATATTTTCGTTGTTATTTTTAAATACTACATGTGCTGATAAAAATATTAATTTCAAAATTATTTTTATAAAATTGACAAAACTTAAATATAATATAATATAAATAAATTAACAGTTAATACTAATAATTGCTGATTAAAAAACTTTCTAAATATTTACGATCTTTTTTTTTTTTTTTTTTTTGCATATTTTAGACATTAGATATGTTCGTGTTATATTTTAAAATACTGACAGTGGTGCTGAGTAAAAATATTAATCTGTCAAAATGATTTTTTGTATAAGATTGACTAAAAACTTAAATATAATGCATTAATAATAATAGAACCTTAACAGTTAATACTAAGAATTGCTGGATTAAAAAACTTTTCTAAATATTTACGGATCTTTTTTTCTTTTTTTTTTTATTTGAAAAGTATTGTACAGTGGGTCTGTACCTAATTAGTTAGGACCAGCAAAATCAACCTATTGTGTCATGAGATGCACAAAACAAGGTTCTGTAAAATAGAGGTGGTAGCCGAGATTTGGACTGCGTAATAAAAAAACCAGAGATAAATAAAATAAAAGGAAAAAAAGAGAAAAAAAAGAAAAAAAATTAGAAGAAAAAGTAGAAGAAAAAAGAAAAAGAAAAAAAAAAAAAGAAAAAAAAGAAAAAAAAGAGAAAAAAAAAAAAAAAAGATAAAACAAAAAAGAAAAGGGAAAAAACAAAAAAAAAAAAAGAAAAAAAAGAAAAATAAAAAAAGAAAAAAGTAAAAAAAGAAAGGAAAAACAAAAAAGGCAAAAAAGGTATTATTATTATGCGACAATATAAAAAAAGAAAAATAATGTAAAATAACGAAAAGAAAATAAAGTGGCGGTACCAATCTAGACGGCGATATAAATCAACCTAAATGACAGGCGTATCTTGAGAGGATGCCCAGTGCAAGAAGAAGTTATACGGACGCTGGAGAAGTTTTTTTTTTTTTTTTTTTGAAAAGTATTTACAACCTAATTTGTTAGACGCAAATCACCTATTTGTGGCATAACCAAACAAGTCTTAAATATTTACCGAGAGGGGGGACTGCGTAATTATTATTATTATGCAATATAAAAAAAGAAAAAAATGAAAATAACGAAAGAAAAAAAGTGGCGGTACCAATCTAGACGGCGATATAATCAACAAATGACAGCTATCTGAGAGGTGCCCAGTGCAAGAAGAAGTTATAACGCTGGAGAAGCTACATTACGTGGAGGCCTAGAGGACTAGGTTATGAATAGACCTAGGGTCTCCCATTAAAAATATTTTGTGCCTCAATTTACCTATGGACCAGTGTCTGCCTCAGTATATTTATGGATATCATTATTTTGAATGCAATGAATTCAATATTTATGAAATTTAATATTTTTCTTATAATAAAATTTTTCATGCACACAAAAATCATAAATGCAAATAATTTTAATAAAATTAACATATGAACTCCTTTATGTCATATTTTTTAAAGTAAACAGAGTTATTGCATTTATAAAATTAATATTATTTCATGCACGTAATTTTATGGTAAGCAGGAGTGAGCATTAATCGAAATTGTCCAAAAATTGAATCTAAGATTTTAATTTTAATTTTTTTTTTATTTTTTTAATTTATATAATCAAACCACTTCCTAGATTTAATTTTGGTTTCATAGAGTCTCATCGAAAATTTTTTGCACTCAAAATAATTCAATGAAGCATAAATAAAATTCGAATAGGTTCGATTAATTTATTTTGCCGTTCATTTTTTTTTCTCAGTTACCTTTATTTTACTTTTTTAATCCTTTTTTATTGGTTCGACTCGGTTTGATATTAAAAAAAACTCTCATAACTATTATTACATATATAAGATATTATACTTTAAATTTGTAAAGAAGTTAACATGTTAACTTCTTGAAATGTACAGCCTACTAGATAAGATATGGTTGCATTATTGGCAATCATTTATTTTCATCATATGAATGTATTATTAGCAATTATTTATTTTTTTATATAATATGAATGTATTATTAGCAATATGATATCATTTTATTTTTTTTCTCGAAGTTTTTATTTTCATTAATGTTAAATTTATTTTATGAGTACATGTGAATGTAAAAGAAATTTTATATAGGAGAAAAAAAATAATCTTAAGCAATTATTCATATATTGTAAT